GATCATCAATATTCGAGTATCAATTTCCCATTTGCACTAATATCGACGATATACTCTGCTATCAGTATTTGAGTTCACGAAGCCAATTTCTCAAGGATAATCTTAATCATCGAAACGATGCAACGTTTTATCTACTAATCCCGCACTGGGCCCGCTTACGATGATCGAATCAGATTGACATCGTTTAAGATTTATATCTGACCATGAAAGATTTTTATATTGGATCGCGAGAAAAAGGGAGAAGCGAGTTCGAAGGTGTATATATTGTGTATGGTATGTGAGAGTGTGTATAATATATTATAGCCAATAATTATACACATGTATCTTAATATATAAAAAGATTGTATTCATTATTATTATTTATATATAATTAAAGTCAATGCAATAGTCTATTTATTATAGCTAATATTCAAGCGATACTGCTACTATTTTCGAAGACTTAAGGGAAAACATACATCCAGATGGCTCGGAAAAAACAATTTTTCAATTTCTGCATTTTCTTATATAATAGTATAATATCTTAAAAATATTTCCTTAAAGTTTCAAGTCGAAATTTAAAAAAATAAAAAAGATAACGTTTTAAACAGGTAAGCGTTCGACCTCACGATTGGCGGGTGAATGTTTACCTGGCAAGCGCCATAGCATTTGCACTCATTTTCTTTTGCTAAATGTTAAAAAAAACGCTAGTAATGTGTTAGTGCTAGAAGAGATAAATATTGGATACATGATATTAAACTTTATTTCACGGCAATATCTGAGTGTGTGAATAGTAAACATTGATGATGATATAACGTTCAAAACAAAAAGTACACGGTAGATTCGGATTTAAATATTAAAATTACTACTATAAATTAATTCAGGCAAGCAATGCGCATCAATATGCTTCAGCAGATAATTCGCGAATAATAAGACTGGAACGTACCGTTGAAGACATAACAAAGGAGACAAGATTACATCGTAGACAAGCCAAACTTGAATTGATACAGGCTGCAGGAGACTCACTATATGGTTTTAAAGTAAATAATTCCATGTAACTCAAAAAAATCACTAATATATAAAAGTTTAAAAGTATACCTATCACTTTAAATGCGTTTTTCTCGAAATTGTGTTTTCAAAAACGATAATCAAATATCTCGAGAACCACTGAATGGATTACTTTCTAACTTTTTTGTACTTATCTAGCATAAAATTATGCGGCATTTGTGCCGTTTTTTAATGTCTATTATTTTTTTTTTCATTGCCAATAAGCGATCCATTTTTTAAGCGAAAATTCGCACCTTTAGGTAGACGTCATTTTTTTAAATATTGCAAATTTTTTAAGTAGGCTACGACAAAGACACTAGATTTATAATCTATTTTAAGAATCAATTGATTTTTTGTTTTAGATGTATGTACCTTGTACATGGCACAATAATTATCGCAAATCGTAACACATGGGAACTTGTCTGGCGCCAACGATAATATATGCTATAAATTTTTTACATTTTTTAATAAAAATGTAACGCTGTATTAAAAAAAAAGATAGATATATATATATATATATATATATATATATATATATATATATATATACAGGGTGTCACTTAATTCGCCCACTATTTATAGCGATATTCCTTGTGGAAAACTGAGTCAAAAAGTCCTGAACCATGCTTTCCTATGTTATAAAATTACACGATTTTAGAATAAATAAATTTTAACTAGATAAGAAACGATTATAATAAATATCGTAATCGGGAAACATAATTGTATTTAAAATAGGGATAGATATATGTATATTAAGGAGATAGAAAAACTCCGTTTACATCCTCCGTTTTTCTTTTCCAACGGGGGAGGAATGTCCGAAAGACTATAACTTTATTTTATTTTACCGTTAATAAATTTTATATAATTAAAATGTGATGGAATGTTCGCGAATCGCGTAAAATCGTTACCTCAGCGAACCACGCGCGAGTTCGCCGGAAACGCGAAAATGCCAACGAAGAGATTCGACTTTGAACCTCCTTCGCTTGCACTTGGACTTGACCGCCACGAGAATCTTCCATGACCATATATGGCCATGTATCGCTAGGCGATCCCCTTCAAAATACCTATCGCGAGTCCGCGGCGGACAGTCGTTAATTAAAAATCAATTGATAAAGAGTGCAAATCTGGGCTAGTTACTATTCAGCGCGACTATAACTTAAAGTCTGACGGAACGAAGGAAGAGGCAACGGAAAGAAACTCGAAACTCCCAAGAAAGATTACGAAATAAGATATATTCAAAACTCAATCAAAATTGTATATAAATCTAGTTAAAATAAACGATTTGATAAAAAAAATAAATAAAGAAAGGAAGAAGATATTGACTGGTCCCGAGGCCTCTATCGGATTATTCCGGCAACATCCCACATCTCGGGCCGCACAGAGCACAACATAATGATTGTATATTAACTTATTAATAGTAACAATTAAGAACAAATAATAAACACATATTCCATGAACACGAGCAACTAAGATAACTAATGGAAAAAAGTAAAAAAAACCAAATCATTTATTTGTACGTTTTCTTTATATTTTTTGAGGATGATGCAATACTTTTGATTTCGTACTTATATATCAAATATATTGAAATAATCATAAAGTATTAAATATTTTAACATAATATTAAATTAATATTATATTATATTAAATATTAATATTATGTTAAATTAATATTATATATGTTAAATATAAACAAATATTTTTTTTCAAATATAAGTATTTCACGTAACGTATTTATTTCTGAAACGTTAAAATTATCAAGATTTCAATATTTTTTCATTAATAATAATTTTTTCACTAATTTCCATATCTCACAAATAATAGTTCCATTTTCCATTGATTTTTAAATCTATACGTATTGTTGCGTTTCTGGATCTCATTCCTGGATCAAAGCTGTGCCTGTCTCTGAGAGATCGTTTCTGAGCGCATTATTAAGGGTTTTATTTGTAAAACAACGACAGATACATGAGATTCGAAGCAGCTATCAAATGCGATTGTGTTTAAGACAGTTCTGCTTCTCACTTTCGGATTCGAATTGTATTACGTTAATAAAGTTATCATTCTCCTTTTTAATCAATGCTCCATTATTTATTCGGGCATGAGAGAATGACATGGTTTGTGAATCTCGAATGGTTGTATTGTGTGCTTCGATGCATCGAGATCGACCCGTGCACACAACAATATTTATATTTGTTGTTCTAGATTTATATTTATTTATATTTCTATTTTTTTAAAAGAGAGAAAAATTGATATTATATTATTATTTATATATTATTATAGATATTATAAAATATATAAATATATAAATATTTATTAAATTAAAATAAAATATAGTAATAGGCCATAAAGAGCCAATTTGGCTCTTTATGGCCAATTATTATATTTTATTTTAATTTGTTAATTTCGAGAGCCTTTTATTTTGTTTATTTTTTATTTTAAGTATTTATTATTTTATACTTTTTTGAATTTTATATTCACGTAATAATTATTAATTGTCAGTTGTACCCTGGTGAAAATTATTTACAGAATATCTCATAAAAATTTTCAGATTTTCTATAAACATTCTCTAAAACTTTCTCAGACAATTTTCAAATTTTCTGTACGAATTGACACACACTTTTCAAAAATCTTTAAAAAAGAAATAAACATATTTCTTATTTTTACAAATGAATTTTGTTGGAATTTCTTATATATTTATATGAATGTAAAAAATATGAAGTAAACGAATTTTGTTAAAGAATTTCTTAAATACATAAATATTGAATATTTTGAAATTTTTTATTCTATAATTTTTCAAAATAATATTAAAAAACCTGAGAACGCATCTAATATATTTTTATTAGAATTCTTCATAAATTTAAATTATCAAAAAGATTCCTAAAATTTTCCAAGAAATTCTGAGATTTTTTCCCCAAGGTTTTATATTGTGCTTTTGTATCAACGTTTTAATTGTGATCGATTATGGCCTTAAAGATGTTTTGTATGTACAATCCCAGCAAAAAGTAGCTGGAAATCAATATTGACGAACGTCTACTTTTGGCGTCTTTTGAATATGAGAAATTGTGCGGAATATTAGAATTTGATCTTAGCTACAGTGCAGAGATGTATTTTTTAATATTTATTGCGTTTTTACTGAAATATTCCGAGTTTTGTTAATCGAAATGATTAACGTTTGGTAGAGATTTTCGCCTTGTGACAGATACATGGCTAACTTCATTAAATTATATTTAATATCTTTTTAACGAGTTAGTACTTGTATAATATTATTTGACCAAATATTTCCTCTATATCTAAACTTTTGCAAATTTTAAACAAATTCTGAATATTATTTCATGTGTTTTTGTCATTGGAATCGCTGTAGTTATACGTTTCCCATAAGAACACATGTTAATTCGGTGCAAATTAATAATCCTTATAACTTGTGAACGCTTTAGTGAATCGATTTAAAAATTGTACTGAAGATTCTAAACATATGTAAGGACATTCTGTACAATTTTCATTAAATTCTCAATATTTTGAAAATAGATACAAAACATCCTTAATAAACGAAGAGAATCGAAAAATTGAAAAGGGCAAAAAATGAAGAGAGATATAACGTTGTAGAATCACAATATATTACTTTCTGTAACATTACATTATATCATTATCATCGTCTCTTTCTCCACATCGTCTCCACTATATTTTATATATATTAATTATATAACATTATAAATATATATATATATATATATATATATATATACATATAATAATTATTATCGCGTATATATATATATATTATTATAAATCGGCAATGCGTAATAATCGACATCGTCATGGTCTCCTTACATCATACTGTACGTACATACAGAGAGATATACGATCGATGTTAGATCGATAATAAAAAGCATTTGCGGAACAATTGGAAATACCGTCCATAAATAGACTTTCTATACGTGTGAAAAGTGTATAACATTATTATTACGTAACAACATTCATTGTAGGCACAATCGTCGTCGCTTATCGTTTTTTTTTTTTTTAGCGCAATCAATGTCTCGTAATTTGTTTCGATGTTGTGATAATTTCAATAACTCATCTTCTATTTCGACGAATAAACAAAGGGGAATATGAATAGAAATGTGCGCAGAGTGTACGAAGAAGAAATATGTGTGTGTTCATTTACCGTATTTAATTATCTAAATGATAAATTGCTTCGCAGAATCATTTTATTGTACTTTCGATTACGCAATTATGCGGTGTTTTTAAAGAATAGTTACACTTGTGCAATAATTGGCGATTGGCGTAATTTTATAGTAAGGTTTAAACGCCCTAGAAATTATACTTGATCGTGAGAGATTCTAATCTGATAGATTCTAATCACGGACAGAAGAAAAAAGATAGGCCTTGAAGGATGGAGAGGGAAATTTCTAAAAGAGAGAAATATCCAAAATAAATATTATAACATACTCCTGGTAATTGTAATTTATAGCAAACCCGGCGGCCAGTGTATGATTATTAAATATATATGTTTCTTGTAAATTCTTTGTCTTTCTTTCTCTCTCTTTTTCTTCCTCTCCCTCCTATTGTGAAAATATATTAAATAAAAAATTAATATAATAAATAAAATAATATATTATACAGCAAATACACATATACTTTCGATGTTAAATCGCTAAGTGAATAATATAACTGCGCAAAGTTAGTTCAACAATTTCTTCTCGTGTCTCCAAAGACGGGAGGATAAATACACTTGTGAAATTGTAAAATCCACGCATAAAACGCATCTCATGGCTTTCGATTCGCTAGCAGAGTGTTTCACAGCCTGCGGGAAAGTTGAACTCGTGTTTCTCGATCTTTGTGTTAAATTAATAAAGACATGTATACTTTGTAATATCATTTTTTTGGACTATCACTGTATTCGTTTGCTGGTCGATGGAAGCTTTCTAGCAGTTTAATTGTGCTCATGAAAGGTGGTCAGAAAAATTGTTAAAGCTGCTGCTGGTACGTCGTTTAGAATACACATAGAAAAATACGAAACGAAAAAGAAATCCTCTCATGATTGCTTTAATCGTTAGCTTTCTTGGGCGGAAGTTAGTCCCATTTTCTAAAGCTATTTCTACTTGCAAATATATTCTTATACAGGGTGTCCCAGACTTAATGAATTAGCCGTTAAAGATAGATTCCTGAGATCATTTGGAGACGAAAATCTTAATACCAAAATGTTGAGAAAGATGTAGTTTCGGCGCTATGAAAGATTAAAGATTACCAATCGGCGCGTTACATTCTCCTGCGCTCAAGAATATAATGCATAATGTCAATATTAAAAAAGGGATCAATATAAAATAAAAAATAGGCTTCTGCAGTGAGCGCGATTGTGTTTTCTATGCGACAATAGTCAGTAGTTTGGATATTTTTATGAAGTCTTTCTCAACATTTTGGCATTAGAATTTTCATCTCCAAATAATCTCAGGAATCTACCATTAACGACTGATTCGTTAAGTCTGGGATATCCCTAATCAGGGAATCACCCTGTATATCGATGACTAATTTTATTAGTTAGACAATGTTGATTCTTCGCGTGCATTTTTTGATTGCATTTTGTACTCCGGACATGACTAATATTCATTACACATAGCAAGATATATCTAATCGTATAAATTACCTTAGAGATTTAATGTATCCTGCGTTGGTATCAGAAGAGACTTTATCCGTAGAACGTGTATAAGATATAATCAAATAAAAAGTAATCGAAAACTTTAAATATACATTTGCTATAATTTTTTCCCCGTCTTTTCGTCTCAGTTCATATTTCACAGTTGTATCGAAAATTGCAAAAATGCACTAATTGTAAGTCGATGGTAAATTTTAATATTTTACAAAGCACACTGCGAGTAACATATCAATATAATTAAGCATTTTTACTCACAAAGGAATTTAATTCCTTTATCTTTTTACATGAGAAAATATGCGGAATATCGATTGGCTTTTGTTAGAAAATTTTTTGATATCTGCAATATCTGTGCATTTATTTACATCAGCGTTTGACAGGGTTCTTATAAACTTGTTCTATCGCTTATAGTGACAAAAATAAGGCAGTCTCGTCGTTCTTCGGCAACGTATGACTAGACGCATTTTTACATTAAGGCAAAACTATACAGGTACACAGTTATGATCCTCATATGTGTAAAACATAAGGAAAACGAGAAAAATGAAGTTTAATTCAATAGAGCAGGACGCAACAATCTGGTGCATTTTTGCAGTTGTTTTCCAATGATATAGCTAACGTTATACGCTCATGATTATTACTATCATAAAGATTGTTATCGTAATCAACGTTACTTATTTTATTAACATTGTTATTCTCATTAATTTCTTTACGCAGCGATAAATTATTACACACCACGAATGCATCATCTTGTATCACGTGTGAGGAAAACAGATGAGAATCGCGAGGATTTGAAATTCGCTTTAATTCGTTCCTTATCTCTGAAATGTTTGATCGTAGTATCTTTGACTCTTTCAATAAAAAGATACAATCGAGTCTGATGACCTTTGTCGGGTAAAATTAATTGTGCAACTTGTGATAAATGTTGAAGTGCGAGTTGTATCACGATTATTAGGACAGGAGAGAGTTTGGGAAACGATATACGGGAATATTTCTTTAATGCAAACTTTCCGTCTCTCCTGTGAGACAACCGTATTAACGAGGTGCGTGTATGACTTAAAATTAAAAATTTCGAAAATGGAAGAACTAATACGTGAGACATGAAACTTTGACAAATGAAGATTATCAATTTTGCGAAAATCGTTACGTTACAAAATAAATCGCTTATCCGAAGTGTAACGAGGACCTCATCGCGAACAGAGGAGCATAGACGGCCTTCGTTCAAGCGGTGGAACTTTGATGCATGACCTGAAACATGGTGAACGTTAGTGCGTGAGGTCTCTCGAATTTTGGTCGCATAAAAAGGCAGATGGAGAAAAAGAAAATAGAGATAAGAATAATCGACACACATGTGTAAATGTATACATTCGATATCATGCTTCGTTTGGCGATAACGTCTTTAAAAAAAAGAAATATCATTCAATTCAATCATCGGAGTAACATCAAACAGGACTAAAAGACCCGGATGAAGAATAGGAGCGCAAGCAGGATCGATACTTGTCCGCAAGCACAGATTATTCAACACGTCAGTTACACTGATTAAGTCTACAGGCGATGGTTTTCATGCGCGATAAGACAAATTCACACATTTCAAAACTCTTGGGGGTCTTACCTATCCTATTCGCTCAGTACTGGCAGTAGGGACCTTACGCCAGAAAAGGTTAAAAAAGTAATATTAAGAAATATTTCGTAATATCAGGATAAATAGATACATATAATTGCAATAACAAATATACATGTAAGATAAAAAAAAGTTGTAACAGATAGACAGGGTGAATTTTATTTCCTGTGTCAAACTTTTTGTCATACTAGAGATTACATACTATACATACTAGATACATACTATCGACTGCAATTATAATAAATTGATCGATACACAGATGTCAGTTATTTGCATCGATCGTATCGATCCATATATAATATGTACACGTTAAAAGTTCAATCAAATTATGTGATATGGATTTATTATTATTATTATTAGAGCTACGTATGTAGCTACGTGTATCGATCAATTTATTAAAATTGCAGTCTATAACACAGACCTGCGAGATTTTTCTTTTTAAGATGCAATAGTGATTTCCGACGTAATTTTGTAAGCTGAATTCGAATCTGGCCGCCGAATTTGCGTAGCACGTCACGTTTTTGAGTAATTTGTAATTGAATGGCTCAAAAATCGCTATTTTGGCAAATTTCATGAATTTATTGCGAGGAAATCAAATTTTTTGAAATATTTCTGCCAATGACATCGTATAATACTCATTTTCACCTTTTAAATCCACTTTCGATTACCCCCGCACGATTTTTTTTCGCTCAGATATACAAGTCATAAAACTGATCATGCATAGGGATCTAATAAGCCATTCTAAATCAACTGTGCCACCTCTTTATTTCACTACGAATCAAAATTAGGATAAAAATATACATTTTTAAACCTTCTGTTACCCTTTGAAATTAAAAATGGCGCATCCAATATGGCGAATAGAATCACAATAAAAAGACATAAAATTTAGAAAAATTTATTCGAAAGATGAAAGTGAGTATTATACGAAGCCATTGACAGAAATATTTCAAAAAATTTGGTTTACTCACAATAAATTCATGAAATTGGCCAAAATAGCGATTTTTAGGCTATTCAATTACCAATAACTCAAAAACCTGACGTGCTACGCAAATTCGGCGGCCAGATTCAGCGCACAAAATTACTCAAAAATCATTATTGCATCTTAAAAAGAAATTTTGACTTCCTTTTTTGCAGGCCTGTGTAATCTCTTGTATGATAAAGAGTTTGACACAGGAAATAAAACTCATCCTGTATACAAATAATTTTCTGTAATAACACTTGGAACATTTTTGTGATTTGGGTTCTATAAAGATTCTGTAGCAGAAAGCTACAGAGCTTGAAAGATATATCTCGCTTGGAGAGGATTTGTTTTAGATTTTTTTTGCGATACTCACAGCTCGATGCTCTGGATGGTAGACGTAGGACACGTTACGTCGACTTTCACATGACAGTGCTTGTGACACTTCATCTGACAGTCCCTACATTCGTAACCCTGCTTGCCAAGTCTTCGCGCGAGGGTTCTCTTACACACTTCGCAGACCGTTCCTCTGAAAAATATAAAAAGAAGACACATTTTGTATTTTTATCATTCTTCAAATTCATTTAAATACATATTTTTTTAAATACATTGTTATCGTTTTAACTCGATAGGTTCTTAAGAACTGTTGCTATTTTGCCAAATCAACAGAGATCATCGTGTACTGATAATATTGTACATTGACAGAAACACTACTCACCCAGCCATGTGTTTGGCTATAAATGTATGATCGTTAAATATATGCAATTTTGTGCCTTTTTTTCTCCATTTGCTCTTCTGCGCAAGGGAAAGAGGTACGAGGTAATGCCTGAAATGAAAGGAAACGTACGCTTTTATTCTAGTATAAAAAATATATTTTATTAAAGAGAGAGAGAGAGAAAGAATTTTACAGAGAAAAAAAGAGAGGAGACTCTGGTGAAAATTATTTACAGAATTTCTCATAAAAATTTTTAGATTTTTTATAAGAATTCTAAAACTTTCTTAGAAATTTTAAGATTTTTTACACGAATTGTTACACTTTTTAAAAATTTCCAGAAAAGAAAAGAAAATATTTCATATTTTTATCGTAAATCAATTTTATTAGAATTTCGATAAATGTTAAATATTCCGAGATTCTATAATTTTTTAAAATTTTCTAATAATTAAAAATTCTGAATAAACCTGATATATTTTTTAGAATTTTTCATAATTAAATATAATATAATTTAAATAAATTATAAATATTCCTAAAATTTTCTTTTCAAGAAATTATGAAATTTTTTTCACCAGAGGAGAAAAAAAACAACTTACTTCTTTATACCATTTTCCAAAGTTTCGAGGACGAGCGTGGAGGCTTCGTTGATGTATGTCCTAGTGGATGTTCCACTTATACCCGATGCTTCACTCAAGCTCGATCGTCGCGATTGCTCTGGCACCGATAAATGCACTAAAAAAAAATTCACCTCGTATCAAGGATATACATGAGATAAAGGGAAATGCAAAAGAAACGTAAAGCGAAAGAGAGGATAAATAAAATGGACACAATTTTTCATTCGGCTCTATTTCTTTAGATTAAATATTCGAAACATGAATTGGCTACTACACCGGCTTTTTATTGCGTCACCGATTTCGATTCTACTGAAAGCCGAGAAGCAAAATCGCCGCACTACAGCCTACCTTGCGAAGACACTTACCACAAAGTCGAGTACCGTGAGAGTAACACATATGCGAGCAAGACAGAGTGCGCAAAAATGAGTACAATACACAACACTAGAGACGAGAAGACTAAAAATAGTAAGATAGCAGTCAAGAAACCCCAACTGACAGATCTCGTGAGCGATTTATTGTAATCTTCTTACAGATTTCAAACACGTGATATCTCTAAACAAACGTCTTACGACAAAAACTCTATGTCACTATGTTACACACTTTTATAATAATTCACAACGTGGAGAATACTAAAGAGAAACAACGTGGAGACCCTTACCCGAACCGGGATCGCGAGCTCTATCAGCAGATATGGATCTTGAATGAGCGTCTTCGTGATTGATCTCTCCTTCAGGACCCACTGATCTGCTTCTCGTCTTAGATCGGCTCAGTCGCTTTTTTATGGTGCCAAAGAAATCGCGTCGTTTCCTTCGCGTCCTTCCTCTCTCTGTCAAAATTTCGCAGCATGCGCATTAGATATTACATACAAATCGTTTCGAAAATATTTAAAGACGATATTATGTAATCGGAAATATACAGGGTGTGTTATTTTAAGTGATGCAGCTGAATATCTCGAAACCATGGCGATTTCGGTGAAAATGTTTTAAACAAAAGTTGTATGGTTTCAAGGGAGCCATAAGATGGTGCCATTGGTTTTATCTTGAAAAGTCGTTCGAAGATCACGTGATGGTCACCTTCAATTTCTTAAATGGAACTCCTATTTTTTATTACTTATTCTTCTAGCTTATCTCGAGAGCTTTCCAAAACACTATAATAAAGTATTTCTTCATTGAATACTTTTCGAGTTGTGAGGCTTGAAATAATTTCTTAATATTAAACCATAAAATAATAACCATAAAATATCTAATAAAATAACCATAAAATATCTAATAAAATATTCATTTTTCGATTATCTTACCTTAATACTTTTATGTACAAAATAATGAGAGGAATCAATTGGTGTAAAAAAAATACATAGTTATTTTTAAGAAAAAATATGTAATTGTTAATTGCGAATTATATATGTTTTCTTCGAAACTATGTTTTTCCATCTTATGGTTCCCTTAAAACCAACAACTTTTGTTTAAAACATTTTCACCGAAACCGCCATGGTTTCGAGATATTCAGCTGCATCACTTAAAATAACACGCCCTGTATATCACACGAATTACAATATATTAAAATTATCATTTTAATTAATATAATTTTGATTACTAGATAAAAATCTTACCTTCTGAATTGGAGGAATTAGGCGTGCTTTCTGGCCCTGAGGTAGCGCTGACGTCCTTCGTTCCGTGCTGCAAAGAATTTGTATTCGAAAATTATACAAAATGCAAAAAAATCCATTTTTTATTGTCATTGGAAAAATTTTTATTTATCATCACGAGACGAGAATGATATATTTTTTTTTCACATCGATTCACTTACCTCCGGGGATATCTCTTGCCAATTTCCATTCTGCGTCAGAGCGACCTGTTACATTAGTAAATACACAGCACTCAACCACTGTTAATATTCTCATATAAAAATGGAAAAAAAATGCTCAGTGTTAAAGTAAATTGCAAATTTTGAATGAATAAGTAAATTTGACTGGCGAGTTCTTCAAATTGGTTTGCCAATCCTTGAATTGGGAAGTAAATTTGAAGAATTCATCTGTCAAACTTACTAAAAATAGAGATGTATGTGTGAGAGAGGAGGTCAGATGTGTCTAGACATTTATTGTCTGTGTCTACACATTTTCATATATGTTCAATACGGCGGATCCTGAATGGGTCATGGCTAGTCTCCAAATACGATGTGTCTCAAGTTATATTATGTTGAGAAATTCTCTACGAATTTAATTTATCTTTTTGCATCTCAAGCATGAAAGAAATCAAATTATTTTGACTACAAAAAATGCAAAATAGTGTACAACACTTCTTACCTTCACAATCTGCCGCTCCAGTTGCTGCAAGAGAAACCAAACAGAAATCATGCTTCAGTGGAAATCGCTATAATCGTGAAGATTACATCTTCATCGGGGACAAATAATAATCTGTGGCGTTTGAAGCAAATAACTTTTAGAGAAAACAACGTTTATATATGTTGATTTATAAACTTTCTTCAAGTTATTCTAAGTTTAGGGGTTTCTTAGGGGATGGGACATATGGGGATTTTTTTCCTTTCACTCGTTTCTTTTAAATAAATCCACCCCTGAGTTTTTTTAGTTATTCAATTCCATATCAGCGTTATATTCATGCAATAAAAAATATACGTAATAATCGCTTAAGAAACTTACCCTCTGGCTGTGTACAATTAAGGTTCCCTTGTTACCGTTTGTCTGCCCGCTTTTGTATGGTGCATCCACGACGTTACCATTTGTCAGATAGTCTGCAAAGATATTTTTGTAATAAATTTTTGCACAAACATTATTATACTCGTTCAATAGGATCTACGACTCTGTCTATCCCTACGAAAGCGTCGACTACATCAAATACTAAAACTCTCACATCTATCTACCGAAACATTCGTCTTATACAGAGTGTTCCAGATTTTATTATTCCCTATTTATACATTTTTTATCAATTTTTATCGATTGTGAGGTTGTAAATGATAATAGAAAATTAATGAGAGAAAAGATGGAATTTTGAATACTCTGTATATTTAGGGAGAGTTAGCTCTGCTAAGAATAAATTACTTTTCACATATTTGCTCTTGATTCGGGTAGCATTCTACTCGTTCTATGTAAAAGACGAGAATCTAATCATCCTCATGCCATTCAACTACGTCGGGGAACTGGTTCCGACGTGCGATAAATAACATAATTTAATCAAATCTGTTTTTATGCTAAGGATTCAAATCAGCTCTGGCTATGAATCTATACATGTCTATCTTCAAACGGATAAAACGGGTCCAAAAGTTACTGTACATACTAGTGCAAGAAAAACCAATCTCTGGGTATTCACACACATCAACGCCTGATAACTGATCTGTAATTACCCCCTTCCGATTGCGCGGCAGAGTCGTACAAGATAAGTGTACTGTTACCATTGCTGTAGTTTAGACTATTGGTGCCGATGACGTTCGTCTGGCTGTAGGAACGAGCTGTAGGTGAGACTGGCTTTATAGTTTCCTTGACCTTGTAGGGCTTGGTCCCGATTTGTGGTACCTCTGCACCCTCGATAAATAGAAACTGCGAAGCGAAATAGAGATCAGCACTAAATGACAAATTAAAGTATCTCATAACATTAAACTCTTGAAGGTCGCCAGTAAATAAAATACAAGAAGTAATTAAAAACGACCACACTGGCAAATTTTATTAAAGTGAATCACGAAGTTTCGACCATGGTTTTGATGCTTTTCGAGTGAAAATAATTTAGTTAACTATTCTATCGTGAGAAATAAGGAAATCACTTCGTCAAGATTGTCATGTCAACCGTCTCCATCAACACACAGAGAAAGACTAGGGTAAAGTATCTCACATATCATATAGCATCCTATGTCCAAAAGACATTAACAGGACATCCTGAAGATGTCTAATCGTACAAAGATATCTTCTGAATACCTTCTGGACATCTTTTGGATATACATGCTATGTGGGTCTCTCTTTAAAGATACATTTGAAAATCTAAAATGATGCATAACACAGGCCTGTGAGATTTTTCTTTTTAAGATGCAATAGTGATTTCCGACGTAATTTTGTGAGCTGAATTCGAATCTGGCCGCTAATTTGCGTAGCACATCACGTTTTTGAGTAATTTGTAATTGAATGGCTCAAAAATAGCTATTTTGGCCAATTTCATGAATTTATTGCGAGGAAACCAAATTTTTTGAAATATTTCTGCCAATAGCATCGTATAATACTCACTTTCACGTTTCAAATCCACTTTCGATTATCGCCGCACGATTTTTCTTCACTGAGATATATAAGTATGACATTGTAAGAAAATTTACGTTAAAGAAAATTTATATAGACATCAATATGGTAAATCCATGATGTTGAAAGTTGAAAAGACTGACATATGTCAGGTCGGTTGTCCAAAAAAGTATTGTAAAGAAATATCTAATACAGTTGTTACACATTTTAATAAATTTTTCTAGATTTTATGCCTTTTTATTGTGATTCTATTCGCCATATTGGATGCGCTATTTTTATTTCAAAAGGTGACAGAAGGTTTAAAAATGTATATTTTTATCCTAATTTTGATTCGTAGTGAAATAAAGAAGTGGCACGGTTGATTTAGAATGGCTTATTAGATCCCTATGCATGACCAGTCTTATGACTTGTATATCTAAGCAAAAAAAAATCGTGCGGCGGTAATCGAAAGTGGATTCGAAAGATGAAAGTGAGTACTATACGATGCCATTGACAGAAATATTTCAAAAAATTTGGTTTACTCACAATAAATTCATGAAATTGGCCAAAATAGCGATTTTTGGGCTATTCAACTACAAATACCTACTCAACTCAAAAACCTAACGTGCTACGCAAATTCGGCAGCCAGATTCGGATTCAGCGCACAAAATTACGTCAAAAATCACTATTGCATCTTAAAAAGAAATTTTGATCCCCTTTTTTGCAGGCCTGTGAATCGAAAGATGCGAACGTATTGAAAAAAGCTATTTAAAAGTTTTTCGAAAAATATTTTGCATGCAATGTTTTATTTAAAATTAATTGAAACGCCGATTGAGGAGAACGATTACCTCAACGGTGAGGGTGCCTGTAATGTCATCCTCCTCGTACGGTCGTGCCTGAAGAGGTATGATTTGGCGTTGGCTCGGATTTGCGAGGAGCTCCTCGACGCCCACGATTCCGAGTCCCAAAAATCTTTGACTTCTATTGACGTGATCGAACACCTCTAACAACACTTCGGTCGTGTTGTGACTTATATCGCTGCAAATGCATATCGGAATTAGTTCCTTGCGCAACATCTCGACATCTTTCTCACGAATCAAAGGGAACACACGAAAAATACAATAAAATGATAAACTGCAGATATATAAAATGAAGTAATGTAAAATCGCAACTGTATAAATTATTACTCACAATAAGAAGGCCTCGTCCCATAGGGGATTCTTAGTGTCCTTCTTTACAGAAGTTTGATTCTTTTGCGGCGGTTCATCTAATTCTACTACGCAATAAGGATCCATGGCTCCTTGTTGGCCACCAAGGTCCGTTGCCCTCACAACCTTCACGAGTAGTCGTCTTTCGCCGGGCACATATTGCATAGCCGGCGAGGGAGTGATGCGTCCCTGAAGACGTTGTTGTGGGGGTTGATTTGTCATCGAGTTCGAGATGTTCTGCGAGCGAAGCGAGCAAGCGTGCGATAATAATGGCATAATAATATACAGGGTGTAACTTTTTTTTTTTAAGTTCCTACTAAGCAAACAGTATTATTCTTGATCAAAAATCGAGTCGAAAAGTCCTAAACCATTTTTTTCTATAATGCTTAATGAAGCAGTAATTATTGAGTAAATTCGCACCAATCAGCACTAATTTAGACGAGTGCACGTCAATGAGCCACGTCTGGTAGTGTACGTGAGCGCACAAGGTCGGTGCTGATTGGTGCGACTTTACTCAATAATTATTGCTTTATTAAGCGTTATAGAAAAAAATGATTCAGGACTTTTCGACTCGATTTTTAATCAGGAATAACACTATTTACTTAGTGGGAACTTTTCAAGTTACACCTTGTATAAACAGAGCTTTTGATATGAAAGCCTTATTTTTTTTTTTTGATAAAAGTAAACTACATTCAAAATATTAAAAAAAGAGAAAGAAAACGAGAGAGAAAATCAAAAGAAGGTATAGATCTTATTGAAGAAAAAGTAAATGCATTCAAGAAGAGAGAAAAAAAAGAGAGCGAGCTAAAGAAAAAAATTACATTTATGCAAATAAATAAATGCATTAATGCATCTAGTGTCGCATTGATAATCATGAATCGTTTCGATGCTTACCACATTGTCGTAAAGCGTGGGATACGAGAATCCCGGCTGAGGAGGTGGTTCTCTCCATAATCGGGGACAGGTGGGATATTGAGAGAGATTGAAGTGAACGTTGATGCCTCGCAAGGCACCCACCACAATTTCCGTCACCACTTCTTGCAATTGGCTCTCGTCCAAGTCTTTCTTTATTGTGCCAACCGCTGCCAGAGAAATCTTTACCTGATACGGGATAATAGATGATATTACTTCATCAAACCGCGGCGCAATTTCTTCCTCCATGCCTTTTATTTCAATTATTTCTCGTTTAGAAAAAGTCGTTTCGACAAATTTACGCGAAGAGATCTAGCATTCTCTTCTTGTGCATTGATATTGGCACGACAGACCGAAGATTATGTAAAACTCAGCGTATTGTTGTGAATTCAAGACGAGTGACAAACAGCCATGATTGCACGTTTCCGCATATTGCATCACAGGAAATCCGTCGATAACACGTACCTCCGGCCAACCGTCGCACTTCAGATCAACTAATAGCTTCTCGGTGATGCAGACGACATTGAGACGAGCGCGAAAGCGATTGATGTTCACCCGATAGTGATTAACATCCACCTTATCGCCTCGTTGTCGAAACGCCTTCAGTTGCAAGGCCGGAGTAGCCTCGCAATCGCACGTGATAGTCTGCAAATGAAGGAAGATGATGATTTCTCCTCGAGATGATTAATCCGTATCTCTAATTTTTGATTAATTAAATTTTATCAATTAATTGTTTAATAATCCCATCATATTTTAATTTGGAAATTCTCTTAATTTTCTTAATTACGGCTTGCAACGAATTAATTATGTCATTCTTTCAACATTGGAATTCTCTCAACTTTGGAATTCTTTTAATTTTGAAATTCTTTCAACTTTGGAATTCTTTTAATTTTGAAATTCTTTCAACTTGAGATTCTTTCAATTTTGAAATTCTTTCAATTTTGGAATTCTTTCAACTTTGAAATTCTTTCAATTTTGAAATTCTTTTAACTTTGGAATTCTTTTAATTTTAAAATTCTTTCAACTTGAGATTCTTTCAATTTTGGAATTCTTCCAACTTTAAAATTCTTTCAATTTTGGAATTCTTTCAACTTTGAAATTCTTTCAATTTTAAAATTCTTTCAACACTTTCGCTAAATTAATGCAAGTGAAAAGAAATTTTTTTTCTCGACAAGATTCCAAATGAGGTTTTAGAGTGAAAACAGAAACGGGATATTTACGTACCACGTCGTTCTTCGAATCGCATTCGCAGAAGATATTCGACAAGGTTGGGGGATGTGTCTCGGGAAGGACGCGGACAAATTCGACACCGACCCCGTGCTGCAACACGCATACAACGTCTAATGAATATTACACTCGCGGAATATCATATAACATTGCACCTGCTCCACGCTTTTTCACACGCGTGCTAATTACTTGGCCTGTCCGGCACGCAATCGCATGACACGCTTGTTTGCATTCGAAATTAAATTTATTTATGTTTCTATTTTATATGCAAACTATGAACAACCTGTGAATACGTAACAAAATACCAGATATATTCTAATACAGCACAGAACATTGCAGCAATATTGCGGCAATATTGCAATGTTGCTGCAATGTGACAACAATATTAATAATATTGCTGCAATGTTCGGAAAAACATTTTGGATCATTATTAATTAAACATTTGTTCATTCCAATTTTATACCACTTTAATTAAATAAATATTGTTTTTATTTTATTAAAGTTATCTCTCTTTATATAATAATAGTAAGCGAAATCAATTCTTTTCTCAAAATCCATCGTGATATGTCATAATAGTCATCCAAGTATTGTTATTAATTATTAAAAATAATTTTAATAATAAAAAAAATTAATAAAGACGAATAAAATTTGGTGCGCGGATAAAGATAATGGATACGCGCCGGTAATTAAGCCAAGCCTACAACTGACGCAACTAAAGAAATTTTGAACAGTTATTCCAGCGAAATGACGCCATCGGCTACACGTGGCAAGGACAGCGCCGAACCGTAACATCTTTTTATACACTATTGGCCTTTGATGTAACCTACCTTGACCCATGTAAATGGCCATTCGATATCCTCTTTCTACGAGAAAAAATTACGCAATCGAGATTCTAAAGCAGAATATAATATTTCAATTTATGTAAAACGAGGCAGAAACTATCAATCGTATATAAAATATCTCGTAATACGTTGTTATTGAACGACTCTTCAATTGCCTCTAATTAATTGATTTACTCGACTGATTAATTCATTTATCGACATAAGTATTGATGAATTCAAAAAAGAGTAAGTTGTAGAACAAAGACTATTGATTTTAATAATAATTATTTGAAGTAAACAAGTAGAAAAGCGATTTGGCACGAATAAAGTAATTAAATTTTGTAAATCCAATCCCCGATTCAACAATATTGCAATTTCTTGTCGGATGAATCATAGAATAGTAGCAAAATTTGGAAAAGTGCCCGTAATTCCAAGCGCGCGAGATATGCCTTGAGCGCAAACAATGTCTTGGTGCAGCCGAGTGTTCTGTTATCAAACACAGACTTTTTCAATGCGACTAATCTTCGCTAAAGAGACAGTGAACTGATAATTACGAGAATTTGTACGAGCTCTTTGTTTCATTGTAATTCAGATACATTCGTCTAAAAAGAGAATCGTGCTCTCGACTCAAGCACTCGACCTACTCGACCTCGCAATCACACATAGACACACATACACACGAACAAACCCCTTCTCTCCTATCATTTTGCTGGAGTCACCCACGCTAAGAGAAGAGTTTGTATCTCGCCTTATCGAGCGTGACGAGTCGGACGTGTTTTTCAAGCGGATTTCAACATTTATTTTATACGAAAGCATATCTCACAGAGTAATTATATACAAGAATATATTTATATATAGCAAAATTTTTCATTATTATCATGAATCATGAACTTTTCGCATCTAGGGTTTAAAATTGCCAAATTGGGGGACACGAAATCTAAAAAATCTTGATCATTTTTCGCCGATGTAAGAGCTCGAATTGAGCTTAAAGAGATAAAAATCAGACGACTACAAGAGCGAGATATGCTTCTCACCTCATTAGTGGAGTTGGCGGTGAAGTCGTTGAGAGAGACCACCCAAGTGGCCAAGAGTTCGTTGAGGATCACGAGGTCGTAGTGTAGCCAGACGATAAGTTCGTTCACCCAGCGCACGGCCTCGGCGTCGGCGCCAGTCGCGGTTGGCAGATGTAGCGCCCTGGAGCTTCGGGACGGGCTGACAAGGGCGCCAGAGGTCTTCCTGGTCAGGCGTTTTCTAATCGGTGGCGTCGGTGGCACGTAACCTCCCGGCGAGGGTGCTCTCACACCTGCTACCGCGCCGGTACCAACACCACCACCACTACCACCACCTCCACCACCACCACTACCACCACTAGCAGCACCACTAGTGGTACCACTAGCACTGACGGTACCGCCTGCACCACCGGTACCAGCCCTCACGAGCGACGACGAGGACGATGAGGGTGATGTCGATTTGGGTTTATCCACCAGTTTCCCAACAGCGGTAGCCGCCAGCACGGTACTCTCGGCGAGATGGACATGGCTGTCTTTAGGAAGCTGCGGCGACGAGGTGGCGGCGGCGGTGGCGAGGTCGTTGAGCACGAAGCGATTGTACACGTACTTGCCGACGCACAACACCACTAACCCAAACAGCATCCAGCCGAATATCAGCATCGATAGTGTATCCATGGTCGTCTCACCAGCCGAGTCGAAACTGCATATCAGATCGTCCACCCGCTCGGCCAAGTCGGCCATATTGCCCCATCGTTCTGCCAACCAAGTCCAATTGGATTCCAAAAACATTCTTTTCTATTTTCACCCGTGAGCGGCCCCACCACCGCACTATACTTGGCTATTAATACGCCGCGCATATACCCTGGGCTCCACCTGGGCCACGTTACTACGGCACTGGTGGACGACGTTCCCGTCTATGTCGTCGTCTACTCGCGTGTCTACCCAGCGCGTGTATGCCTCTGCCTCTGCTCGGGAGAGATTCGCGACCTCGTGACCGATCAGACAGCCGGGGTCAGTCAGACTTTGGCCGTCAGCTTTGGGGTCACGCGTCTTCCTTCGCATCAACCTCTTTTCACCGTACCCGACCTTCACGTATGCAGATGTTGTCGACTCAATTATCTAATTGAGCTCGGACTTGGAGGTCGCGAGCTTCCTTTAGGATTTTTTTTTAATACTCAACCTTGATGATCTTTTCGATGTTCAAGCGTGAAGCTATGATATTTTTTAAATGACGTTATATCCATATAATAAGTAAGGAGACCAGCTACCTTTGCATAATGTGCGATGTTTTGAGACATCAGAAGACTTAAAGTTATTTCAGATGATTTCGATCATTGCTTTGAGATTAATTAGATTAATATGCTAATAAGCATGATATTCTTCTTATGCGTCGCATCCAGGAGATCATTCTGAAACAAAGACATTCAGTAAATTAAATCAGCTCTCTTGAAAAGAGAGAAGTTATTATTCGATATCGACTAATATAAGCTCTTTATTAATAATAAATATCAATTACACGATGCACCCACGTGGATTATTAAAATTGAATAAAGTCATACCTCAAACGAGTTTCATCTGGAAGAACTTTATGTGATTTCGAGCCGAAATAATTTTTTTTAAATTAAAAAATATTTCCAACTCCATTAATATTATTTTATTAAAATTTCCTTGATTTTTACCTCGAAGATTTCAATATCCAAGTCTAATCCTATGAATAGTTTAATTCTAATTTGAACATATAATTTTTTTACTATCATACGCTTTACTCTTTTGCGAAAAATTCGAGATAACACCCTTTTATACCTGTATTGCACTGCATTGTACGTTAACGAATATTTTTAGCCGGCTATCGGAGTTGTTCCTTGGTGGTTAAGTGATAACAGGTAGCGGCGAATGGACGTAACGAGGAGACTTATATGTCAGCAACCTTGACGATGTCTTATCACTTGACCGTCATAATTTTCCCTCGCTCTAGAGATAGGTAAAGGAGGAAAGAAAGAGAGAGAAAGATTGAGAGAGAGAGAGAGAGAAAAACGCGTGTCGCTAAGCATTATTGACCACATTGAAAGAGAAGAGCTCTAGAGTTGTTGCTGCCCGCTGGCAAGTGATGCAATTCAAGCTCAGTTATCAATCAATGATCGAGATCAATGGACGAGTCATGAAAAGAACAATGAAAGCTTACGAAGCTGCCGGCAGAAAAACATATAAAAAAATTGAGCGAGGATAAAATATTCGTTTTTTCGATATTTTCTTTTTGAATATTCGTTTCATAAATTATATTATTTTTATAAAATATATAATTATATAATTAATTGTGTAATTATATTATTTTTATATATTGAAATAAATTATTTTATTATATAAATATAATTATTTTATTATATTAATATAAATTATTTTATAATATAAATTTTATAATATAATTTTTATATATTAAAATAAATTATTTTATTATATTAATATAAATTATTTTATAATATAAATTATTTTATTATTATAGTAATTATCCAAGGATTTTATATAAGATTTGTAATAATACATAAAAAGAAGAACAAATGTAAAAATAGAGCATGAATAATGAAGCAAAAAAAAAGAAAAAAATAACTGATTAAGTCATTCATTTATGTAGATGTACCGGTTTGTCTTCTCTTTCTCTCTCCCTCTCTCTCTCTCTCTCTCTTTCTCTCTTAGTGCCTTATAAGGTGCGCAACTCTGTTGGAGAGAATTATTCCTGTTTACGTCGAATGACGTGATCGATACGTTCACTATTCACAAAAGAGCGAAATGATATCGCGAAGCCCAGTGAATGTCTTGTTCAAGTGCCGTTATACTTTCGCCTCGCCTTCTCCAGCACATGGAAAGTGTTTGCGCGTTCACTTTTTATTGCGGTCATTGCGTAGCTTAGTAGCTCTCATTAACATTCGTTCTCTATCCTTATCTGTCGTTGGGAATCCATCGGTCTGTCAAAGTCGAGTCGAATGTTTCACTTTACAAAACCTCGAGGAATCTTGTTGACGATTGGTGCCGTCAAAGACGAAGCTTGTCCTCGATTAAAAAGCATCAGTCACTCTCCCGAAACGTGATAGATAGTTTTTGTTGCTTGCAAAAAACGCAGATAAACACACATTTTCACACATTGACGCGCAACCACTATTCTTCAAGCCGAGAGTAAATGATTAAAAATCGATATAAATATAAAAATCGATGTAAATAAAATTAAAAATTCACGAACAGAGATTTTATGATGGATTACAGCTATTGCGTGATGTCAAATCGCCTTTTACTTATCTCTTAAACAATGGTTGAATAAAACATGAATGTACAGGAATTTAGTTTCTAACTTTGAATAATCAATTACAAAATTAATAGTTAATGCTCATTTATTTATTTTTATTATCATGGAAAAAAATCTTTTCTTTTATTTTGTTTTACTCGATTGCATTTTTTCGAGAACAAACAATTTGAATCGTAACCCGGTTACGCGACAATCGATCAATTTCTCTTTGTATTGGGCACACATATACATATGTATATTCAAATTACATGTGTATATATAAATTTCCACTCACTCAATGTCAATTATTTTCCATCCAGTGTCAATTATTTTTATTGATAGTCAATATGATTAAAGATGAAAAACTTTGTTACATATGTATATATATATATATTATTAAAAATCGATATAAATATAAAAATTACATATGTATATATATTATTAAAAATCGATATAAATATAAAAATCGATGTAAATAAAATTAAAAATTCACGAGCAGAGATTTTATGATGGATTACAGCTATATTGCGTGATGTTAAATCGCCTTTTACTTATCTCTTAAATAATGGTTGAATAAAACATGAATTTACAGGAATTTACTTTCTAACTTTGAATAATCAATTACAAAATTAATAGTTAATGCTCATTTATTTATTTTTTTATTATCATGGAAAAAATCTATTCTTTTATTTTGTTTTACTCGATTGCATTTTTTCGAGAAACAATTTGAATCGTAACCCGGTTACGCGACACTCGATCAATTTCTCTTTGTATTGGGCACACATATAGGTGTGTATATTCAAATTACATGTATATATTTAAATTTCTCACTCAGTGTCAATTATTTTCCATCCAGTGTCAATTATTTTTATTGATAGTCAACATGATTAAAGATGAAAAACTTTGTTACATATATTATATATGTATATATATTTCCTCGATTACAAAACCGCTCGAAATATACCACTGCTATCGATTAATTTGATAAGATGACTTTTGTTGTACAAACAAAAACAGATCCTTTTTCTGACTAATTTCCGGTTAGTTTTACAAGTAATCGCACAAGGAAGAAACAATATTGCCAAGCAATATTGCCAAGCAATATTGACAGCTGCGTTTCGGAGCAATATTGCCGAGCAATATTACTCGGCAATATTGCTCCGAAACGCAGCTGTCAGTATTACTCAAAACGTGATATTTTTTATAAATTGTCGAATAATAAATATCTTCTTTTGAACACACAAAAGTCAAGCAATAAACAGCAAAATTTTGCTGCACATTTAAAATACTTTTGGACGCATAACTGCAGTAGCTTTGCGCATTGCGCCCGTTCGAATGCGACCGCATCATGTCCATATTAATTAGGTCCTCGAATAACAATGAAATAATAATTTGAAAAATAGATAAGAAATAATAATTTGAAAAATAGACAAACTTTTGTTACATATATCCATGCAATCGCACTCTTTTCTCTCGAAAATCGCACTATTTCTACCGCATTCGTTAGGACTTATTGACCTGGTATCTCTTATCCTGTATCATTCGAACCGAATCCATCAGATAATTTCAAAAACTACATTTATTTAATCGGACGTAGATTGTCAGTGCAATCGCTGAAGCGAGTAACAATCGCAATATTATCAATTCGCACCCAGACGTGCTCGCATGCGGCCTGTTTCGTTCACGTTACGCACTTTACTCCGTTTCCTGGATAGGTGGCAACAACAACAACACAACAACAACAATAATAACAACTTTAAATACGACGATTATCTACCTTCCTCGCGAAATGGATGCCACGCGATGCGACGCGACGCCGGTCCGCGGCTGTCTGACTTTCGATTAATCGGCCGATCGCTGGTCGAGCTCGGAGGGGCAACCCCCGCCAGAGTCCGAGCCGCGTGAGGGAGTTCGCTCCCTTGTTCGACGCAACTTCCTCGTTCTTCCCCGTGTCACTCGAGGGAGACTCCTTTCCGCGCTTTTCATCTCATACTCTCTACGAGAGCAGACGAGATGCTCGACCGAGATAAGAGAGGGGAAAAGATCACCGGGACAAAAACATTGCCCTACATCGCGAAATATAGGGTGTCTTGACAGGCTCCTCGCTGCAAGTTACTTTCCCCCGAAATTTTTTCTCGACAAAAACTTGTTTTCGATATTTTCTACAAGTCGTGGATGTTTTTATCGTTAGAAATGGGATGTTCGAAAAAGTTGGATGTTTAAATTTTTAGTGAAAGTCCTCACTTTCATACAAATTTTGCAGAAGTTAAAATTGTAGATGTAATTGTGCCTAACGAAATTTTAGTCCCAAGTGTGAAAATTCCACTTCAATTGAATTTTTTTTTCCTTCAAATAAATAAATTTCGAATATAGAGGAATGAATTAGATGTATCTCTATGAGGTGAGTTTACATCCAAAGTCGGACATAACCTCACAATTATGAGATTGACAGGAGGCAAAAAAAAATATCCAGGCTATTATTGCTTCAAAAAAAAAATCGAACGCATAATATTTTTTATTGTTATCTGGATCGAGAAAATGTCTGAAAAAAAATCCCTTCTGATAAACAAACAATTGACTCGAGTCGATTAATTAATCTCCAGTGCACTTTCGCAAAAATGGCTCCTTCTCTTTCTCGAAATTACATTCTTCGACGACGAAAGCTGGAAGTATTGGGGAATTTCTGGTCCGCCCTATATATCGTCGGTCATGGTACCGCGGTCCCATATCGATCCGCTGCGCAACCACCACCGGTCGACCTCACGACGAATCGTCGCCCGTTACCTTGACACGCAGAATGAGGTCCCTGTTCCCTTCGGTGTGTTACGCTTTTCTTGACTTTAGAATGAGATGGTTGTGTACTGGGTAGGCTGACTGTGAGAGGAAAAATATCTTTGGCTAATAATATAGGATGCGGACGAAAGCAACCAGTCTACAGCAAACGTGTACGAGCCACATGTAAATTTACAATGCAAAGGCGAATGATCCGTGGAGATCATTGTCTTCGAGGCTCTAAGTTTCTGTCCCCTCAGTAAGATAGGATCTTTCCATTCGCGTTATACAATATCCTTAGAAACTACAATTTAAGTGAAAGCGGTTTTCAAAACAAAGAGCAAAATTACTCGAGCAAAACCAACGAAAATAAAACAAAAATTATAAAAACAAAGAATAATCTATCTAGTAAACTTTGTTAAATAAAAAGGAATTAAAATTTATTATTAATATTAAGATATTATTCTTTTTTTTTTAATTACACATAAATCCTTATTTGTCTTTTTCACACTTAATTGCGTATTTAAGGAGATACCTAAATAATTTGACTGTAAGTCATGCGTGTTTCTTGAATACCGACTGTCACTGACTCAAATAAATTATAATGAATTATACGTCGATGTAAATAATTGCGTAATCAAAGAGAATGCATGCTGAGTCAATGTTGATGATGTAATAAAGGATCCATCATCGGTGTAAATAGTTGATCATACACGAGATATCGAACTTGGATAATTTCAAAAGCAAGAAAGGGACCGGATAAACGAGGTTATCGTTGAAAATCGATCGTTGAATAAAACAAAAATACCGTGCTAGCGATTTGACCGAATTGAACCGCTCAATCAATGCGGGGTAAATGCACTCGATCTATTATCTTACAACACATCATAAACTCGTGAACGATCTTTTTCCAGCTTAAACCTAACTTTTTCATAATCTCCTGCAAACTAATACAGTTTATATTATTATATCTTTCGTAATCTAATGCTTTTATTAATAAATATTAATAAATTAATTAATATTGATAATATTAATTAATAAATATTAATAAATAATTAATATTAATAAAATAATTAATTAATAATAATAATAATAACATTAATAATAATATTAATAATAATAATATAATAATAAAATATAATATAATATAATAATAAAATAATGAATAATAATAATATTAATAATAATATTAATAATAATAATAATTAATTAATATTAATAAATATTAATATTAATAAATTGACATGTAAAAGCTTGAGTTGAGTTCATGCCACTAACATGTATAGAAAAAAATTATTCAGAATGATGACCTTGACAAGCAACATATTTCAAGATCATTAAAATTAAAATTGATTGCCTCTTTTTCGAATAATTACCTAAATTAATTTATGTTATCAGATATTGAATCGTGAATTGAATACCTCGATTGACGTTTGACGTTTGTTGCGACACCACCTTCAATATCTGATCTTCTCCAGATCATACGAAGAACTTTGTTCCAGCTGTAGATAGCGAGTAAGCGTGATGACGTCAATCTAAAAATAACTTCGACAAACATTTCATTCGCACGAGACACGTGCGTGAAGGCACGCGAGCATGAAATCTATACCTCCACCTTTAATCAGGAAAATCCCTCCTTCTTGTTATTCCTCCTATAACTATTAAGAAACCAGGCCGCGGCGAATAAGTATCATTGCTTAAGCTTTACTTAAGAAAATTACCGAGTAAAGATAGAAAGAAAGAAGAAGAGAAAGAGAGACAATATATTCGTGAGTGAACGTCATCGAAATAAAATTTTAATTTGTAAAATATACGAATTTTTTTATATAAATACATATCGATTTCTCTTAACGTGTCTTCTCTCTTCTTTGACTTTGAGCTCTTCGATAATTCATGTGAGTTCTAATCGGTAGTTCACATGTAGATTATTTCAGAAAAATAATGATAATTGCATATTCATCGCAATTCGACTATGTTGAAGATTTATACAGGGTGCTTCTAAATTCGCGATAAATATCTTAATGATAAATTTTTTGTAACATTTTAAAACGAAAATTTTAATAGAAAAATTTCGAGGCTTTTAATAGTGTTCAAATGGAAAAGGTTTAAAGATTACGATTTTTAATGAAATTCTTGAATATTTTCACAATAATTTCATCAATATCAAAAGCAATCGACACGGAAGCATCTTTATTATTAGCCATTTTGATAACCTCGCGCGCGAAAATTTAGCCCTGTCATTCGTGATCTTTAAACTTTGCCATTTGAAAACTGTTATAACCTCGACATTTTCGTATTACAATTTTCGTCTGAAAATGTTACAAAGAATTTGTCATTAAAATATTTGTCGCGAATTTAGGAACACCCTATACAGGGTGATTCTAAACCTAAGTCAGAGATTTTAAGGGCGTATTCTAGGGATCAAAATAAGAAGAAAAGTACTTATAAACATGGTTTCAAAAATGCTTTCCCGCCGAGATGTAGCTCCCTAAAGTTAGTGGAAAAAATCGCAAAATATATTGAAAAAATAAAGATCATTGTTAATTATTACGCTGTGCAAAATTTCAACGTTCTGTGAAAAAGTCACCGACAGTTGCAATATATTTTGCGACTCTTTAAAATTTCTGACATAAGCAGTGTTTGCTGGTATCTAGATAAAATTATCTAGATAATCATCTAGATAATCATCTAGATAAAGAAATGGATTATCTTTAACTAGATGAAGAAATACAAAGTATCTTTATCTTTATCTTTATCTTAGATGAAAAATATATGTCATCTTATCTAAAAATTGTCTAAAATGACGTTTTCATTATGCAAAAAAGTTTTCCAGGCAAGCTTCTAAAAATCTATCTAAAATATTTAAAATATATTTTTTATATTATTATTATAAATATATTATTATTATATTATTAATATATTATAAATATATTATAAATATATTATAAATATAAATTAATAAATAAATATTTATCATATCATTTATACACCTTTTTACTATTATTTAAATATTCTTTAGAAAAAGAGAAAGAATATGTGTTTATGATTTTAATATCCCGTTTAAAATCTGCGTTACATTTTTTACAAATATTTATAGTCTTCTAAAATAAACAAAAATATCTAGATAATTATCTAGATTATCGCAATAATTATTTCATCTTTCATCTAGATTAAGTAAAAGCAAAATCATCTTTATCTCATCTAAGATAAATTTACGGATTTTTATCTTTATTTAGATAATTTTAAAATTATCTACAGCAAACACTGGACATAAGTTTAGAAACACCCTGTATAGATAAATCTACTTGAATAAGTGTGAAAAGAAAGAGAGGAGTCTCTCTTACAGCGTATATCTTTTTTATTATTTTATCATTCATTTACATACAAATATTTTCAAGATACGTCTTACGAAAACGAAGTAGTGGCCATATTCGGTGCTCGCTGTAGAGTTTGCGCTTCATCTACGATTACGAAGAGCGCGTTCCTCGATACAAAGTAGCTTCGTCGCTCTCTCTATCTCGTTCACTTAAAATTATTACATTAACATATTCGCGGCGTCCTTGAGCTCGTTTCGTTTTCACTTTCAGAAAAGCCGTCCAACGCGCGATCCGGTTCGCGCGAAAAATAAATTATTTGCCCCCCCAAAAAAAAAAAAGAAATACAGAAGAGCTTAAGCCTAATTTTCCTGAAAATGATAAGAAAGGGTACATCGCGAAATTGAAATGATGCAATTGTCTGGATCGATTGCCATCAGATTTCTCGCTATCGAACGTAAGGTGTACATGTCTAGGTCGGCAATAGATATTAACAAGTACAAATCTCAATCGTGGATTTCGTTCGCCTCGCGCTAAAGGAACTCGAAGAAAGGGCAGAGAAAAACGGTTTGCGAAAAACAAAACGCTGATCATACATCTCGACGAGCTATTCTCTCTCTCGCTCCCTAAGAATCCCGACACGCACGCTGCGAGGAACCTATATATGAGGGAAATTTCGAGTTTGGCAGTCGATGGCTGTTGACGGACGCTGATTCTGATCATTCAGCACAACATATCACAATTCGAGGTAAAGTTCGGCACGCCAACCATTTACGATGGCGATGACTTATGAATTAAGTTTCCACCGAGAGTTCGAATCGGGTCAGAGTTGGGTCAGAGTTGGGTCAGAATAGGGTTTATTGGTGTTTCTACCATAAAAAGTTCACCCCAACTTGACTCTGACCCGATTCTGACCCAACTCTGATCCGATTCGAACTCTCGGTGGAAACTTAGTCATGATTCGCATGATGCATCCTCGCGCACGTGTCCCTTTTAACAGCTGACAATCCCATCGAGTCCGAATGTCGCGATCTGTCACGTATTCTGCTCCCTCCGTTTTCCTTGCCGAGATAATAATTGCAGAGATTACTCCCTTTCTCGCATCATATCGAAGTCCAAAGTCGCAGACACGTCAACTTCGATCAGCTTTCATCCCTCTTATCGATGCGAAACAGTCCGGATGAGTCGTATTCGTCGCGTGATTACGCTTTGTGTGCATAAACGGTTGTGCTTATGAATTTTACTTATTTTACATGAAGAAACTCGCTCTCGAAACTTGGTATCTCGCGCGAATTTTATTGAAATATCGGTGATCCAGAAATGCATCTGATCGTTACAGCTAGGAGACCACACGAGTCGCGTGTGGACAACCCACATGTCCAAAAGACATCTAAAAGACGACATAAAGATGTCTTAAAGTCCTCTAGACGTCTTTAAGACATCCTTTGGCCTTTTTGTGCTGTTTGGGAAGTCGCTCGTCCCTATTTCTTTCTTTTATCTTCTAATATTACGAACGATTTTTTTCTTCGCATATCGCTTATATCGAAGGCAGGACAAAGCGACGTTTAAAAATGAAGGATACCACGAAGATGGGTCTCTTCGCGATATTGTGATGCTTACGGCATAGCTTATTTCTAATTAATGTTTTACACACGTTAATCCGCAGTCATTCCACGCACGTCCCTAATAATAGCCTAAACATGAACATTTTCACTCGCATGACGTGAAACCGGCGACAAATCGTCAATAAACGGGCTCGTGCAAGTGTCAAGTCATAAAAATACGCAATTTTCGCGATCATTTACATTATTAAAGCGCTCAATTATATTAGGAATCAATCAGTGTCCACAACCTTCCATTTATACATTTTATCGCTTGAAAAATATGGTAAATAGTTAGGTAATTCTTTTAATAGAAGCGAAAAAAAATGTTACATTTGCACTCAACGCTCATTTTTAGCACCAAGACATCACGTGATCAAAAAATGATGAATTGGCATCTTTATTTTTAGTCACACAATGTGGAAAATAGAAAAATGAACGTCCAGCGTCTGATATGAAAAACCCATCTTAAGACTTAACGTTTCGGGTTCAAAGATGAATAAACAGAAGAACGTCGATTAAATCGCCGAAAAAAAGTTTCATCGCCGGTTTCGCTCGACTTAAATGCGTCGTATTTCGAGTCTTATGCGTGTATTCTCGATCATTAACATAGCAATCACATCGCAATACACAGTGCTTATTAATGGCCTCGGTCGCGGCAGCAAACCTTTATATCACCTCGTTTATTATCCAAGTTTTCCCTCGGCCCAGCGTTCCTCTCTCAAGTGTATAACTCTTTTTTTCCAATCGCAATTAACACAAACACACTCTTACAAATACCCGCTTTAAAACTACGATATGAAAATTATATGTCTCGCCATAATATACTCAATATATGCGTGTATCTAAGTGCAAAAAAATAGAATAAAATATGCGCAAACAATATGCATATCGCAGTTTTGATAGTGCGTAGTCGCAAACATCGTGTATTTTAATTACGCGATAAAAATGCGTTATGTTAACCGGAGACGACTGAGTGACGGAAAACACCAGAGTGCTATCAATACGCGGTTACACGCATTGATATCATAATTATACACGGTGTTTCACGATGATTGCGTTGAATTTTAACGATAGCTTCTACGAGCAATTTGGAAGAAGGAAAGTCAGTCGGTTAAAATATCGTTAATTATCAATAATTCACAATATAATTCTCGAATGAGGTTGAAGAGCTTTCTCTTCAAATGCAGCTTCGGAGAAACAAATATATACAGGGTGTCATGTAATTGGCGCCCACTATTTATATAGCGATATTCCTCGTGGAAAACCGAGTCGAAAAGTCCTGAATCATTTTTTTCTATAATGCTTAATAAAGCGGTAATTATTGAGTAAAGTTGCGCCAATAAGCATCCGATCTTTAGCCTCCTTGACGAAATTTTCTTTAAGGAAACGCTTTTAATGGAAGAAATATGATTTTTAATGCAAAATAAAGTTTTTCGCATTATAGAAGAAAAAAATGGTTTCCAAAAAAAAATGGTTTAAAAAAAATGGTTTCAAATTTTTTTCTAATAAAAAAAATGGTTCAGGACTTTTCGACTCAGGAATTTTTCACGAGGAATATCGCTATATAAATAGTGGGCTCCAATTAAGTGACACCCTGTATAATACAAGTGTGTATAATAGTACATAAATTTTTATTTAAAAAATTCCTCTTTCATATATTATTATTATTATTGTTTAATATAATAACACACATTCTTCCTCTCTTTCTTTTTCCTTCCTTCCTCATTCAATTTCAAATTTATTAGAGATCATGTGAAACATCGGATATATCGGCGGGAGGGAGAACAAAGGGACCAACGAAAGAAAAAGTGCAAGATGTAAGCGACAGAATGGATAAGAAAACAAACTCTATAATTGCTCGAAATACTCGAAAAAGCTTCTCGATACTTGTACATCTCCCTCTTTCATTACATAATCGCCATTACATAATATTTTTTTTTTTTTTTTTTTTCAAAAAAAGAAGAAATACAAAGAAGAAAGAAGAAGAAGAAAGAAGAAAGATGAACAAAATAAATACATTATATATGGAAGATCCACACCATGGATAAATTTATATGTACAAATAGATGCAGTGTAGAAAATGGTCGTAAAATAAAAGAAGTCAAAGGAAGGAGCAAAGAGAAGAATAAGTAAATCCTCTAAAAAGATAATCGCACGCACAAATCGCATATCCAAATCACGCCTCTCTCTCGATTATCCGACGAAAATATTTGCATGCGATGCAACCAGGCATATTGATGATCAGTTGTTTTCGCTGAGAGAAAATGCAAAATCGCTACCTCGTGAAGATTACGAAGAAGCGAGGAAATAAATGTATAATTATATCACGCTAGTGCTTAAAATTATAGCCAATGTTTAGGCAGAAAATTACAAGAGAAGGCAGAGAATTGCAAGAACTAATCGATAAAAGATGAACGCGACAAATCGATACTTCAGATTTAGTCGAAGATAAGCGTCACCGCCGCTCATTGTCAAAATTGATACACCCTTCCTTGCGAAATTATCTCCCATGCGACTCGACTAGAAACTGTCTCTCATCTAATCCCTCAAATGATCATCGAGAATCCCTATGATTACGTGCCATCGCGAAACAAGCGTGCCAATATTTACGCATGTATAATAAAGTGTAATAAAAATCGTGTAAAATTCAGCCTTCGAAGAAAATCACGCGAGTCGGTGACGAACGATTACCGATCGAATGAAATCACGTATAAGATCAATGTATCCTGTATTTTTTTCTTTCTCGCGAAATACGGCTAAGTTTCCACCGAGAGTTCGAATCGGGTCGGAGTTGGATCAGAATAGGATTTATTGGTGTTTCCACCATAAAAGGTTCACCCTAACTCTGACCCGATTCTGACCCAATTCTGACCCGACTTGAACTCTCGATGGAAACTTGGTCAATATTAGTAACAATTTTCGATCGCGCGATCGTGATAGCGACGGGGAATCGAGTGTAATTATCGTGTATCGCGAATTCGAATTGACAAACCGGTTGAATGGTAGAAGCCGTGCTTCTTGATCGCCATAAAAACATAATTGGTCACGCGATAAAATCCGTCGAAAGTGTAAAATAAAGTAGAATAGCCTCGATACAAGAAATAAACTACTTATCGTTATCATGATGAATGTTTAACAGCTTATCCACGCGAGTGAAAAGGAAAAATTGACCGAGTAGAGGTGCTTGTCGAAAGATAGGTGGAAACTGATCACATGAAAAAGCCATGAAGATAAAGGCCCATATTCTGAATCTTCTTTTATCGATAAAAGTGCCTCTAAAAGAGGCTTATAAGCTTTTTGATTTGTTACAAACCACTTTTAGAAGCACTTTTATTGATAAAAGAGAATTTAAAATATGGACCAAAGATTAGAGAGACGCCGGGTTTCAAGAATTTTTTTTTTTTTTTTTTTTTTAATTCTTTTATCCAACCGAAGAAAGTACGATTCGATGTACGACGAGTAGTTTGGAATATGAAGAATAAAATTGCTGAAATGCGTCGAGTCGAGTAATTCAGACATTCGATATCTCCAGGAATGAATTAACACGGAAATTTGTCTTAACTATAGGTATCGTTTAAGAGCGCAATATAGCGTGTCTCCTCGAGAATTTCACAATCAACGATCGTGGCATCCGTCTATCGTCGTTTATTGCTATTTACAATGTTTAACGTGTCTAGGAGGGTTATCGGAGAATGTGGGATGTATCTTGGAATGTATTCGCCCATTTACATTTTTCATTCAGAGATGGATATCAACAACAGAGATCGACAATGCAATGTGTTTCGCCCAAATGATGAAAACGACACAGCGTATATAACGATAAAAAGTAAAAGACGAGAAATGCGAGGAAAACACATGCCACGACATTGACGAAAGAATTCCGTATAGAATGTTGTACAGTGAGATCGTTCTTATAAAAAATCGATCGTGTAAAAAAACGTTCCGTTATACAAGAGAAGTCTTAGAAACCCTGCCTGACCATTTGCAGTAAAAAATATACGACGCGTAACTTGGACGTTGAAATAATTGAGTCTCTCTCTCTCTCGCGATTTCAAACAAGTTCACAGTGCAAAATTTTTCGTCCAAGGTTGATTAACGTCAACCTTGATTATTGAAAATTTTTGTCGCTTGACTGGCCTTATAAACATGTCAAAATGTGACTATTACTGGAGATATTTATGCACGTGTATAGAGATTGATATTATTTTTATACATGTTATAAATAGTACACCATTTTTTGGTCTCTTTATCGATATCTTGTTTAATCTACAAAGCGATTTAATAGTACTTCATTGTGCGTGTACTTATTTTATGTTTCCATGATAAAATGTTTCTCTCGATTGAAACTTGTAAGGATTTCTCGTGATCCCATGCGCTTGAATCGAGAGACTTTTTTACGTAAAATTAAACTCGACACGAAACTCAACTGATTCAACGTTTCGTTACGATTATTATTTATATAGCAAGTATTAAAATGAAAGGATTACGGTCACTTAAAATACTAAATTGGATTAATTTACTTACACATAAATGTCCAATATACATGAATGTAGCCACACTACATTCTGTTGCAAATACGTTGTAAAAACCTGTATGTGGTTCTCGATAAAGTCGCTCCGATCGAGCGATCTAGTCATAAAATTCTCTCTTTAATTTCTTTTTTTCTTTTTTTTTTCTTTTCCGTCTTATGCTTTTCGGGTTCGAGAGTTCGGCTCTGTCTCCTTTGCTTCTTCTTTTATCGTCTTCTTTATCTCTTATTCAGTTCTGTTCTGACGACTGGAAATATAAAATTTTTGCATTTGACATCTTGTGGAACGATAAAAAATATTTATGTACACTGAGAAAAATCGTTTGATTGTACCAACAAGACGTATATGAAGGCATTTTAGGTAAATCAAACAAGAATTTCTAGCTATCATGATAAGATTCGATTTTTTTATATAACTAGAACGTTTAATAGATTTTACAAGGATTTTATAAGGATTTGGTTAGTATTTTCTGGATCTATAAAATTTCTTGTTACATTAATTTCTTTGCTTACCACTCTTAATGTAACTCGTATTCAATATCTGCCATGAAATGTATATAAAAATCTAGTATTAACATTAAATCCAAAGTATATTTTTTTTCTGTTATGAGCAGTAGTGCCAGAAAGAGGACGCTAGCCTCTTCTTGCATCACTGTTTATCAGTTTAATTTCTAACAAACTGAATTTAAAATAATTTATTCAATAATCTGGATTTATCCAATAATTTTGTTAGAATTCAGAATATTAAACAGACTTTTGAGATTAGATGAAAAAAATTTTAGACAACTTGGTGCTGGCGAGTTTAGTATTATTAACCAGAAAATTTGGTAAATTTAACAGGAAGAAATTAATCAGATTTATCTGATATATCTCCTACAAGAATTCTGGTTCGTCCATTTTCCAACAAACATACTGGTTGAATCTACCAGAATTCTAATTAATGCAACCAGATTTTTTCTCAGTGATTGCAATAATAATATATCCGTACCATCGATTATTTCTTGCTTCATTTTTTGGAACTCTTTACGCACTTCCTTGATTATCTCCACTTTAAAGGCCTCCATCTCTTGCGCGGTAAACGAGGTTCCGTCGTTAACTCCGTTTACCTTGAGGAGGGTGTCCTCCGAGGCCGAGCCAAACCTCTTGCGTACCGATTTCGGGGATTCGGCGCCATTGGAGAACTTATTATTTGACGTATTGTTCTTATCCCAAGACTTTTTGTCTGGCGAGCTCTCCGGCTCCTGCGAAAAGAATCACTCTATCTTTCTCTTTTTCCTTTTCTTTCGTCAATTTTTCGAAACGTGTTTATCAAAACACAAAGTATTCAAATAACGCGATCGATATCACATACCGGTGGTTGCTCGGGTTGTTTCTTTTCGGCGGCAGCTCGTCGACGTGCCAGAGTTTTGGCCATCTCGTCCATCATGGAAGCCATTCCGCCGCCTCCGCCTCTTCCTAAAGTACCATAATTACCACTGCTTCCACTACCGCTACTGCTAGTGCTCGAGCCACTGTTTTCCACGGGCTGTGATTGTTGCTATTGGCAAAAAAATTCCTTGTTATATCATTTGCAAGTTGTTATTTTTATATCTAATATTGATATATTAATAATTCTTATTTCTCACGTCTTTATGAGGAGTAACTATTCTCGCTACAATATTTATTAAAGTGAATTTAAAGTAAAAAAATAAAATAAAATTACCTGCTTCTTCTTAAGACGAGCTTGAAGAGCAGCGGCTAAGGAATTAGTATCGGGCGGTGGGTCGCTCGAAGAACTGACGGACGAGGCGCTAGCCGTGGAATTGTTAGCGTTAGGTACTGGTGGCGGAGGTGGTGGAGGCGGGGCGGCGATTCCAGTCAGCGGGATCATCGGGGGCGGCGGCGGGCCGCTGCTGGCGATGGGAGCGTAAGCGTTAGCGGCGACCGTATGAAGTCCAGCAGCGGCGTACTGATTCACCGAGTTCGATGGTGTCCCATACGGATTCGTGGCGCCTGCCACGGGGACTGCTGGACTGGCTGCACCGCCGTACTGTGCTTGCGCCTGAGACACGATGCTGCCGTACTGCGATTGACCAGGTTGCGCGACCGCGTATTGGCTTCCCGGACCGGGTGGTGGCGGACCGGCGGCGTACTGATTTATCGAGCTACTGCTTCCGTATTGATTACCACCGGTGCCGTACGGCGCGGCCTGATTGCCGGTCGATTGGTTGTATTGGCCTGCATTAGTCTGCCCTCCCGTAGCATAATTGCTCGTCTGACTGTTAGTGCCGTAGAAATTGCTCGGGTTGCTGGATTGCGGATACTGATTCGGACTCTGGCCCACGACGTTGCTGGCGCCGGTGCTTCCGGTGCCGCCAGCGGAAGCGGCGCTTGCAGCGTACTGGTTACTCGTAGGCACGGCACCGTACTGACTCGCCTGATTGGTAACGTAGATGGCTTGGGGTTGCTGATTCGCAAGGTTCGACTGAGATGACGGTGATTGCGCGTACTGAGTCATCATCATCGGTGGCGTCGGTGCCGCGGACGAGTTGAAGTTCATCATTGCTGGCGGACACGGTGGGGCGGGGGGTGCGATCGGCGGTTGAGGCGGCGGTACCGGTGGTCCAGTTGACATTTGTGGAGGAGCCGGAGCCATAACAACACCCTGCATCAGCGCCGATTGCTGCTGTTGCGGTGGCTGCGGTGCCGGCGGTGCCGACGAAGTTCGATGATGACCGGATTGTTGCTGCTGCTGCTGCTGTTGCTGCTGTTGCTGCGCGGTCGGCGGGCAACTCGGTGATATAGGATTAGGACTACCGGTTGCTGAAAGAATATTCTTCCGTTATTGTTTTTATTTATTTTTATTAGGGAAAGAGAGAAAGTACACAATACCTTGACTCTGCTGGGACATTCTGCGTTCCTGAATTATTGCCACGTCTTCTCTGGTCATGGTTCTGCGCAAACAAAGATCAGAATTAGATGCAAATTATTTTTTCGTCAATATATATATCATTGTTGATGCAAAGCGTAGTAGGGCCAGCCAACTAGACTAACATAATGGACATAATCGACGAACCTATACACTAGTGTAATCCTAGAAGAAACTGCACTAAAATTCACTTTATCTTAAGAATATTTTTCAATATAACACACATATAAAAAATTCACCATTAATTAAATAAATTAATCGACGTAATTGCTACGTAAACAATAACCGTGCTACGGAATGCTTCTTTCCTCATTTCACTATACATTTCGACAATAATGAAGAATACTCTTACCCTAAACCATCAGATCACATGGATTTAAATCGATATTAAATTTATTATGCCAAGTCCAAGAAAAGTAAAAGAAAAGACTGATCCGATATATTTTCGTGGCACATTTGGGTACTTTTATAGACAACGAGTTAATACGGATTAGCCACTGTTTTTTTATCTTATCCCTATCGAAACTATTTATTTAGAACGATTCTTATTCGACAACCGTCCCGGATATCTCGAATTTATCGAGCATCATGAATTTTGTAAGAGACGAAAAACTCGAGAAGGAAAAATGTCGCGAGCATCGGTGCATTCGGGTTTATTTCGAGCGGCGCAAACGGAATGCAACAGACGTGAAGAGTGAAAATCTCCTGCCCTCGTCTCTGCGATTTTATTTTCAACACCGCGCGAATATCTTTCCGCCGAGTTTTTTTTTCATTCATTACGCGGAAGAGACGAGCAGGCAAAGTAAAACAAGAGGAAGCACACAGAAGTCGGTTTATTGAAATTGCTGAATCGCTGAATCTTTCGTAGACTACTTGAAAGAGAAATAGGGGAGATGCGGGATGAAAGATTATTCTAATAGTAGTTAAATGCCCGCAGCCTCCACTACAGGAAATCAGGAGTCCTAAATAGACATGGCCTTCAACCCATATTAACCTGCCGTTACAAATATGCAATGTTACTAAATTAATCATGTCTGAATCCACGAGGAGAATTTTTGTTTCTCGACTTGAGCGTCACTTCTGGATATTCATGTTCCTTAATGGAATTCTATAATTTTGTATAATTGTAGAGAATTGATTATGAATGAAAATTCTGGTTATTAGGGGCTAAGAAGGCCGCGAAAGATCACCTCGTGTGTCCATCGCCCGGTGAGCCACGCGCGCAGCCCATTTGAATAACGGTGCCAACGGCACCACTAACGGTCGCGTTGTTCGGGTGCTCGGGGGTTGTGATGGCAGTGCCTACAAGCAGGGCCGTCTGGCCTCCTGTAGGCAGATGGCCCAGGGACAAGGAGATCCGCGCGCTACGCCCTTGACTGCAACCAGTCAGGACAGATGTGTGACTCTCGCTTTAGGTGAACGAAGCACGGGCAATTTAGAAAGGAGCCCTGAATTTTACTCGCAAATTTAACTCCCCGTGTAGAAAAAATAATAAGGTTTAAAAAGGACCTGATTAATATGCCTTAAAATTAATCGGGCCCAGTGTTTGCTGATATCTAGATAAAATTATCTAGATAATCATCTAGATAAAGAAAATGGATCATCTTTATCTTAGATGAAAAATATGTCATCTTATCTAAAAATTATCTAAGATGACGTTTTCAGTATGCAAAAAAGTTTTCCAAAAATCTAAAGCAAGCTTCTAAAAATCTATTTAAAATATTTAAAATATATTTTTTATATTATTATTATTATTAATATATTATAAATATATTATTATTATATTATTAATATATTATAAATATATTATAAATATATTATAAATATAAATTAATAAATAAATATTTATCATATCATTTATATACCTTTTTGCTATTATTTAAATATTCTTTAGGAAAAGAGAAAGAATATGTGTTTATGACTTTAATATCCCATTTATAATCTGCGTCACATTTTTTACAAATATTTATAGTCTTCTAAAATAAACAAAAATATGTAGATAATTATCTAGATTATCGCAATAATTATCTCATCTTTCATCTAGATTAAGTAAAAGCAAAATCATCTTTATCTCATCTAAGATAAATTTACGGATTTTTATCTTTATCTTTATCTAGATAATTTTAAAATTATCTACAGCAAACACTGATCGGGCCCTACTAGGCATAGAACGCTTGGACCCTACATGGCTTGTAACAAATGATGCTTTAGGGCCTGATAGGGAAATATTATCAAGACCCTATGTGGAAATATTATCAAAACCTCATCAAAAAATTTTATATTGTCCACAATTCGAAATTTCATAAATATTTATAGGATATGTGAACCAATATTCTGTAGATATCATACAACATTCAGTGGAGATATTTATATAGATATATTTACTATTATATATTGATATTTATTTCTACATTTATTCTATCTTCTATGATACATATATGAATTCGTCATAAAAAAAATTAACCGTTTGCGGTTAATTTTTAGAGCTTTAGGGCTCCTCTCGCAAAAAAATAGAAGAGATGCGGTTATAACAGTCTTCGAGCTAATGCGTTCTTTGACCGATAAACGTAATTCGCGAGACCTGTGCCGCAGTCTTATATATTGTCTTAGATGGATTCTACTTTCGAATTAAGCATTTTCCCTTTCGCCACCGAGCGACGAGTTTCAAAGTAGCCTGAGTTTCAAAATTAAGGCAACATTAGAAAATCCTTTTAAGGTCCATTAACACTAACAAAATCTTATTTTTTTTAAATGTCGAACATATATATATTTAAAATGTTTTCATAACATTCTAATAAGTTTTACTTCTCACTATTTGCAATATTAAACTAAAGCATTATTAAAAGCAAAATTTTCTTGACTCTGATATAAAACAGTATTAATTATTTTATTTTAAAAAAGTGCAGTACTTAAATAATTCTTGAAAGAATCTAATGTATTTAATAGAACCTCAAATTAAACAGTAAATTAAACATCGAATAACTATTATAGTTTTTTTAAATTATATGTCCTTAGTAATATTTAATTGGCTCCATATTAATGATGATAGAATATCCTTTTTTATGGCATCTTTATATTATCCTTATCAAGGCCAATGGTTTCATGTACTAGCCCTAATAATTTTCTACACGGGTCGTCACCTTCCTTCTTTCCGAATCAAGCTACTCGCGCTTTAACCCTGTGATCTCGCGACACTGTACATCTTAAGATCGTCTCGCGTGACGACTCGTATTATTTTATTTATTTAGAGGAGAAAAAAAATGTCAAATACACCGGGAGCGAGAAAAGATTGCCTGCCCTTTGTTCGGCGACGTGGCGTGAATCGACTGGGCGTGTTGTGCGTATCGTATCGTATCTCGTGACGGGAAATAATCCACCGTAACGAGGCAATAGTCGCGTCGTAAATCGTTGAAAAACGAAAAGGAGGTTCAAGGAGAAGAAAAAACGAGACGTACCTGTATCCCATGTCCTCCTCATATTGAGCGGTCGCCTGGCTCTGTTGTTGTTGCTGTTGTTGCTGCTGCTGTTGATAAGCAGTCTGCTGCTGAGTAGTCGTGGCGGTTGTCGGAGCGAGACTTCGTGATATGTTGCTACCATTGCTCAGCACCTACGCAACAAGACAGGACGTATAATTACAAGATAATTAACGATGACAAATCCAATTGTGAAAACGCCCGACAAAGGTCGGCTATTGTAACGATGTCGTTTGTTCTCGTTTTGTAGATATTAAACGCCAATTATGCCCCGAAAACAAGGAGAATATAAGATATTCTTTATCTGAGATAAATACTACACGTGATATGCACTGTAAATAAATAAATGGATAACAAATGGATAATAAAATCGATGATGATTAATCGATTCGAATTAATTCTGACGACAAGAGAGAGATATGTAATGGTAAGAAAAAAAAGAGGAATCGTAAATTACATCGAGTGCCTGGAGCATCGCCCGGGCAAAGGCGTCGGCGTCGTCCTTACTGGAGAAATTGAGCCCGTAGACCTGCTTATTGTCCCGCCACTGATGAAACGTGACCGTCGCCTGATTGTACTTGAGCCCCTTGAGGATCGCGCAGTTGATGACGATCTCGTGATCCTGCAGCTTCCTGCCGACCACGCGGAACGTATTGTTTACCTGATGATGGTAGAGCTGGACCTTGGACAGGCCGGACGAGCTGCCGCTTGGTATCCATTTCTTGTTCACGTCGTCGTACACCATCACCGACGCGCGGGCGGATGATATGCTCACTTCGCTGCGAACGACAAAACATCGGTTTTTTTGCGCTCTAGTCGATTAACTTGCTCGATTATCTGCAATTAATTCTGCGCGTTTTTTCGTTTCTTTTCTTCGTTATGACACGAAATCGTTTTCTCGTGTTAAAGAGATGTCAAGGTTGATGATGACGTTTTTCTAATTTAATTTTTAATTTTTTTGCAAAAAAAAAAAGAAATAGAAATTATTTTGAAAATATATCCCAATCAAATTTCAAGAGTATATTCCACTATTTAAAAATACTTTAGGGGAGACGACAATTGTCGCGATACGTGTAAGGAGTCGATACAAAATAACCCGGATGAATATTGCTGGACTAAAATCGTGACCATTGCACACGGTTGCACCAGAATCACTTTCTTCTTTTGCTCATGCGGGAAAGTCGAGTGGCAACCTGGATGGTAATTCGCGAATTGAAAGAGATAGATTATGCAACCCTAGAGTTTCATTTTTTCCGGTTCGTCGCATTTTTCGCAGATAGACTTTGCAATCCTGGCATTCAGGAATAACGTGAAACGCTAGAAGCGTCGCGAAGGACCTCGAAAGTGACGCCTATTCTTTAGATTCTCGACGAGACGAGACGTTTCACCGATGTAGTGATAGCGCGGGAGAAGGTAGGGGAGAAAATCGACAGTGCTGCATTGAGAAAAATCGTTGGATTGTGTCAACAAGACGTATATGATTGAAGGCATTTTAGTTCCAATCAAGCAAGAATTTCTAGTTATCATGATAAGACTCGATTTTTTTTAATTAGAACGTTTAATAGATTTTACTATAAGGATTTGGTTAGTATTTTCTGGTTGGATCTATAAAATTTCTTGTTACATTAATTTCTTTGCTTGTCACTCTTAATTTAACTCGTATTTAATATTTGCCATGAAATGTATATAAAGAACTAGTATTAACATTAAATCCAACGTATATTTTGTTTCTGTTATGAGTAGTAGTGCCAGGAAGAGGACGCTAGCTTTCTGATTGTGTGTTTGGGCTGCATCCTCTTCTTGCATCACTGTTTATCAGTTTAATTTCTAACAAACTGAATTTAAAATAATTTATTCAATAATCTGGATTGAATTTATCCAATAATCTTGTTGGAATTCAGAATATTAAACAGACTTTTGATATTAGATGGAAAAAATTTTAGACGATTTGATGCTGGTGAGTTTAGTATTATTAACCAGAAAATTTAATGGTAAATTTAACAGGAAGAAATTAATCAGATTTATCTAATAATTCCTACAAGAATTCTGGTTCGTCCATTTTCTAACAGACATACTGATTGAATCTACCAGAATTTTAATTAATGCAACCAGATTTTTTTTCTCAGTACGCGAATTAAAAATTCAGAATTGATAAATTTAAATTTTTTTAATTTAAATTTGTTAGAAAAATAATTTATCACGATATGAAAAAAAATTTTGTAAAAGACTAGCATTTAGAGATTAAAAAATAATCGCGAAATTTATATCCTCAAAGTATTTTCATTGATAAATTTAAAATACTTTATATTTTAAAATTAAGTATATTATTACACATACTATTAAGAATTCCTAGAAATTAAATTGAATAAATTTTAAAATTAAAGCGTGTGATAAATATTATTAAACTAATCATATGTTAATTAATCATATATTAATTATTAACTAGAAAATTTGATAAATTTAACAGGAAGAAATTAATCAGATTCATCTGATAATTCCTACAAGAATTCTGGTTCGTCCATTTTCCAACAGACATACTGGTTGAGTCTACCAGAATTCTAATTAATGCAACCAGATTCTTTTCTCAGTGCGCGAGTTAAAAATTCAAAATTGATAAATTCAAATTTTTTTAATTTAAATTTGTTAGAAAAATAATTTATCACGATATGAAAAAAAATTTTGTAAAAGACTAGCATTTAGAGATTAAAAAATAATCGCGAAATTTATATCCTCAAAGTATTTTCATTGATAAATTTAAAATACTTTATATTTTAAAATTAAGTATATTATTACACATACTATTAAGAATTCCTAGAAATTAAATTGAATAAATTTTAAAATATTAAAGCGTGTGATAAATATTATTAAACTAATCATATATTAATTATTAACCAGAAAATTTGATAAATTTAACAGGAAGAAATTAATCAGATTCATCTGATAATTCCTACAAGAATTCTGGTTGGTCCATTTTCCAACAGACATATTGGTTGAATCTACCAGAATTCTAATTAATGCAACCAGATTTTTTTCTCAGTGTGTGTACCACGAGCGGCTGTCCTGCTGCCAGGAAGATCGTTGCTGACGATAACTCGTAGTGCGTTGCTGCAACGCGGGGCTCTTCCGCATCGCCACGACAGGACGACACGTCCCGGGGGACGAGTAAGCATCCCGATCCTCGGACGTGGAATAAGCCTCGTAGGACCACCTGCCAGTCTTGGAGAACAGGCTCGCGCGAGAATCCCACATGGTAGCTCAAAGGCAGAGCTGCATCTCCTCTCGACAGGTGATCATCCTTCGTCCCAGATGTTGATCGGAGTTCCGTTATCGGAGCAAGATGAGTCGCGATGGTTGATAAATAAACGGCTCTCGTTATTAATTAAAGGCCTGCGATTCGCACGCGACTCGCGGAAGAGCTCGCTCGCTCGCTGTCGCTTTCACTAGACTGAAAAGCAACAACTCCCGCGCTCCGTTCATCGGCAAAACGGGAACAGGACGAGGTAGGATGTGGCGAGATACCGCCACTTCCTCGGCCCGTTCTGTCCTGCACGGTCGGAATGGAATGATAACGTCCGTCGTGATCCATGCATCGAGGACGTTTACGAGATAACGCGAAGAGGAACAGATAAAAGAAACGTCATCGATGATGACTCCCCTCGATATTTTCGCGATCGAGTCATAAAAAATTGTCAGATCCACCGAGAAAAATGTATACTGTATTCAAGTAAATATTACTTGTTTTAAGTATATCGTAGGTTTTTACATCCGCAAATATATCATAAGTTCACCACAAGCATTAAATTTAATTGAAATATATTCTGAATCCTTAAGTGCAGTATTTTAGTCAAGAAAATTAAAAGTAAAAAACAAGAATTTGGTTTGCTCACTATAGAATTGGCGAGAAGTAAGTTTCATTTTTTCTTTGATACAACTTTACAATATTCTTGAAGAGAAAATAAATTTTTCTTTTGAACATATGATAATGAGATTTTCCAACACTTGTGACGAGCATATTTTAAGACTATTATCAAGAATATATATTCTTTGTTGAAAAAACCTATTACTTAAAAAGAAAGTAAAACAAGTAATTGCTTTTCTTGGCTTTTAATGATATATATTAATAAGTATTTAATTTTGTATAATATTTTAATTATATTTAATTATATTTAATTATATTTTAATTATATTTAATTATATTTAAGTTTTTATTAATATATATTTCTCTAAATTTTCTTTAAGTTTTAATTAATTTGAATATTAATAAAATATTTTTACTAGTGATAAATAATAAGATTATATTAATATTATTATACAAGTAATTATACAATTAAATATTTATTAAATAGAATGATATATTTTTCTCTGTGTGGACGTAAAAGCAAAATATCAGCTGTTACATGTCATTATTATTATTATTATTATTATTATTAATTTGAATATTAATAAAATATTTAATAATAAGATTATATTAATATTACAAGTATTAAATATTTATTAAATAGAATGATATATTTAAATAGAATAATATATTTTTCTCTGTGGACGTAAAAGCAAAATATCAGCTATTATATGTTACTATTATTATTATTATTATTATTATTATTTTCTGAATTAGAATTATTCGTTCCTCTTTCGATTTACGCAAATTTCTTTGTTATTCTACTTAAAGCTTGCGATACTGACAGACGGTAATATCTTTTTCTTTTTATTTATATAAACAACAGGAGAGATTGGAGACTTAAAAATCTCATAATACTCAAAGTAAAACTTGTCTCAGCACGAACATCTTCTTTTGCACGACCTTCCGAGAGACACGTAATGCACTTATCACACGCCTTTCTTTCGGAATCGCAGACTCGTCGTGTTTTCGATCGCGTGCGCAAATTTATCGCGCTCTGGTCGGATACCGGAACTTTTAGAGCATAAAGCGCAAAACCGCACATTGTATCAGCAACCGGAAGTATAACGTCGAGTATCTCTCTCTCTCTCTCTCTCTCTTTCTCTCCTTCTTTCCCCGACCGGGATACATAGATCAAAGCTTGTTCGAGAACGTCGTATTACGTCTGTAAAAGTGGAACAAATGCGTTCCGGAGGGCGTTGCCTTAGATGCTCCTCTCGCAGGTGTATTTCGCGTAAAAAAAAAACGGTATAAATCTTAATCGATGTATAACGGACGAAGCTCAGCGTAAAATCGCGAAAACAGCTCTCACCCCATTTATTTCCAACAATGTTCGCGGGAGCGCAAACCGTTAACCTTTCACCAAACGTCAAATGAAATAATCACCCGGTACAATCGTATCTTGACCGTCCAAAAGATCTCGCAATTGGATTTTCGCGATAGAATTGCCAGGAATATCGCGTTATAATTTTGCTCGAGCCACTTATGTAACAGATTTCAACGTCTATAATAATTTTAAAAAATATTTAATTGTGGCGCAGGTTTCCTTGTGAAAATTATTTACAGAATTTCTCATAAAAATGTTCAAATTTTCTCTAAAAATTCTAAACTTTTTCAGAAAATTTTTAAAATTTTCTATTCAAATTGGCAAACTTTTCAAAGGAGTGAAGATATTTCATATTTTTATCGTAAATAAATTTTGTTTAGAATTTCTCATGTATATAAATGTTAAATATTGTCAGATTTTTTATTTTATAAAATTTTCTAAAATAATATTAAAAAACGTGAATCTAATAAACGAAATCTAATATATTTTTGGAATTCTTTATAAATTTAAATTTAAAATACCTAAAATTTTCCCAGAAATTGTGAGATTTCTTTTCACTAGGATTTTCCCTAGGAATTGAAATTCCCTAAAAAATTTCGTTCGTGGTTCAAAAATTTTCAATTTGAATTTTCAATTTCAGACTTTTGAAATTTGTATAATTCAATAAAAAAAAATTTATACAATTCGAGGACAAAGACACTGTTTTCCCGAGGCGAGAGAAATGTCGCTCTCACACGTGCGATTTTAATGACAATTTTACGCGGCGGTTTTCGTCGCGGTTTTTATTATCTCGCTGCATTGTATGACGATGAGGGGAGAAGAAAAGTACTCTCTCTACGCGATGAGAGAGGAAGCGACGACGAGTGAAATGAAATGACGGCAACACGCGACATTGGATATCGAATTTATTCTTCCATCGCCGCGCGACGTGCGAGCAAGCATTTACGTTTCGCTTTCATGCGGTCGGTTAGTTTATGCGAGCCTCGTCGACAATGATGAATCCGTTTGGTGTGACGACTCTATTATTAATTCCTGGCGAACTTCCGCGCGCGCGAACGATGCGTGTCTTATGTAAAGGATGACGCTCTCGGATCCTGAATGTCGAACGCTGACGCGTCTCTATCTCTCTCTTGGGCGAGACTTGGTTTATGTTTCGGAACGATCCGAGTGACAAAAGCCAGAGGGGAAATTTGCACGGGCCTTCAGAGTCACTGCGAATTATTTTCAATCTTCGATATCCAGGGTTGGGTAATAACTAGTTGATTAGTTAAAAGTTAAAAAAAAAGTTGAAAAGTTAATAATCTTTAACTCAACTTAGTTATTTTAAAAAGAGTTAACTTTTAACTTTAACTAGTTATTTTTAAAACACATAAACTTAAACTTATTAACTTTTCCCACAAATTTTTTTGATGATTCATATTATTATTATTTAGGGTAATCTAATTTTAAAATTACAATCTAATTTAATATAAAGTGAAATAATGCTTTTCAAAATTTTAACTTTTATCTTAACTAACGTTAATTTAATCTTAACGTAATTTTTAAGTGAGTTAATTTTTTGTATAACTTTTAACATAACTAAATTAATTTTTTAACCCATTAACTTTAACTTAATTTAGTTTAAAAAAAATATAAACTTACCCAACCCTGCCGATATCTCGATGAAATATTTTAATCGTTAAAAATTTCGCTAATTTTATTTTATTGCTAATTATTAATTTGTTCTCTTTATTTTTCGAATTAACAAATTTTATTACTTGCAGGTAAGTTTTTAACGCCCAGAAAGACGTGTGGCTTCATCTTGAGGATACAAATATCTAAAAGCGACATATGGCAGGTAGCTGCATCAACGTTAATTGGATATGTAAGTCAACCGACTCCGACACTCGAGTAGTTCTCACGATTTTTTTCGCGCAACATGAGCCTTAAATCTTAAGGACTTGAGCTGATGTAGCGAAAACGCAATTTCTTCTAGTCCCAATGCGATGCAGATTTTTATATTTAACTCTGCCAAAATCATTAGCCATGTATCGTTACACGATTGTATCTTAAAAACAAAGATTTTGGAGTCAATGGTCACCATTTTACATTGAATGAGTAAAAATAACTTTGATCAATTTTTCTTTGGGGTAAAATAAGTCGGAAGGTGGAGAGCACCTGTGAAATCAAGATTTAATTAAAGAAATAAATAAATAAAAATAATTTACAAAAATTTTCCCTAAAAAAATAGTTCTTCTAAAAAAAACTAAATATGAAATCAACAATTAACTAGCCAAGTACATTGAAGCAATTGATAGAGATTTGTAATTTGAAATATTTTTCACAAATTCAATCTTGCATTTATGTATTATAAATTCTCGACAAAACATTAAATTAAAGAAATAAATAAATTAAAAAAAAGAATTAAAAGAAAGATTCGGATTCGATTCTCGACTTCGCCCTGATATTTTTCTCGTCTATGTCTCTTCAGGGGAGTAAAGAGGGGTTTATAGAATTCTCAAAAATGAAAATCTTGGTAAATGCACCAAGTAAAATATATGTATATGCCTTGTGCACGTTTAAATTTTTGCGAATAATTTAAGAAAAATTTTGCGCACTAGCATCCGCGGTGGCTCTTATTTGCTAGTGTCTTATTGTGTTGTTTAATACATATAGAGCCTAATTTCTTTATTTAAAAAAATTTATTAAAAATTATTAAATTATAAAATTTAAAATTATAAAATTTATTAAAAAATTAAAAAAAGGAAAAAGAAAGAGGGTAGAAAGGAAAAAAGAAAAAAAAACACAGACCACGAAGGAGCCAAGTAAAGATCTTAGAACGCGCATTCCAATACATTTATGCTTTTATATCATCCAGAATAAAAATGCGATAGAGCCAGTGTTTGCTGTAGATAATTTCAAAATTATCTAGATAAAGATAAAGATAAAAATCCGTAAATTTATCTTAGATGAGATAAAGATGATTTTGCTTTTACTTAATCTAGATAAAAGATGAGGTAATTATTGCAATAATCTAGATAATTATCTAGATATTTTTCTTTATTTTAGAAGACTATAAATATTTGTAAAAAATGTAACGCAGATTATAAATAGGATATTAAAATCATAAACACATATTCTTTCTCTTTTCCTAAAGAATATTTAAATAAAAGCAAAAAGGTGTATAAATGATATGATAAATATTTATTTATTAATTTATATTTATAATATATTTATAATATATTAATAATATAATAATAATATATTTATAATACAATAATAATAATAATATAAAAAATATATTTTAGATATTTTAGATAGATTTTTAGAAGCATGCCTGGAAAACTTTTTTGCATAATGAAAACATCATCTTAGACAATTTTTAGATAAGATGACATATATTTTTCATCTAAGATAAAGATAAAGATACTTTGTATTTCTTCATCTAGTTAAAGATGATCCATTTCTTTATCTAGATGATTATCTAGATAATTTTATCTAGATACCAGCAAACACTGGATAGAGCTGCATCGTTTGCATGTAGAGAAATGCATCCTTCTCCTTTTCTTTTTATGCAAACGCGTTCCCTGTGCGGAAGAAAGTAAAGGAATCTTTCCGGCCGGCGCAAGGTGTAACACAATGAGCGCGACAATGGGCGTTTAACAAAAGAACGTACAATCTCTCGGGCATTACATGCATGTATCTACCATGTTGAGACGCTATGTATCAGCTTGCCATGTTATATCCCGTGTGTACTAGATATACTCGCTCGGAATGAGATAAGGATGAAGCTAGTGAGAAATGTAACTACGAAATGTATCTTACGTTTTATCCTTATCAGACTGATCTTTGATAAAATAGTTAATCTAAATTGACTATTGGTCCGTAGATAACTCTAATGCGAGTCTTTTTATTTCACGGAATATTGTACAAAATATCGAGAAAAAAAAAACAGTCGTGCTTATTATTTCTACGATCATGATGTACGAATGGAATAGAGCTCTTCCTTCAAATCCGAGCCGGTTAAGGGAGGGTAAATGTGGGTTACCCGAGCAATCTGCATCATATTGCAGCATTAAAATTAATTAAGCTCGGTTATTGAAGACGAGATTGAGACCCATTACATGGCTTTACCCACGGTTTAGCAAATGACAGTGGGATATGATATGGTGGTCTGTTCTCTCTGCTACCGGAAGAGATTTACGTCTGAAGATGCGCTAGTACATCACTAATGCACCAAACGTAACATTTCCGCCAGGTATAAGCTGTCCCTCGTCAACCGAGTCATGTTCTGACTCATCGTGAAGTCGATTGCTTTTCTACCCAAGAATTTAATTAAAAAGTTACCGCCTTAATTTTTTGATTCGTAATGCATTAAATATCTCAAGATTACTTGTTAAAATTATAATTTAAAATTAATAAACATTAAAAGTAAATTAATAATTGCAAAATAAATAAAAGTTGACGAATAAAGGAGATAGAGGATATTTTTTTAATATTATATAGATTTTTTCTTAATTCTCAAAAAATTTCATCAAACTTATTAAAATTCTAATGATTAATTCTATCAAAATTCTAATTTGCAAAGTAAAAATGAAATTAATGACGAATAAAATATCATTTATATAGAGAATATTTTTTTCTCAATTCTCAAAAAATTTCATCAAACTTATTAAAATTCTAATGATTAATAATGACAAGGTAAAAATGAAATTAGTTGACGAATAAAGTATTAGAGACAGAGGGTATTTTTTTAATATATTATATAGAGGATATTTTTTCTTAGTTCTCAGAAAATTTCATCAAATTTATCAAAATTCTAATGATTAATTCTATCAAAATTCTAATTTGCAAAGTAAAAATGAAATTAATGGCAAATATAATATCAAGTATATAGAGGATATTTTTTCTTAATTCTTAAAAAAAATCTCGTCAAAATTGAAGCAATTGTATTTGTAATTAATTGCATTTGTATTTAAAAAGAATTTAGTAGATAAATTCGAAATTTAGACAAATAATTTTCATCAATGGTACCTTCCTTGTCTATGTGCGAAAATTGGCACGATGCTTTTGCACGGTTAAAGGGGCTTTGACGCTCATAGAGTCGTTAAAGAGGGCATCGCACACATACATGTACACCCACACATCGATACAAATATGGGGTACGTTATTCGAGCGAACGTTCGTTTCCCAGGTGTGGTCATTAACTCTGCTCAGTGGCGAGAAAATAGTACGGAATCATCATGAGAGGCGCGTATATATATGTATGTATATATATCGACCGCAGGGGGATCAAAACGCGGACGAAGACGAGGAGAAGGCCTCCACCGCCTCCGCGAAGGCGAGGCGGAATGACGCGGAATTGAACGGAAGTCGCTCGTGGCCTTCGCCTCGCTGACTTTTCGTCTCACACGCTCGATACTCGGTGGCCAATATACAAAACGAGATAGGACTACGAGATTGTCACTCCTTCTTCGTACTCGTTGAAAAGTGGAGAAAATAAATCGCATTAAAAAATTCATTTTTCCCTTGGAAAAATTAACTTTCTTGTAGTTTAATTATAGAGCTATACAATGTAAGAAATGAAAACAAGTTGGCAAATACAGATAATAAAAATCTTACCCTTGAGTTGAAATTTTAACGTTAATTTTATTTCGGGCGAATATAAAAATTTCATTCAAGATTTCGCTACCAAAATATTTAACCTTATTTAGTACCAAATTGTTATTTTTGGAATCTTCAAAGTGTACAGGGTGTCATTTTTGTTCGACGTGTTGTTTAAAGGATAAAAATGTTTGAAAAAATCTGCAAAAATTCTTACGTCTTCTTTGATCCTTCCAAATAAAAGTGGAGGAAAAAAGAATCGCATTACAAAATTCATTTTTCTCTCCAAAAAATTCATTTTTCCCTTGGAAAAATTGACTTCCTTGTAGTTTAATTATAGAACTATACAATGTAAGAAATGAAAACAAGTTGGCAAGTACAGATAATAAAAATCTTACCCTTGATTTGAAATTTTAACGTTAATTTTATTTCGAGCAAATATAAAAATTTCATTCGAGATTTCGCTACCAAAATATTTAACCTTATTTAGTATCAAATTATTTTTGGAATCTTCAAAGTGTACAGGGTGTCATTTTTGTTCGAAGTGTTGTTTAAAGGATAAAAATGTTTGAAAAAATCTGCAAAAATTCTTACGTCTTCTTTGATCCTTTCAAATAAAACTGGAGGAAAAAAGAATCGCATTACAAAATTCATTTTTCTCTCTAAAAAATTCATTTTTCCCTTGGAAAAATTGACTTTCTTGTAGTTTAATTATAGAGCTATACAATGTAAGAAATGAAAACAAGTTTGCAAGTACAGATAATAAAAATCTTGATTTGAAATTTTAACGTTAATTTTATTTCGAGCAAATATAAAAATTTCATTCGAGATTCCGTTACCAAAATATTTAACCTTCTTTAGTATCAAATTGTTATTTTTGGAATCTTGACTAGAATAATAAATTTGCAAAATAACAAAGCTTTAATAATTTTTATTGCAAATATATGAAGCTCAAGAAATGCTCAAAGTGCGTTTCTATGAGAACACTGACGTTGCAATGGATCAAAAATGACCCCGTATAATCCAATAAGGATTAAAATCACAGATGAAAACGTATTGCTGTTTGCACAGATATGATAGCTTTCTGCGAAATTTTCGTTACGAATTCATCGGCGAATTTGTCATCGGTGGGATATCCCCTGTTATAGGATTATCAGAAATGAAGTCATCGCAGGCATTTTTCCCTAAAAGTATTCCGATCCATATCTCTCGATTCGGAGCAGGTTGCATGACGAAATCGGAGCTCTGAATCAAAATCCTCGGCACGCGTCCATTGTTGCAGCTCGATTTTGTTATTAACATTAACCTTTAACGAGCGCTTTGTACCTTGTATTAACGACTCGGGTCATTCGCGATATCAAGTGCATTTGCGTCTGAATGGAATAACAATGACGAAACAGTAATATTTTTTTTATCAATTATTTTTTTTTAAATAAAAAATCTTCATGTAATATATATATATATGAAACGTAATTATAAGTTAATATTTAATTGTTATATATTTCATTCGCAAACCCTCTACAATCGTACACGATTTTAATCTAGATTACTAGACAAATTTTGCAATAGTACACGCGATCTTGTTGCGTTATTGTTTTCAGAGACAAGGTAATAAATTTTTTTTTCGCTGAGTTCACCTCTGCCATATATAATGTCGGGCATAATTATGACTTCTCGTAATTGCACCGCGAATAACCCACAGGTCAGAAGGGAATGGCAGAAAAAGTTGTACAATCAGTGCAACGTCAGATTTACAAGCTATTTAGCGTATTAATATCGATTATCTATCGATTTAATGAAAAAAATATGGAATATCAAAGTAGCATAATCGAAATTCATTTAAAATGCACCCTAATCTAAAGTTGATTGCTCAAAATACACTGGTGATGGTAGACGTGGTACACCTATCTTGCGTACAAGCAAAACGAATTGAAATAATAATTATAAACGTAATGGACCCAGCTGTTTTTCCTCATTAGTGTTTACGCGTTTACGCTTGTTTACATGAGAACGCTCCGAATTTAATTAAAATCATAGTTAATTATTAACGTTATTCAAAACGTGTCGAAAGGAATCGTCGGGCATTGCACTGTAGATTTTTCCAGCACAGGGAACCGACTCGGAAAATAAACATACGCCGAGTCGCAAATGTGCTCATAAAAATTGGACTTAAACTCGTTCCCCTCCAGATGAGGGAAAGAGAAACATTGAAACGTCTCGGAGCACAATTTCATTGCGTTATCTTCAACCTTCGCATTTTTGAGCGTGTCATGCAACCTTGACGACAGTACTGTTGCATTACGCATCAATGCAATCTGATACAAGCGGCGAAGGAGAGTTGAAACCGAGATTGCCGCGTTTTCAATTTGCGACTCTTAAGCGAGTTTCGCCCCTCCAAGGAAACAGACAACGGAAAATCGCAACTTTCGTTGGGCGAAAACGTTTCTAATACTTCGACCTAGCTAATCGAAACTTTGACATTTACCGGGAGTAATCCTGGTGGTGAGAAAACGAGCTGGAAATAGCGCGAGACGGCTTTGGGACTTGAAAGAAACCTGAAGTGGCATTACCATGACAATAGCGGCTTTACGTTCAAACAACGAGAGTCCATCGCGTTTACGCAATTTTGCGAAAAGCGTCCAATATTTACATTGGCACGGGAGAAAATGAGACAAGGGCTCGCGTAGTTGAAAGACACACAATGGCACAAGGCACAACGGGTGTATTTCGTGAGAGGTTGACGTTTCGTTCTCGCGGTATCGATGTATACAGAATCGAATGGAAGATCATGGGAAAGAGAGGGACCGTCCAGGACCCTGTCAATCACATGTATACATCGAGATACCGAAAACGTGTAACGCCAACACTTTTACAAAAGTGCAACGGGCGGGACTACATATGCGCGGGACAGGAGGGTGGGAGGAAGGGAAGGGGGGAGTAAGAGAGAGGGAGGAAGGAGACGCGATGAACGCAGGACTCGTCGTCTCCGAAAGGCAAGCTGCGCTTGCGAAGCGCTCGTAAAAAGAAGAAAAAAAGGGCAAGTCGCTCGTAAAACAAAAGCGAACGAGGCTACGCGTCCCCTCGTGCATCGCCGCGATGCGGCTGAGAAGAGAGCCAGGGGTGAGAGGAGAGCGGTTTCTCTCTCTCCCTCTCTCCCTCTCTTCCTCTCTTCGGTCTCTCCGGCTGAAAATTGTCCGCGCTGTCAAAAATCGTTACGGTTCATGCACCCCGTCGAGGGAGTCGGACCAGGCGAATCGAACTCCGAAATTCATTTTCGGAGTCGGGATTTAAAGAACGGAAGGTCGATCCATTAAAGGCAGCCAGAGCCTGTTCGCTCTGAAGTCAGAGCCTGTCCGCTCTGAAGTCGGAGCCTGTCCGCTCTGAAGTCGGGCCCTGTCCGCTCTGAAGTCGGAGCCTGTCCGCTCTAAAGTCGGAGCCTGTCCGCTCTGAAGTCGGAGCCTGTCCGCTCTGAAGTCAGAGTCTGTCCACTCTGAAGTCTGTCGCGTGATCGATATCGTATCGTCGGTCCTTCGGGATCCTTCTCCAGGTTTCACGTCTTAAGTTTCGCGAAAGGAGGCGCGTATTATCGGAGTATTGGAGACGACGACCGATATTGACCGTCGCGACACAACATTCTGACGTTCAACGTCGAGCGGAAAGTCGAGGGAGAGACGCGACAATTCGATTGTTGCTCGAAGGAGAGACTTGGGATGGAGGAAAGCTTTCGGTCACGGTCGGTCGTTCGGTCCATCGACTCTCCGAGAGATCCTCTCTCTCTCTCTCTCTTTCTCGCTCTTTCTCTCTCTCTCTCCCCCTCGCGCTCTGTTATAAATGTATTACTCACTTCATGTTTGCTTGGCCGGTGAGCGTATGCTATGCCCTCATGCAAGCCGTATTCCTGCTCCTGCACAGTATATCACCGAGCCCATGAAAACACGCGAGATTTGGACAGGACTTGCGGTAGTTCGACATATAAATAACGAGACCGAGTACCCTCCAGTTCCAACGCGCGGCACTAACACCACCGTGACACCCTGCCGCTGCACATCTGACCGGCCATATTGCCGATTCGGAATTCCTACTCCCTACCACCCACACGCATATATATATCTATATATATGTGTACACATATATATGCGGCGCTCTCTTATATACACGGTGCTCTCGGCGGCGTTGCAACGCAAGATTGCGAAATGCTGAACGGAGAACCTCGCCAGTCAACGCTAGGGATTTTTCTCCTCCCCCTCTCTCCTCTCTAGCTGATATGTGGGTGCTTTCCATTTGGCGATACAAGTCCCAGGTTTTTATTAAAACATAAAACTCATTATGACGTCATCATTTTATTTATGACTTACCTAAACAAAAAATGATTACAAAATGACTTAAAGATGACAAACAGAATCATAAATTTTTAAGTTCAATAATCGCATTATATAATTTTAAAAAGATTATGTTGCTTAAATATAATTAAAATATACATGAATAATTAAATAAACAAGTAATTGCGTAATATATATAAAAAATGATATTAATAAGTCACCAAAACATTGCCAAAAGTATATCAAATGAGATCATTATGATTTTTCTAAAATGACTTTTAGGTGACGTCATAATGATGTCGTTATGAATTTCATGTTCTACCTGGGGTTGACACAAGTTTTCATGTTTGTTATTCGCTAATGGTGAAAAAAGACAGAATGATGCTTGTGTCGCTAAATGGAAAGCGCCCATTGGGTGAATCCAAAAGCACGACCGCTCACTGAACGGCTAGATTGGTGAATTTAAAGATAAAAACCAATCACATTCGATTGCTACTTAACTGCTCAGTGAGTTATGGCGAATTTTCCGAGGACGGAATTTTTGAGCGGGAATCATTAAGCTCTATACTCATGGAATGAGTCATCCTTTCGTTTAGATTTGATAAAGAATAGATTGGAGAAAGACAGATAGCGTTGAGTCCTATTTGTGTTTCGTTTTAATATATACTGAAAACATTTGCCTCGATTAACTTATTTATTCATATTATTAATGATGATTATTTATGAGAATATAATCATGATAGCTATTGTTGAATCATTTATACACTTTTTTTGTAAATGTTATCTCCAAACATTTTTTGAACAATGTTTTTGAGAAGGGTTTTACCGAAGCGAATTTTCTGCGTTAGCCAATCAGAAAATTACAACAAAAATAAATATGAATATAATTGATTCGTATTAAGTTAGCCGGAAATTTTTCAGCCAACAAAAATCTCCTTATAAAATCGTTTGTATTTCGTATGAAGATGTTTGAAGTTTGATTAAAAACGTTTGTGAGTAATTAGAATAATTATAAAAAATTAATCATTTTTACAGTATGTAGTTAGCCAACATAACTAAATATTAAAAATTCTCCTTATGAATCGTTTGTATTTCGTATGAAGAGTTTTGAAGTCTAATTAAAAAGGTTTGTGAGTCATTCGTTTAATTTTAATTAAATTTTTTTATATTGTGAAGTTAACCGAAAGCTATATAAAATGGACGCCGTCCTGTGATTGGTCGATTTGCTTATGGTAAATACTAAAATTTTCTCATGTGTACTGACCTTAATGCCTAATCATAATATTATTATAAAGATGCATTTTTATGTGCCGCTAAAACTGATCATTTGAGCGACAAAAATGATCACGTGACGACTTTTGTCGCTAAACCATTACAACGGCAGCTTGTGCACAAAAAATTATGTTGTACAAAGCAATAATGGTAGCTTCTAAAAGAAGAAAATATTATAACTGAATATCAAATCGTAATAAAATAATTCGACGAAAACGTCAAATACAATTTGAAAATGATATCGTTTTTATTATATTACTATCGACATATCAGAAACAAAAAAGACATTATTGAAAAAAAAATTTTGAGTCGCACCACTTTTTCAAAATCATGATCAATATGGATTTTACAACTATTTTACCGAATGTGAGATTAGAAATTGCAAGATTTCTGAATTATTTTCGTATGTCAACGCAACTGGAAAATTTATTACATTTTTATTTTAGTACATACAATTAATACAGCACGGCAACACTGTTAGCAATGTATCAGCGTTTGACACATCGTTTGAGCGATAATGCTTTGTAGTTGAACCGATCTAAACTACAAAATTGTAGCTGCTGGATTACGAGCGACAAATCTGTCGCTTCAACTATTTGTTCCAGCGGTATGTGAAAATGCACCTTTAAGGTGCCATTTCATACATCGCTCTATCGCTAGATTTTAGCGACATAATGACGTCACGTAGTCGCGGGATTCTGTAGTTGGATTTTTCCAACTATAAGCGACATCACGAGCGATAATTTTGAAATTTTAAAACTCAAATGGATCAATCATGAATCAAAGAGTAAGTATATAATTTTGTAATAAATATTAAATATATATAATAATATTTTATAATTAAATAATAATGTATAATTTAATAATAATGTAATAATTTTTATCCTGTATTAGATAGAATGTTTGTATTTATAAATTTTATATAAAAAAAGTGCATTATAAAATCCACTTTTATCTCTTATTTGAAACAATGGATTAACCCAAAAACTTTTTTTTTGTATCGTCGTTTCTTTTTTTCTTCTAAATAATAAAGAACTGTCGCTACTGCTAATCTTTTCTTTATATTGTTCTGCTTTATATTATTTTCATTTATAATTTTTGTGCACTCAATCATTCAATTATAATATTTTCTTGCTTGTAACATTGTATATATTTATTTTATACTATGCATGTATTAACGCAACTTTTCTTTCTAAATCGCTGTTGGAGCTCTTTTCATGCTCAATAGCTAGTCGCTAGCGACAATCTAGTCACGTGACTTTTTTATCGTTCAAAACGAGCGATGAGCGACACATGAAAAGGTACCTTTAGTGTGGGTTTTCACTTGACGTTCGATATTCATTTTTTTATCGTCAAAAAACATCACTAAAAATAAAGATACTAATTCGTCATTTTTCGATCACATGACGTCTTTTGACGCTGAAAAATGAGCGTCGAGCGTCAAGTAAAAACCCATCCTTACCTCGAAATTTAAAATACATCGCCGTGACATTAGCGCCGCGCGACGCGAATCACGCGAGCCCCGTCGATAAGGTAGAGCCGTCCCCGACTCGGTCGATAACATCCGCGCTCCCGCTCCACTCGTCGCTCTCTAGATGGCGCTGATGTCGCGGCGCGAGCAGCGGAATCGCGAAACGCGATGCGCGAGTCTCGACGCACCTGAAGTGAGACGCACACGCGAATCTATCCGGCGCAAAGTGAACCCGGGAGGTGAATCCGCGGAGGGAGAATCGCGGCAACGGTGCCGAGGGAACCCAACACGCTCTCTCGCGAGACCCTTCATCCTCGACCCCCGGGTCCAGGGACCTGGTGGGAAATCGTCCAGGACGTCGCGACGAAGTTAACAACCGTCGCCGTGAAACGCCATTTTGTGCTCAAGTTGCGACCAGGGCCAGACGTAAACATCGCCCTCGTCACGCCGGGAAGGCGACCTCCCGTCAGCGAGCCCCGCGACCCCCGCCGACGACGTCGTCGCGTTCCTGGCGATCGTCGCGACGCGACTCCCGGCCTCGCGTCCGGGTCGACGCGACGACATTTCGCGCCAAATCGCGACGTTTCCAGAGACGCGCACCTGGCGCGCCAGAAACAGCTGTCGTTTCCACCGAGCCGCGGTCGCGTCCCGCTGTCCAGTCCAGGTATCGTATCGAGGACGATCGCGCGTCTCCGGGGCCGAAAAAAGGCAGGCGCGACGCGAGCGAAGCCGGGCTCCGATTCCGCGAAGGCTCTTGTTTACCCGTCCGTCCGTCCGTCCGTCCGTCCGTCCGTGACGCGTCAGCAGAGGCGGCCGGATGATTTAGACGTGCTTAGATGTCGGGAGTTTAAATGTTTGTCTCTTTCTAATGCTTCAAGTACACACTGAGTTGCGAAATTACGTGCAAACTTGTAGCTCGAGGCTTGTGATCCTTGATCCTTGGATCCTGTACACAGAGAAAAATATTATTCTACTGCCAAGAAAAGCGATTACTCAATTTATTTTTCTTTTTTTAATAATAGTTTTCTTCAACAAAGCATATATTCTTGATAATAGTCTTAAAATATACTCATGACAAATGTTAGAAAATTTTATTATCGTGTACTCAAAAGAAGAATTTATTTTCTCCTCAAGAATATTGTAAGGTTGTATCAAAGAAAAATCAAACTTACTTTACGTCAACTCTTGTATTAAGCAAACCAAATTTTTGTTTCAATTTAATATTAATATTCTTGACTAAAATACTACACTTACTAAAATTTAGAATATATTCAATTAATTTAATGCAAAGAAAAATATCATTCTACTGCCAAGAAAAGCGATTACTCAGTTTATTTTTCTTCTTTTAATAATAGTTTTCTTCAACAAAGAATATATTCTTGATAATAGTCTTAAAATATGCTCATCACAAGTGTTAGAAAATTTTATTATCGTGTACTCAAAAAAAAATTTATTTTCTCTTCAAGAATATTATAAGGTTGTAAAAATCAAAGAAAAATCAAACTTACTTTACATCAACTCTTGTATTAAACAAACCAAATTTTTGTTTCAATTTAATATTAATATTCTTGACTAAAATACTGCACTTACTAAAATTCAGAATATATTCAATTAATTTAATGCAGAGAAAAATATCATTCTACTGCCAAGAAAAGTGGTTACTCAGTTTATTTTTCTTTTTTTAATAATAGTTTTCTTCAACAAAGCATATATTCTTGATAATAGTCTTAAAATATACTCATCACAAGTGTTAGAAAATCTTATTATCGTGTACTCAAAAGAAGAATTTATTTTCTCTTCAAGAATATTGTAAGGTTGTATCAAAGAAAAATCAAACTTACTTTACGTCAACTCTTGTAGTAAACAAACCAAATTTTTGTTTAAAATTTAATATTAATAATAATATTAATATTCTTGACTAAAATACTGCACTTACTAAAATTTAAAATATATTTAATTAAATTTAATGCTTCTGGTAAACTTGTGATATATTTAGGGATATACAAACTTATGATATACTTAAAATAAATAATATTTACTTGAATATATTTATACATTTTTCTCTGTGTACTTTTGATTAACGTGCAAAAAATGACAAGTTTAGTTTTAGAGAAATGACATCATGTAAAAACTTATTCTTTCGCAATTAATTTTTTTTATCAGAGTTTTCTAAGATATCTTTTTAAATAATAGGCGTTAATATTTGTCAAAAATGAATAATTAAACTAATGAAAATATCCTTCTTTTTTTATAGCGTAGCGATCTTGGAATCTTCAAACTGTCAAGCTTGTCGATCCTGGCAAGAATGATACTGGTGATTATTCGCAAATGAATATTCCATGAGCCAAGGATTGAAGATATGCTTTTTGTTATCGTAAAAAGGCTTGATGAATGAACAAAAGTATAAGGAATGGTATTCTATTGGATCCAGCTGGATGTCAGATAAGCTGAAAAATGTCTGGTGATTCAGGATGGAACGCCGTTATTCACCATCCCTCGGATTTAGAACTACAGAATTGGAATTGGGAGGAAAACGATGGGGAGCAAGAGAAAGAGCTCCCCTCGACCGTTGATATGGATGCCATAAAGGGTGGTGGTAGTTGGGATCCTACTACTGAACCTAATGGTAGTTGCGAACGTCAATTACTTAGAAATGTCTCTTGTTTCGCCAGAAAATAAATAATCCTAATAATTTTCTTTGATAAATTTAGGAACAGACTCGGTCGATTCCGAAGAAGACTCCGATTCCGACGACGAAAGTTCTGGTGGAAGCGAAGGCAGTTGCTCTTATTCAGATTCTAATTCAGAGTCAGACGACGAAAGTAGCGGCGACGAAGAGGAGGATAGTGAATCTAATTCGGACTGTTCCTCCGAACACAGTGAACAAACGTTTTCCATTCAAGAAACCAACTTTGAACAAGTATACCCAAACGTGATATATACAGGGTGGCCCCGAACGTTCCAATCAGACTTTGAGATCTTGTAGGAAATTTAATTCTGAACAAAAAATTTCCCATAAACATGGGTCGAAAAATGTCTCCTTAAGAAGTTATAGTATCGCTCAAAAACCTCTGATGAAGGAAGAGCAAAAAATAAAAAGAAAATGAAATTAAATAAATTTCTTGAAGAAAACGATAAAAATAAAAATCTTTTTCTTTCATGAAAATATAATAAAAGTTAGTTAAAAAAAATTATTTTATTTTCATTTCAAAGAAAAAGATTTTTATTTTTATTTTTATCGTTTTTTTCAAGAAATTTATTTAGTTTCATTTTCTTTTTATTTCATTTTCTTTTCACCTTTTGTTCTTCCTTCATGAGAGGTTTTTGAGCGATAACTTCTTAAGGAAGGATTTTTCGACGCATGTTTATTGGAAATCTTATAGGAAATTTAATTCTGAACAAAAAATTTCCCATAAACATGCGTCGAAAAATGCCTCCTTAAGAAGTTATCGCTCAAAAACTTCTGATGAAGGAAGAGCAAAAAGTGAAAAGAAAATAAAATTAAATAAATTTCTTGAAAAAAACGATAAAAATAAAAATTTTTTTCTTTTATGAAAATAAAATAAAAGTTAGTTAAAAAAAAATTATTTTATTTTCATAAAAGAAAAAGATTTTTATTTTTTACTTTTATCGTTTTTTTCAAGAAATTTATTTAGTTTCATTTTCTTTTTATTTCATTTTCTTTTTACCTTTTGCTCTTTCTTCATGAGAGGTTTTTAAGCGTTAACTTCTTAAGGAAGGATTTTTCGACCCATGTTTATAGGAAATTTTTTGTTCAGAATTTTCCTACAAGATCTCAAAAACTCTGGCCGAAAGGTTCGGGGCCACTTTGTATTTCAATCCTACTAGTTTTTGTGTTTTTGTAGTGACTTTTTATAGGAAGATATTGTATCGTGTTTGCAGGGAGCGTTGAAATTAAAAATCACCATGAAGGGCCCGAAAAAGGAGGAGTCCGAGAAAATTAAGTGTGAAAAAAACAAGAGAAATGTTACAAAGAAACTTAAAACCAATCACGGGAATAAGGTAAATAATTGTCTTATCATTCATAAATTAAATGGAATTTATCAATTAAATGGAGAGACCCTAGATTTGGAAAAAAACACTCGGCTTGCAGTCCTCAGAATGTAGTAGCGAAGATTCGGACTCGTCTGCGGGACACGTGGCGTCGCAACAAACGCAGCAGCAACAGTCCCAGCAGCATCAGCACCACCACCACTCATCGCTGCAAGAAATCAATCAGGAAGACCTGACCGCGATCTTGCCCTCCCAGGAGCAGGAGGACGCGCCGTTCGACGGCTTCGAGGACTCCGAGAGCGGCCGATTGGTGTCGAAAGCGATTGAACGCATGTCGCTCGGCGCGGACTCGGATACGAGCGAGAACGGCGATCAGAATCCCGTGCCTGTGTACAGTTCTACCTTGTTGCAGCAGTTTGTCGAGAAGACCGCCATGCTATCCGAGGAACCGCGCAAGAGGCGCGGCAAGTGCAGCGCTAAAAAAGCGAGCAATGACAACGAGTACCCATGCGTGTCGAACGTGTCGCCCGATTCTGGCATTCAGTCGGTCGACAACAGTCCCTTACACCTGGCGGTCAGTCCTGTCAGTCCTCCAGCGCCGACTCAATCGCCGATTCAACCGCCAGTCACCACTAAACCGGCGGTAAACGTCGACCGGGTACTGTACCCTCCGAAACGGAAGCCTGGCAGGCCAGCGAAGGCGGTATCCGCCCAACCGCGTGGACCTGGCAGGCCACGTCTAAGGCCGGAGATCGTTGAAAAGATCCAGAAGATCGAAAAGGCGGAGAAGGAAAAAAATGAGTCTTTGAAGACTAGCAAAAATTCGGATTCTCGATCAGCGGAAAAGAAGCAAGGAGCTACGAAGGAGTCGACTCTGAAGAACACCAAGGAAGATGCATCTTCGGCCAGAAAACGGGCTAATGCAAAGCCGATCGCGTCCAGGGACGCGAAGGAGGATGTTTCCCCCGCGAGCAAAAGAACGAAAGGTAAGCAACCGACGTTGTATCAGAAGAAACGTTACGGTAATCCGGTGAAGCAGGAGAGAGCCATAGTCAAGAAGACTACGACGAGTTCCCCGATGAGAGTAAAGTGCCTAAGCAGGTCTACCGCGAGCAAACTCGTGCCCCAATGCGATGGCAGGAGTTGTCGGAAGGTCAGACAGGATAGAACGTGCGTGCCTAACAAGACTACAGTTCCACTGACGCGACAGAAGACGTGCGAGCATCAGGCCTCCAAAGATCCAAAGAGCACCGGTAAGAGAACGGGCTCCAAGGAGAACAGGAATAACGCCGCGACCGTTGTACCTAAGAAACAGAGTCTGGTGAAGAAGGTCGCGCCACCCGTTGGCAGGCGGGTCCTGAAGGAGAACAAATGCAACAAGAAGACAACCGTCAATCACGAGACTAATGGCGTGGGGGTGCAAACCCTAATCTCATTACCGGTCGGTGACATATTGAAGGCTGAAATAATGAAGCACGTGTCTAGCAAATGCGACAAAACGGCGCAACCGACCCAGCACAATCATTGCCACAAGCGGCATCATCACAAGCATCATAGGAAACTGCTGACGCCGCCGGAGAAGCCTATACGTATCATCGATTCGTGCATCCTTCACGAGCTGGAGAAGCTGATCGATGAGTTTGCGAGGTCCTGCAGCTTGGGCAGGAACAACGCTACCGCCAATCATTCCGAGCTACCGCAGATCTTCCGCGTGAAGAAGGTCACGAAGAAGAGGAAAGGTGGCGACGTCAACACGAATGATGATCAGAAACTGAAACGACGTCTAAAGAAGGAGAAAGTATTGGCGAACGCTGATTCCAAGAGCAGCGCGAACACCAGCACGAGCTCCAATCCCAACGAGCAGCGGCTGCCGCTGAAGAAACGCCACTATCACGTATCCAGCCCGCATAGTTCGCAGAGTTCGAACGCCAGCTGCGCGGATGTAAACGCAAATGAGTCCAATTCCACAGAGAGTCATATAGAGGAGGCGATCGAAGCCACTATTACGAGATACGGCGGTGGCGGCAGCTCAACGTCCTCCATTCACGAGGAAGAAGCCACGCCAGTGACACCCAAGAAGAGACCCAGGGACGCTGAGAACGCGGTGTCTGAGAAGCAGGCAGCCGACGAGGACAAGTCCATCGTTCAGCTGGAGGTTCAACCGCGTCGGAAGAAGAAAATCGTCAAGGATCTTCGCGTTACCGTCACGAAACTACCGTCCGAGGGTCACGGCATCCTCGACAAGGCAGTGGAAAAGGGTTCCAAGGTTGCTACAGAAAAGTCTAGCAAACTGGAGAAGGTAGTAGTGGCGGAGAAATCGATCAAGGCCGATAAGACCCAATCGGAGGACAAATTGGACATCGAACGGATGGAGAAGAGCATTAAGGTCGACTCGGAGACCCATGTATCCGCAACGTTCGACGATAGTGACGCTGTAACGGAGAGCAAAGCGCAGATTGGGGGTTCAAGCGTGCCAAATCTCATGAACAACACCGCGGCGATGATCCTCACGAAGAAGAAGATGCGAAGAAGGAAGGCCATCAATCGCACCGGCTTCCCCACTCTGAAGAAGAAGAAGAAGAAGGTCGTCGTTGACTCTTCCGGGGTGGCTAAGTCGACAGCATCGGTGGGCGCCAACGAGACACGCAAGGATCAAGATGTATCCGAGGATATGGAGGACAATAAGAAAGTATCTCTGATAGAAAAGGAAAGTAGTGTTCTTGAAAACAATGATAATAGGAAGAATGTCGTTAGAGATGACGTGAAGAACCTGGACAATTCTAGTCTGGTGCAAGAGACGTCGAGTCGAAGTGGCTCGGATGAGGTGACCGAGTCTTGCCCCGGTCAGCTGCGAGTTCGCAAGGATCTCGTGGAGTCTGATAGCAGCGTGTTGTCCGAGAAGCTGTATCCGAGTCCGATTAAGTATGAGAAGATACCTGATTGCCGCATCTACGACGAGAACGCGTCGCTGGAGGAATCCCTCGAGCGTTATAATCAGAGCCAACGTATCGCGGAGCTAAACGAGGAGAACCTGAGGAAGTTGGAACGCGCCAACGCTCAGGCGGCGGCGAATGTCAAGATGGAGTTGTCTGGCTGCTTCAACAACAATCATAAAAGAAGAAGAGGCTCGACCAGTCCTTCTAATCTATACAGTAGGAGCTCGAAGAGGCTGAGAAGCGCTGGCTACGACACGGAAAGTGAGGCACCACCCAGCAGCGACGTGGCTAGCGAGGATCAGGAGATTGGGAGGAAGCCCTCTGGTCTTTCCGCACACAACCGGAAGAAACAGTCGAGATGGAAGAAACGATACTTGCAGGCTAACAACATATTCTCCGAGTACAAGAAGGATCTTGAGTCTAAGAAGCTCCCTGATGCTGATGCCAAGAGAAAGATTATCGTCTGCCCCACTGGCGAGCATTATACAGCTGCTGAGCAACTACCAAGCATTATACCGACCGGAAAACTGTTGCGACAGAAGAAGACAGCGCTTCAACTGCAGTATAATCTATTGTGGCTGCATGCTCAGTCGAGGCTACCTGGTCGGGATTTGGTACCATCGTGGAACTACAAGTGAGCAGAGTATTTTCTCTTGTAATTCTAGATCTAGCGATTATGAATTAATATGTTGGAAATTTTTTCATGTCAAACAAATTTACAGGGGGAAGAAAAAGTATGGAAACCTTTAAATTTTTCGAAAACTATGCATTTTAGAAACAAATGTTTCAGACAAAAGTTGTAGGGTTTCAAGAAACGGATTACATGGTGATATCAGTATGACCTTGAAGAGTGTTGTCAAGATCACGTGAAGGTCATCCTCAATTAGTTAAATGGAACCGCCTATTTTTTATTACATATTCTTGTAGCTTATCTCGAGAGCTTTCTAAAACACTATAACTAAGTTAGTTTTCATTAAGTATTTTCCGAGTTATGAGGCTTGAAATTGTTTCTTAATTTTACATAAACCATAAAATATCTAGTAAAATATTCATTTTTCGATTATCTTAATACTTATATGTACCTTAATACTTTTATGTACACAATAATGAGAGGAATCAATTGATGTAAAGAAAACACATAGTTATTTCGAAAAAAAAATATGTAATTTGCAATTAATATTTTTTTTTTTTTTTTTCGAAACAATTATAATGTTTTCTTTACACCAATTGATTCTTTTCATTATTTTGTACATAAAAGTATTAAGATAAGCTAATCGAAAAATGAATATCTTGCTAGATATATATTTTATGATTTATGTAAAATTAAGAAATTATTTCAAGCCTCACAACTCGAAAAGTACTCAATGAAAAAACATTTTATTATAGTGTTTTGAAAAGCTCTCGAAGTAAGCTATAAGAATATGCAATGAGAAATCGGGGTTTACATTTAAGAAATTGAAGATCACCTTCATGTGACTTTGACAACACTCTTCAAGGTCATACTGATGTTGCTATGTAATGCATTACTTGAGACCCTACAACTTTTGTCTCAAACATTTGTTTCTAAAATGCATAGTTTTCGAAAAATTTGGGGGTTTCCATATTTTTTCCTCACTCTGTACATAATATTGAAAAGTAATTTTTAAAAATGTATTATACATATAATAGATCAAGTATACATATATGTATAACTTTACACAATAATTTGCATTTGTTTGCAGAAAAATTCGGACCAACATTTATTACGATGTTAAGCCGACTACTCTCTATGAGGCGCAAGCGTGTGAATGCAAACCGGAGAGCGGCTGCGGAGACGATTGTATTAATCGCATGGTATTCAGCGAGTGTTCACCACAACTGTGTCCTTCTGGTGAAAAGTGCGAGAATCAAAAGATTCAAAAACACGAGTGGTCGCCGGGATTGCAGAAATTTATGACAGAGGACAAGGGATGGGGAGTAAGGACTCAGCAATCCATCAAATCTGGAGACTTTATCCTCGAATACGTGGGCGAGGTCGTATCGGAAAGGGAATTTAAGTCGAGAATGGCGACCAGGTACGATTCGATTCATATATGCGAATCAAACGTTGAAAGATAAGGTAACAAAATTGAAAAATAGATATGAAAGTGTACATGAAAAAAATTACAGGTACGCCAACGACACACATCATTATTGCTTGCACCTGGACGGTGGCCTGGTGATCGACGGTCATCGCATGGGTGGTGACGGGAGGTTTGTGAATCATTCGTGCGAGCCCAATTGCGAGATGCAGAAGTGGAGCGTTCTCGGGCTACCGCGTATGGCGCTATTCGCATCGAGAGACATCAAGCCGGGGGAGGAATTGACGTATGATTACAATTTCGCGCTTTTCAATCCATCGGAAGGCCAACAATGTAGATGCGGCAGTAGTGCCTGTAGAGGTGTCATAGGTAAATCAATACACTGAGAAAAATCGTTTGATTGTATCAACAAGACGAATATGATTGAAAGCATTTTGATTAAATCAAACAAGAATTTCTAGTTATCATGATAAGACTCGATTTTTTATAACTAGAACGTTTAATAGATTTTACTATAAGGATTTGATTAGTATTTCCTGGTTGGATCTATAAAATTTCTTGTTACATTAATTTCTTTGCTTGCCACTCTTAACTCGTATTCAATATTTGCCATAATATGTATATAAAGAACTAGTATCAACATTAAATCCAAAGTATATTTTTTTTTCTCTTACGAGCAGTAGTGCCAGAAAGAGAACGCTAGCTCTCGGATTGTGTGTGTTTGAGCTGAATCCTTCTTGCATCACTGTCTATCAGTTTAATTTCTAACAAACTGAATTTAAAATAATTTATTCAATAATCTGGATTGAATTTCCAATAATCTTGTTGGAATTCAGAATATTAAATAGACTTTTGAGATTAGATGGAAAAAATTTTAGACGACTTGGTGCTGGCGAGTTTAGTATTATTAACCAGAAAATTTGATAAATTTAACAGGAAGAAATTAATCAGATTCAAATTTTAAAATATTAAAGCGTGTGATAAATATTATTAAACTAATCATATATTAATTAATCATATATTAATTATTAACCAGAAAATTTGGTAAATTTAACAAGAAGAAATTAATCAGATTCATCTGGTAATTCCTACAAGAATTCTGGTTCGTCCATTTTCCAACAGACATACTGATTGAATCTATCAGAATTCTAATTAATGCAACCAGATTTTTTTCTTAGTGCGCGAATTAAAAATTCAGAATTGATAAATTCAAATTTTTTTAATTTAAATTTGTTAGAAAAATAATTTATCACGATAGGAAAAAAAATTTTGTAAGAGTCCAGCATTTAGAGATTAAAAAATAATCGCAAAATTTATATCCTCAAAGTATTTTCATTGATAAATTTAAAATACTTTAAAATACTTAAAATATTTTAAAATTAAGTATATTATTACACATATTATTAAGAATTCCTATAAATTCGATAAATTTTAAAATATTAAAGCATGTGATAAATATTATTAAACTAATCATATATTAATTATTAACCAGAAAATTTGATAAATTTAACAGGAAGAAATTAATCAGATTCATCTAATAATTCCTACAAGAATTCTGGTTCGTCCATTTTCCAACAGACATACTGGTTGAGTCTACCAGAATTCTAATTAATGCAACCAGAGATTTTTTTCTCAGTGTAGAAAAATCAAATTGTATCTACGCATCGTTTAATTTCATCAGATACTAAGCTTGCATTCTATGCGACAGGTGGAAAAAGTCAAAGGGTGGCTAGAAGCGTCCCATCTCTACCCTCCTCTCAAGTGGAATCTACCGAAAGAAGATCGGTGGGCAGACCGCGAAAGAACATTCGAAAGTCGAATGCGGTGCAATCAGTCAACTCCAAGAACATCTGCAAATCTCGCAAGGTTGGGGACCCGACGTTAACGCACAATACGCCGCAGCTGAAACCAATGTCCTACCAGCAGCGATGCTTCGCGCGCGAACATCACTGCTTCCTGCTGAGGAACCTGGAGAAAGTACGACGACTCAAGTCGGCATCGGTGCAGCATGTTCAGGTGCAGAACGGAAAAACCAAGATTGGTAACGCGAGCATCGCGAAGGAGAAGAGCTCCGGAGACTCGAAGGCGCAGTCTGACGCATTTTTCTCGCAGTTGACTGCGTTGACAAACACTAACGCGCGAACTGTGCGAACGCGAAGGCTTGCACAGGCTCAAGACGACCCGGAGGTTCACAAGACTGCAAAACTAGCCAAGGTCAGTTGATGCGTGTGTAAGGTTTTCATATTATTGTCGATACTCAATAATAAATACCACTGATGCAGAAAAGTACAGGCCCATTTTAATCCATCCAGTCGAATATCTCGAAAACCAAACCAGGAGAGAAAAATGTTTCAGACAAAAGTTGTTTGGTTTCGAGGGGGCCATAAGATGGTACCATTGGTTTGATCTTGAAGAGTCATTTGAAGGTCACGTGAAGGTCACCTCAATTTTTTTAAATGGCACCCCCTATTTTTTTATTAGATATTCTTGTAGCTGACCTCGAGAGCTTTCCAAAACACTATAATAAAATATTTTTTTGTTGAGTATTTTTCGAGTTATGAGGCTTGAATAATTTCTTAATTCTACATAAATCATAAAATATCTAGTGAAATATTCATTTTTCGATTATTTTACCTTAATACTTTTATGCACAAAATAATGTGAGAAATCGATTGGTGTAAAGAAAACACATAGTTATTTTTAAGAAAAAATATGTAATTTGCAATTAACAATTACATATTTTTTCTTTAAAACAACTATGTGTTTTTTTTACACCAATTAATTTCTCTCATTATTTTGTACATAAAAGTATTAAGGCAAGATAATCGAAAAATGAATATTTTAGATATATAACGAGATATATTACGGTTTATGTAAAATTAAGAAATGATTTCAAGCCTCATAACTCGAAAAGTATTCTATGAAAAAATATTTTATTATAGCGTTTTGGAAAGCTTTCGAGGTCAGCTACAAGAATATGTAATAAAAAATAGGGGGTGCCATTTAAAAAGATTGAGGTGACCTTCACGTGACCTTCAAATGACTCTTCAAAGTCAAACCAATGGTACCATCTTATGGCCCCCTCGAAACCAAACAACTTTTGTCTGAAACATTTTTCTCTCCCGGGCTTGGTTTTAGAGATATTCGGATGGATTAAAATGGGCCACCCTGTATATCATAATTAATTCTATTGATCTCGTTTTCACAGGTATTGAAAGACTTGTACACAATCGTTGCAACGGCGAATGACGAGAATGGTCAGCTACTATGCACACCGTTCATGAACTTACCCCCCAAGAGAAAATTGTCCGATTACTATGAAAAGATAACAGAACCCATTGACCTGAGCACGATAGATCAATGCATTGGCACTGGCCATTACAAGACCGCGGAGCACTTTGATCACGACATGATAAGGCTCTTTGACAACAACGTGAGGTTCTTTGGTAGAACATCCGAGATAGGAATCGCTGCAGCGAGACTCAGGAAGCTGTATCTGAGCAGTAAACCCGACTTTGTGGACGCTATAACGGAGGCGACGGGTTCTCCGCCGTCTCAGAGCTTCTTGCCGCCTCGTGGTTCCACAGCCGGAGAGGAAGATGTCATCAGGTGCATCTGCGGATTACACAGGTAAATTAATTAAATGGGTAAACATCAATTTTCAGTCTGGTACATCCGATAATTTTTTTCGTACCCAAAGTGTATGAAGATTGGCTGACTTTTATAATCGATAATCTGTGCAGGGATGAAGGCTTGATGATTCAGTGCGAGCGTTGTCTCGTTTGGCAGCATTGCGACTGCGTCAAAGCTGATACGAGCGTCGAGTCTTACCTGTGCGAGAGATGCCAACCGCGCCAAGTTGACCTGGAAATACCATTAGAGGGTGAGGAGGAGGAAGAAGGCAAAAAGCACTACGTGACATTATTGCGGGGCGATTTGCAGCTTCGACAGGGCGATACGGTGTATGTTTTAAGGGACACTCCTGACAAACATACGTACAAAACTATACAAAAGCCCGACTACGAGCAGATGGACATTTTCCGAATCGAACGTCTGTGGAAGAATCGCGAGTAAGTGTTTGTTTTATGCTGACGAATCAGTCAAGTTGATCGATTTGAAAGATTCAAGATTATCAATTTTAAAATTCAATCCTCGATTTACTAGGGGCGAGAGGTTTGTGTTTGGACATCACTATCTTAGACCTCACGAAACGTACCACGAGCCAACGCGCAAATTCTACGTCAATGAAGTCGTGTGCGCACCATTGTACGAAGCTGTACCTTGCGATCTCGTGGCCGAGCGATGCTGGGTGCTGGATCCACATACTTTTTGTAAAGGTATATATTATACTATACAGGGTGTTTCAGACCACCCATTTAAAAATTAGAGAAGTGATTATTTCAAAAAAGTAAAAACATTTTCTTTATAAATCGGGTGCGCTCCGTCGAATGGTGATATTTTCAACTTCTGGTTCCGGCCGGAAATAGGCGATTCAGACCGGAAGTGTATTTTTTTTAAATGGAACCCCCTATTTTTCATTGCATATTCTTGTAGCTTACCTTGTAGCTACCTCGAGAGCTTTCCAAAAAACTATAATGAATTATTTTTCCATTAAGTACCTTTCGAGTTATGAGGCTTGAAATCATTTCTTAATTTTACATAAACCATAAAATATCTTGTAAAATATTCATTTTTCGATTATCTTATCTTCATACTTTTATGTACAAAATAATGAGAGGAATCAATTGGTGTAAAGAAAACACATAGTTGTTTCTAAGAAAAAATATGTAATTTGCAATACCATACATTAACAATTCCATACTTTTTCTTAAAAACAACTGTATGTTTTCTTTACACCAATTGATTCCTCTCATTATTTTGTACATAAAAGTATTAAGGTAAAATAATCGAAATGAATATTTTACAAGATAATTTATGATTTATATAAAATTAAGAAATGATTTCGAGCCTCATAACTCGAAAAGTACTTCATGGAAAAATAATTTATTATAGTGTTTTGGAAAGCTCTCGAGGTAGTTAGCTACAAGAATATGCAATGAAAAATAGAGGGATCCATTTAAAAAAATGCACTTCCGGTTGAAACCAGAAATTGAAAATATCACTATTCGATAGAGCGCATCCGATTAATGAAGAAAATGTTTTTACTTTTTTGAAATAACCACTTCTCTAGTTTTTAAATGGGTGGTATGGGTGGCCTGAAACACTTTGTATTTTATTGACGATTGATGGATATTATTGGATGAAAATTAACTTTGTTTTAAACGTGTTTTTAATTTAGGGCGCCCAGTCGGCTCGACTCCTCAACATACATATGTCTGCGAGTATCGTGTGGATCGCGCAGCGCGGCTCTTCACGAAGGTGGCTAGAGCCAGGCATGCTGTATGCACGAAACCTTACGCATTTGAAACCTTCCCGCAACGTATAAAGCATTATCGCACCTACCTGGTAAATGCGATAATCATTTTATTATATAAAAAGGTCTTCATATAAGGGTGATTCATTTTAATCTTAACAGACAAATATTTTGAAAAATATGCGAGATACGAAAAAATGTTTCAGACAAAAAGTTACATGGTTTTAAAGGAAACATAAGATGGTGTCATTATTTTGACCTTAAATAGTTATTTGAAGATCACGTGAAGGTCATTCTCAATTTTTTAAATGGAACCCCCTATTTTTTATTACATATTCTTGTAGCTTATGTCGAGAGCTTTCCAAAACACTAGAATAAAATATTTTTTCATAGAGTACTTTTCGAATTATGAGGCTTGAAATAATCTCTCAATTTTATATAAACCGTAAAATATCTTGTAAAATATTCATTTTTCAATTACCTCACCTTAATACTTTTATATACAAAATAATGAGAGGAATTAATTGGTGTAAAGAAAACACCATAATTGTTTCGAAAAAAAAAATGTAATTGTTAAATGCAAATTACATGTTTTTTTTTTCGAAACAACAGTGTTTACTTTACACCAATTAATTCCTCATTATTTTGTACATAAAAGTATTAAGGTGAAGTAATCGAAAAATGAATATTTTACGGTTTATATAAAATTAAGAAACGATTTCAAGCCTCATAACTCGGAAAGTACTCAATGAAAATTTAATTATATTATGTTTTGGAAAGCTCTCGAGATAAGCTACAAGAATATGTAATAAAAAATAGGACGGTTCCATTTAAAAGAATAAGGGTAACCTTCACGTGACCTTCAAGTAACTATTTAAGGTCAAATTAATGACACCATCTTATGTCTCCTTTAAAACCATATAACTTTTGTCAGAAACATTTTCTCGTATCTCGCATATTTTTCAAAATATTTGCCTTAAGATCAAAATGAATCACCCTATATAACATCTCTCAAATAATATCATCAAATCTAATACCTTATTTTCAGCCTCATAGTCTGGATGGAATCAAAATGTCCAAGGACAAGAAGAAGAGTAACAATCAAGAGGTAGACGGGAATCAAAAGTTAGAATCCAGCGATAACGTTAAAATGCACAATAAGGAACACAAGTGCGGTAACAGAACAAGACGAAGATCAGGCGAAATCCTGACAGTCGCACCGCCTATAACATCATACGCTCAGGTAACGATCGCTTCAAGGAATCTAAAAGAAGCTCGGTCTCAAATATCTCTTACGTAATTATTTGTATTTATTATATTTTCATTTGCAGAGGGAAGAACAGAGGAAGAGATTGAATAGCATTCTGTTGAATCTACTACAGAGGATGCCGAATAAGAAGGACCCGTTAGATCTGTCATTCCTTCTAGAGAGGAACAGGCGAAACCGGAAAAGACCCGGCGGACTTAATCCGTGACAGTGGGTAATATCACAACGATAATATCGTACTGTACATATAAATTATGACTTGTAGAATTACGCTACAAATCTCAGTCAGCTGATAGACTAGATGGATTCAATCGTTCTAAACTTGACGCTATACATGTTATATATACCGTGTATATCAAGATAACAATGTACATTTATCCTCCTCGTTCTTCGCATCCCTCCCCTCAACGAAGAGAACGTGAAGGAATAATCTTCGTACAGCCCGTCCATTGATGTAATTTATATCGATATCTGTAATCAGGAATAATGTTTATTTAAGCGAGACGATTATCGATATTTATATATTTAATGGTTGATATTTTTCTTTATATTTTTTCTTTTTTTTTTTTTTTTTTTTCATGTCTCGTCGTAGATGACAAAACTTTAAAATATTAATTAAAAAATTAAAGATTGGCAAGTAAGTGCCAAGACAGAGTAATTGGAGCGCAAGGAAGAAGAGAAAACACATTCTTTTTTTTTCTTTTAGTTATTAATATATTCCAGAATACATGTATTAAATGTGAACTTTACGGACCAACTCTCTTTATTTGAAGGATATGGATGTATCGAGACTTATTGTGTTAAAATACTGTAATAATAGCATTGGCATATGTTTGGAATTGTTCGCCAGATTACTGCGAATTACAATATTGTATTTAATGTATTGCAATATTTTAAAATATTTTAAATATATATGAAATATTTTAAAATATTATATATATTTTAAAATATTATATTTAAAATATTATAAATACTTATAATAACTATACGATATAAATATACGAATATTTTAAAATACACTAATAATATTAAAAGAAAAAAAAAGTGTTTTCTTTCTTGCGCTCCAACCGCGCCTTGGATCTTGCCAATTTTTAATTTTTTAATTAATGTTACTATTTGATTTAATTTTCTATTTTAAGATGTATTTCTCTCCTTTTTCCTCTTGATTTTTTAATAGTAAAAAAATACTGATTTATAAAAACGTTAGAAATTATATTGTAAGCAAATTTGTAGGTACTTCAAACTAGGTAGACTGTACTCATTTTGCTATAATTAGAATATTCAACGAGAGAGAAGTCGATAAAGAAAACGAAACTCTTTCGACAGTTGGGCTATTGTACTAACATAATTGCGAATTTCGCAAACTTGTATAGAAAATCATTTGTACATTCTTTTCATAGAGTTAACATAGCTAAATGTGTACAAATTACATGTTACCTAGAATCAAGGATGATCGAAAGAATAGATGTTACATCGATATAAATGCCATGTGTGCGGATATTGCGAGTATTTGAGCGTGCGTATTTACATATGCAGTCTATAATGCTTCATTGCACAGAGGTAATATTATATTTTTCATAATCTCGATGCATTATATTTGAGTCAAGTGTGTGTAATATATACTTTCTTCACTTTACAGGGAAGAATTCTTACTATAATGTATTTAATTTATTGATATATATCGAGAGAATAGCGGAAATCGCACGACGAGCAAGTCGCAGTAATTCCAAAATTGTACATATGTATTCAGGATTTTATATTTATTATTGCATTACACAATATGATACATATTATATTATATTGTGGCGCGAATAGGAATTTTTTTATATGAATTTTTTTCTTTCTCTTATAAATTACATATACATATATTGCATATATTATATTATGTGTACATTGGATTTATTTTTGGAAACATTTTAGTATATTATGTTTTTATTTTTATGTAAAACGAAAATATATCAAAAGTAATATTATTAATTTTTGTTATTATTATTATTAATTTTTTCCCCGAAAAAAATTAACAGAGATATTTATTTTATTTAAACATATATACATATATATATATTTTTTTTTTTACAGTAATCTAGCTTTGGTATGTTAATAATGAGTGGATTATCGAAATATATTTATTATATTGTGTAATTCAAAAATAAAAAAAAAAAAGATTTGAAGCTGGCCTTCTACGTAAGCTGAGATTCAACTTTATGTCGATTTTGATGAGTAACTCGCAAGGAATATGTCAAACGGAATGTCATTGCCATAATACTATCCATGACATACAGTTGCATCTTGCTCGATTATTCTTACGCCATTTTTATTCCTCAAGAACAAAGCGAAATGCAACTTCTATTTGTATCGTATTGATATCGAAAGGTATATTGGCAATTTTATTTGAATACAATTTATTCGAGGCACGTCTTTATTATCATGTACGAATATATTTTTAATAATTAAAATTGTGTTTTACAAATTATATATTTATTATTTAATTATTATTATTATTATTATTTAAATTCTACATTTTTATGTAGAATTTAAATAATAATAATTACGAGTATAATAATAGTAATTACGATTTAAAATTGTGTTTTACAAATTATATATTTATTATTTAATTATTATTATTATTATTTAAATTCTACATTTTTATGTACTTTACGTATTCAAATATTAGCGTTTTTAAAAGTAACATCGGTAAGTGAACAAGTCTTCTGTCAACTATGTAATAATGGCATTAACAATTATTAGCAGCATGTGTAACAATGATTTCTAATCGAGTATTTTTATTAAAGTCATGTTATTTATATATATATATATATATATATATATATATATATATATATTATGACGCATAAATTTATGTTATCATTATTATCGAACATTTCATACATCATAATATATAAAAAAAAATATTATATGCCCAACTTGTAAATATGCGAGCGAAAAAAAATATATATATATATTATATATTCGATTATAATTTTATTAATTTATGTTATTGACAAGGTTTAACGAGAAACCGATTATAATATAAATTGTTGTTTTGCAATAAAGGGATTATTGTATTTTCGCACTGAAAAAATCGGTGAGATGCAATTATTATTTTGTCACGTCTAGAAATATATCTTTCGTCTTACGTTTATTTCTTGAATTATTTTAATCGCTGCTTCGCATATTTCATCATTAAGCAATCTTGCATTAATCATCATATGTGTATACATATATCGAAGCAATATAAATAACGTGATGCATCAGAGCGATATTTTTTCGGATTAATTATTAATTCGTAACGATGAATATTGTAATGATTTTTGTGCCTCCTGGGTTTCCTCATATGATTAACATCATTATAACACATATAGATATAATAAAAAAAAATCAGAAAAAGAAACAATTGTTGCGACAAGCTTTCAACTAATGTAGTGCATGTACAGACTATTGTATTGTATTCTGATGAACACAAATACACATGAAAAAAAAAGTTTCCTTAGATAAGTGCGCCACACTTTATTCTTCTCACACTTGTATCAATTTAATGGGTTTTGATAATATTGGATCCATGTGTGTTGTACAAGCATTTCATCATCTATAAAACAATAGTAATACATTCTATAAAACAATAGTAAATAACAATTATACAGGGTGTTCCAGATCACCCATTTAAAAACTAGAGAAGTGGTTATTTCAAAAAAGTAAAATCATTTTCTTTATAAATCGGGTGCGCTACATCGAATGATGATATTCTCAACTTCTGATTCCAGCCGGAAATAGGCGATTTAGACCGGAAGTGCATTTTTTTAAACGGAACCCCCTATTTTTCATTGCATATTCTTGTAGCTTACCTCGAGAGCTTTCCAAAATACTGTAATAAAGTGTTTTTTCATTGAGTACTTTTCGAGTTATGAGGCTTGAAATCATTTCTTAATTTTACATAAATCATAAAATATCTTCTAAAATATTCATTTTTCGATTATTTTACTTTCATACTTTTATGTATAAAATAATGAGAGGAATCAATTGGTGTAAAAAAAACATATAGTTGTTTCTAAGAAAAAATATGTAATTTGCAATTAACAATTTCATATTTTTTCTTAGAAATAACTGTATGTTTTCTTTACACCAATTGATTCCTCTTAATTATTTTGTACATAAAGTATTAAGTTAAAATAATCGAAAAATGAATATTTTACTAGATATTTTATGGTTTATGCAAAATTAAGAAATGATTTCATGCCTCACAACTCGAAAAGTACTCAATGAAAAAACACTTTATTATAGTGTTTTGGAAAGTTCTCGAGGTAAGCTACAAGAATATGCAACGAACAATAGGTGGTTCCATTTAAAAAAATGCACTTCCGGTCTGAAATCAGCTATTTCCGGCCGGAATCAAAAATTGAAAATTCCATTCGATAGAGCGCACTCGATTTATAAAGAAAATGTTTTTACTTTTTTGAAATAATCACTTCTCTAGTTTTTAAACGATACGGGTGGTCTGAAACACCCTGTATATAGAGTGAGGAAAAAGTATGGAAATCTCTAAATTTTCCGACAACTATGCATTTTAGAAACAAATGTTTGAGACAAAAGTTGTAGGGTTTCAAGTAATACATTACATAGCAACATCAGCTTGCAGAGCTTACATAGCAACATGACCTTGAAGAGTGTTATCAAAGTCACATGAAGATCATCTTCAATTTCTTAAATGTAAACCCCCATTTCTCATCGTATATTCTTATAGCTTACTTCGAGAGCTTTTCAAAACACTATAATAAAGTGTTTTTTCATTCAGTACTTTTCGAGCTGTGAGGCTTGAAATAATTTCTTAATTTTACATAAATCATAAAATATATATCTAGCAAGATATTCATTTTTCTTATCTTATCTTAATACTTTTATGTACAAAATAATGAGAGGAATCAATTGGTGTAAAGAAAACGTAAAGTTGTTTTTAAGAAAAAATATGAAATTGTTAATTGCAAATTACATATTTTTTCTTAAAAACAACTGTATGTTTTCTTTACACCAATTGATTCCTCTCATTATTTTGTACATAAAAGTATGTAGGTAAGATCATCGAAAAATGAATATTTTACAAAATATTTTATAGTTTATGTAAAATTAAGAAATGACTTCAAGCCTCATAATTCGAAAAATACTTAATGGAAAAATAATTTATTATAGTGTTTTGGAAAGTTCTCGAGATAAGTTACAAGAATATGTAATAAAAAATAAGGGTTCCATTTAAAAAAAATGCACTTCCGGTCTGAATCGCCTATTTCCGGCCGGAACCAGAAATTGAAAATATCACCATTCGATGGAGTGCACTCGATTTATAAAGAAAATATTTTTAGTTTTTTGAAATAACCACTTCTCTAGTTTTTAAATGGGTGATAAAGGTGGTCTAAAACACCCTGTATAAGCTTGGTGTTCGCTAGGAGATTACTTATGAATGTAAGATGCGGGTGAGAGGCCGAAATAAATAGAACCTTTTTATTTTTACGAATAAGTTTGTACATTTTGTGTCAACAATTAAGAGTTTACATAGATTATTATTATTGATTTTTTTTATTTTCCGTCATATAGAAAAAAATTGCTAACTGATTATCATCGTTACATAATGCGGCCTACGCGAACATCGCGGGCCTTATTTTCTTCTTCGCTTATGTGGTAACACAGAGGTACTAGCATATACTACGTGTAGATTAAATATAGGGTTCTTGATTATTTCTTAAAAAATAGTTCACCTCTCTCTCTCTCTCTCTCTCTATCGTGTTTCTTTTTTAATTATTATATCTAGAACTTTGCGTATCGTTATTCTTAATTGTTAAATTATTTTCGAGTTCACACAGAAGTACTTTAGCTCGGAACATCACACACTGTACAACATGTACGGAGATTAAAAAAAAAAAAAAGAAAAAAAAAAGAACGAGCTAATGAGACATTGTATTGTACGAGCTAATGAGACAGTGTACAATGTACACACTGTACAATATATATGGAGGGAAAAAAATGAGCTAATATAAGACGATCATTCTTCGAACGTAAAAAAGGATCTCTCTCTCTCCTACAGTTGAACAAATTTATGAAAAATTATTCACTTCTGTTTTGTTCGCAAGATTATTTCTGCTCAAATATCCGCTTCCGATCGACATAATAAAAGGCTTTGCGTTACACATACAGATGTCTGGCCGCACTTACTTTCTTCCTAAATCGTTTAATGCTCCATTCACCGATTGTTAATCTATATGTGTGAATATGAACAGTCGATTCACGCTTTTATATTCTCAGGATGGACGTTGATAAACATTGTTTATAAATATATAAATGATATTTATATATCATATTTATATAAAAATATATCGTCCACATACACAAGATGCAGTTGAGATAGAAATTAATCAAGTGTTCGCTCTTTGTATTCTCAAGAGGATGTTGAAGGAAATTAAATTGTATCTTAGTAGAGGAAGTACGTAGGGTAACAAATGCACTATCGATAGCTGTTGGATGAAGCCAATGAATAAAATTAGATTTTCGTATAAGATTTCATTTTCGTCATTAAAAAAAAAAAAGAGCATATAACCATACTTATACATGTAGATAAAAATCGTATTGAAGAAAAGTATTATCGTGTAAGAGGATACAATACAAACATCTGGAGTTACTTAATAAAACGAAGTTAATTATCGTAGCAAGAGAGATCTTGTTCCGTGTGTCGTCTTGTGCAATGAAAGATCTGCATGTATAAAATGTGTGTTAAAGAATAATTTATTTGTGCCACAATATATCTTCTTTTTCTCATACATTGTCGGTGATTTATAGAAAGATAAAGGTATACAATATATATATATATATATTTTTTTTTCCCTTGCATTATTTTTCTCTCTGTTTCTAAAAGGGCACTATATAAAGATTCACTATTAGCGAATTTGGTTGGATGCAGCACTTGGCGTGTAAAGATTAAAAAGCTTGTCATACACCAATTTGTTCAGGTGTAGAAACATGAGGACTGATGAAACGTCTAATATCTTATGAACTCTGAAATATTGACGACAGAATGCGCCAACTTTCGTGTGGGAAAGCATTCATAATAACGTACTGGGTACATACATGCGTGTCTCATGTCGATTCGTGTATAACAATCTCCAATATTCACTAGTGTCCATTGAACCAAATTCGCTGCATATATATTTAGTGTATAAATAGATCGATAATTTGTTTTTTGCACGATTCCTTTTTACTTTAGATCTGTACATATTTACAAGACCTTCTTGAGGATAATTGTCATTTTTTCTTTCTCTCTTCATCGACTTTTAATGCTACTTCCATATAGTTTGTACCCATACGTAGTACTCTTCCTCTTTCTCCTACTCCTCTTTTTACGATTCCTTGAGAAAGATACGATAAAAAGTTGTCTCTCTTTCTTATCGCGAACGTTACATTATCGTTTTAATGCACTTAGATTATTAGACCTGTGTTTCCGGTGAGGATCTTCCAAAGTATACTCGCTATGTTATAATTTCTTTCAAAATAATTTCTCACACGTGAGAAAGTTTTCTTCATAATAGTGATATTTTTGTGCACGAGGGATGAAAGAATTTTTAGCAAAAGCGCAGTATGTCCAATATTATATCAATGTGTAACGTAATTCTATATACAGGGTGAGGACAAAATATGGAAACCTTTAAATTTTTCGAAAACTATGCATTTTAGAAACAAATGTTTCAGACGAAAGTTGTACGGTTTCAAGTAACGCATTATGTGGCAATATCAGTATGACCTTGAACAACACCGTCAAGGTCACATAAAAATCAGTTCGAATTTTTTAAATGGAACCCCCTATTTTTTATTACACATTCTTATAACTTGTTTCAAGAGCTTTCCAAAACACTATATTAAAGTGTTTTTTCGTTGAGTATTTTTGTAATAAAATATTCATTTTTTTATTATCTCACCTTCATACTTTTATGTATAAGATAATGTGAATAATCAATTGTAAAGAAAAAACATAGTTTTGAAGAAAAAATATTTTATTGTTTATAGTTTATGTAAAATTAAGAAATTATTTCGAGCCTTATAACTTGAAAAGTACTCACTGAAAAAATATTTTATTATAGTGTTTTGGAAAGCTCTTGAAACAAGCTACAAGAATATATAATAAAAAGTAGGAGGTTCCATTTAAAAAATTCAAAGTGATTTTTATGTGACCTTGACGGTGCTATTCAAGGTTATACTCATATTGCTACATAATGCATTACTTGAAACTTTACAACTTTTGTCTGAAACATTTGTTTCTAAAATGCATAGTTTTCGAAAAATTGAGGGATTCCCATACTTTTTCTTCACCCTGTATGAGTTTATATCGCATAAAAAAATTTAAACACTCGTCAATATCGTGATGTGTATGTATATGTGTATGTATATGTGTATATATGTGTATATATATATATAATATATATATATATATATATATATATATATATATATATATATATAATCGTGACGTCAATTCTTTTATCTATTTATGTGAATGAGACTTGCGTAATGATTGCAGTATTTTGTGAGCGGACAATTCAAGATTTTGTTATTGTTGCGAATAGCTATATCCTGCTCCTATACTGGCAGAAGTCGGTGCAACCATTTCACTTGTAATCTCCTGCAAATATACGTACGTATTTGTAAAATGTATATTATTACAAAAAAAAAAAACACTATCAGTTATGACTAAATATTACTTAGAATTGAAACTTTCAGTATTTACGAGAAACAGCATTCTATAAGTTTATACCTTACATTCAGTTTCCATTCTCGGTAAGATTTTACGATGGTGGATTATTGTTTGCTTACAGCTTGGCTGCCAGCCGCAGTGGTTTGACCACTCTGTTGTTGCTGGCCCCAATACTGGTTGTTGTAATACTGCTGATTCCAGTTGTTCCAATTACCATTGCCGTATCCCTGTTGATTGTATCCCGCTTGGCTGTATGAACTTTGACCGTATCCTTTCCAACCGCCTGCCCATTGTTGCTGACCCCAACTACTTGGTTGATTCCAATTACCCTGGGTTTGACTACTCGACCAATTGTCCTGTTGACCCCAACTGGATTGCTGTGATCCTTGATAACTTCCGCTGAAAAATCAATGCAAGTGTTTTAAAAATGATTCATCAGGCCACTCATTTTGAGAAATGCTCGAGTCATCATATCAACAAATAATAATCGTCATAATTACCTCATAGAACCCCAACCTCCTTGCCTGGGTGCGACGGATCGGTTTCTATCATTTCCTAATCTCCTGTCAACACTGCCGACTCTTCTATCGACTCCTCGTATCATCGCGGGTCCACCTCGGCCTCGTAGTCTCCATGGGGTATGAGGGGGTCCGTAGCCACCAGTGTGCCTCATATATCCACCTCTTTGCGGTCTCTCTCCTCTCCAACCTCCCATATTAGGACCACGCCAAGGTTGATTGCGACCTCTGTCTTGATCTTAAATAGGTATACAAGTAATATAATATCATGTACAGTTTATAATGAGCAATCGTGAATATAATAATATGTACTCACAATTATTTCTTCGATGATCTCGCGTATCTCGACTGTTTCGTGAATCGCGCATTTCTCTGCTACTGACCTCAGTCTTGTCAAGACGAGGTCGTTTTGTCGCTGACGGTTGCTGACTAAATCCAGCCTCCTTACCCTCCTTGTTGTATTTCTCAATGAGCTTCTTGCCCTCCTCCTCGTTAAGTCCGATCCATTCCACTTCATCAAAAATCTCTCCCACCAAAGGTGCAGTGAAATTTGCTATAATAATGACATTTTAATTAAACATTATTTGCAAATAATACATCTATATTGATTTCAGTCAATTATACAGGGTGTTTCAGACCACCGTACCACCCATTTAAAAACTAGAGAAGTGGTTATTTCAAAAAAGTAAAAATATTTTCTTTATAAATCGGATGCGCTCTATTGAATGGTGATATTTTCAATTTCTGGTTCCGGCCGGAAATAGGCGATTCAGACCGGAAGTGCATTTTTTTCAATGGAATTCCCTATTTTTCATTGCATATTCTTGTAGCTTACTTCGAGAGCTTTCCAAAACACTATAATAAATTATTTTTCCATGAAGTACTTTTCGAGTTATGAGGCGTGAAATCATTTCTTAATTTTACATAAACCGTAAAATATTCATTTTTCGATTATCTTACCTTAATACTTTTATGTACAAAATAATGAGAGGAATCAATTGGTGTAAAGAAAACATACAGTTGTTTCTAAGAAAAAATATGAAATTGTTAATTGCAAATTACATATTTTTTCTTAGAAACAACTATGTGTTTTCTTTACACCAATTGATTCTTCTCATTATTTTGTACATAAAAGTATTAAGATAATCGAAAAATGAATATCTTGCTAGATATATATTTTATGGTTTATGTAAAATTAAGAAATAATTTCGAACCTCACAACTCGAAAAGTACTCAATGAAAAAACAACTTTATTATAGTGTTTTGAAAAGCTCTCGAAGTAAGCTATAAGAATATACAATGAGAAATGGGGATTTACATTTAAGAAATTGAAGATGACCTTCATGTGATTTTGATAACACTCTTCAAGATCATACTGATGTTGCTATGTAATGCATTACTTGAAACCCTACAACTTTTGTCTCAAACATTTGTTTTTAAAATGCATAGTTTTCGAAAAATTTAGAGATTTCCATATTTTTTCCTCACTCCATATACAGGGTGTTTCAGATCACTCATATCATTCATTTAAAAACTAGAGAAGTGATTATTTAAAAAAAGTAAAAACATTTTTTTTATATATCAGATGCGCTCTATCGAATGGTGATATTTTCAACTTCTGGTTCCGGCCGGAAATAGGGAATTCAGATCAGAAGTGCATTTTTTTAATGGAATCCCATATTTTTTATTACATATTCTTGTAGCTTACCTCGAGAGCTTTCCAAAACACTATAATAAATTATTTTTCCATGAAGTACTTTTCGAGTTATGAGGCTTGAAATCATTTCTTAATTTTCATAAACCATAAAATATCTTGTAAAATATTCATTTTTCGATTATCTTACCTTGATATTTTTGTGTACAAAATAATGAGAGGAATCAATTGGTGTAAAGAAAACATACAGTTGTTTTTAAGAAAAAATATGTAATTTGCAATTAACAATTTTATATTTTTTCTTAAAAACGTGGTAAGCTACAAGAATATGCAATGAAAAATAGGGGGTTCCATTTAAAAAAATGCACTCCCGGTTTGAATCATCTATTTCCAGCCAGAACCAGAAGTTGAAAATATCACCATTCGATAGAGCACACCCGATTTAAGAAAATGTTTTTTAAAGAAAATGTTTTTACTTTTTTGAAACACCCTATATTTTTAAATACAGTGCCAAGAAATATACCTTTCATCTCTTTAAGATCAGACTCTGAGACATTTCCTTCAATTGCACCATGTGCAGATAAACGTTGATTGTATTCCTCATCCGTTGGTAGGACAACGACCGCTTTCCGCTGATACTCGCAGAATGTTCGTATTTTGCGCCTTTGCACAGAAGAATACACGTTGCTCTTCTGCAACACAAAATGTCCAAAAATCACAAGATATCGTTACAAGAGATATATTTAAATTTACCAGTCTAATTCACAAACATGTACAGTCTTTCATACCTGGTCTAGTATATAATTACGTCTTCTGCCATTTGCCACGTCGATCAGTTGATCGAGCGCACGATTGCACTTATCAATAATAACTTCTCGCCGACAAGTCTTTTCTTGATCTGATAAAGCAATGTCCTAAAAAAAAATAATAAAATATTACAATTGATGATATATTATAAATATAACTTTATAATTATATTTTGCAGATATTCACTCCTGTTTTCTCGATCAAGTTGCGAAGCGCTAAGATATTATACAATTTATCTGGATGCTCGGTCGCGTGCTTCCTCGCCCAGGTGGTCTTTCCCGCCGCAGGCAAGCCACACATCATGATCACCTCGCATTCCGCTTTTACGTCCGGTCTACGCGGACCGGCGATTCTGTCCTTTGATTCTACATTGCCTACTAAAGTGTAATCCGGAATTTGTTCGCACCATCCCTCCTGTTCCTGTCCGAAATTGCAGACGAACGTACAATTTTTGCTGAGAATATGTGGGAACAACGGTCTGTCGCCGAGCTCCTCTTTAGAGATGCTAAACGCGGATCCGAGATCTTTGCCATTCACTGTATAAAATAATTCTACGGTGTTCTCGGGCGTCATGTCGAGGTAGCATCCCACTACGTCGTCCTTGTCGAATCGCGAGCCATAATCCGTGAACTTCTTGTCGGTGCCCTTTTGCCCAGCACTTGTATACGCGTAACTCAGTCTCTCCTCGCCAAGTTGCATGGACGTGAAGGGAACCGACCAACCGATTCTGAGGACGTACTTCTCGTCTTTTGTGACGGAAGATGTAATCTTGGCTTCATAGTATACTTTCCCATTTATAAAACCGTGAGATGCTCTTGCGCCAGCCCATATGTGGCAGAAATCACCATTATGCATAGGTGTGGCGGAGAGAAATCCTTCTTTGTTGATGATCAAATTCAAGTCGGAATCATCTAAAAGCAAAAACACAATATTGTACATACATTTAAATAAGAATCGGTGATCTAAAAACATGTACAGTATTTCTAAAGACTTACACCAAGATAAGATCATGGCTGATTCATCAAAATCTGGTTCATCTTCTCCTTTCTGTGATACAGGAGATGTCTGCTGGGCTTCTGCTGGGCTAGGAGATCTCTTCCTTTTCCTGTCATTGTATTCTTTTTGGTTTGATTCTTCTATATTCATCTTGCTTGCATCGTCTTGCTCTTTTTCAGACATTTCTGTAATCTTTTTTGTAAATATAGATAAGTAAATAATTAAAAAATAGTCATAGATTCTATATTATATTAAATATTATTATATTATATTAAATATATTATATTATATTAATTTAATTACATAATTAATTATAGAATATTTAATTATTATAATAATTATTTAATTATATAATATTATATTAAATATTAAATATATTATATTAAATACATTTATATTATATTAAATATATATTATATTAAATATAGATGCTATAGTAAATGTACAAAAAATAACTACATAAAAAAAATTATAGATTATATACCTGTTCATTTTGTGGAATATTATCCGTTTTCTCATCTACGTCTTCTATATTAACTGAAACATCCATTGTTTCATCTTGTACTGCATAATTGTCATTAATAATCTTTTCTTCATCTTTTAACTCGACATTATTTGTTTTGTCCACCTGATCAGATATCACATGTTGTTGTTCAACTTCTGGAATGTTTACAGTATTCTTAACATTACATGCATCGTCTACATAACACACATTCTCTTTTTCAACCGAGCTTTTATTGTCGATATCCCTTTCGGGAATATCTTGCACTTTATCGGCATCAATATCTTCCTTAACTTCTGCTTTCTCCTCCAGGCTTGTTGTTTCTTGCTGAACTTGGTGAACTTCATCTATACTAGATTGTTTTGCTTCTTGCTCCTCTTGAGGTATAGAAAATTGATCTACACATTCAATTGTACTAGCTTTTTCAGACGATTCTGTCACAGGTACTTGGAGAATATTTGCTTCGTACTTATTACCTTCTAAAACATTAACATGTTTAGCTTCTTCTTCCTGAGATTTTACAGATAATGGCGAATGAATCTTATTCTGAATAATATTTGATGCGTTGTCCTCTTGTTTCTCGTCAGACTTTTCAGGAGACCATTTTGATATTCCTTCGTGTTGTACTACATGTTCCTCAGAAGTAGATTCTGATATTGTCGGCAACGTCTCACACGTTTTCTCAATGTACTGAAGTTTACTCGGAGTAGATTGCTTTGAAGAATTTGGAGTTGTAGCTGTCCTCGATGCGTTTCTTGTAGAAACTTTTGTAGGAGTCACCATGGAGGAACTTCTAGACGCTCTGCTAGGCGTCCTCGGTGGTTGCGAAGATCGTGTGGCTTCCGCAATTGTCTCCTGTGACTCTTTCTCACTTGTATTCTCTGCATACAAAGCTCTCTCCTGATCATCTGTGATAAATGTATAAAAAAATTTCAGAAATTTAAAAATTACACGTTATGCTATATTTGGATATACAGGGTATCGCAGATTTAACGAATCAGCTGTTAACAGCAGATGATTCGGAAACGAAAATTTTAATGCCAAAATGTTGAGGAAGACTTCAAAAATGTTCAAACTACTGACTACTGTCGCATCAAAGACACAACCGCGCTCACTGCAGAATCTTATTTTTTATTTTATATTGATCCCTCTATCGATATTATGTACTCTACTGATCCCTCTATCGATATTATACACTCTATTGATATTATACACTATATTATTGAGTGCAGGAGAACAAAACGCTCCGATTGGTGATCTTTAATCTTTTGTAGCGCCGAAACTACAGCTTCCTCAACATTTTGGTATTAAGATTTCCGTTTCCAAATGACCTCAGGAATCTACCATTAACGACTGATTGGTTAAGTCCGGGACACCCTGTAAAAATAAAAGAATACTTTTCAGTATAATTTCAAGACGCTAATCATACCCCTGTCGGCTATATTTTAGCGTTATAGACATACGCAGGAAGACAATACGCGGTGCAATCATCAGGGAAAAATTTATTACGAGAACGTGCTACCGGTCCATGTTACAAGAGGTAGAATGGTGTGACCGGTCCATGTTACAAGAGATAGAAAACGATACGTAAACGTGATAGGACCGAGGGATGGAAGGGCTCCGTAGCTGACAGATGCAACTCACAATCCTGCGTCGTCGTCGTCGTCGTCGCGGTCTCCTCCTTCTCCTCCTCCTCCTCCAGCGCCTTGCGTAGCCGCTCGACGAGCACTGGCTTGTTGCCCTTGGTGTCGAGACCGCGCTCGGCCAGCGCGGCCCGCAGCTCCACCACTTTCAATTTCGACGGATCCATTGTACGCGCGCGAAGTGTCCGGTTAGCCAGGTACGCAGATTCATGCACCCCTGCCGTTGGACGCGTGAGAGAAGATCCTCACGAAAGACCCATATACACGCGCCACCGACCCGCGCTGCGTACACAATATGGCGGCTCGGTCGCAAACACGTCGTTACGAAGCGCGCGGCGCGCCCATTGGCCGGCCGCACGGCGCTGGCGGGGCGACGCCGCCCGCGCGGCCAATCGCGCGCGCCGTCTTATTCGCGAGCGAGCGCGGCGCGCGCGCCCATTGGCCGGCGCTAAGGCGGGACGCGCGCCCATTGGCTGGCCCGCGCGCCGCTCCTGCGAATTTCAAAGAGACGCACGGTGGCTTTTGCGGTTGGCGGATGATTTTCCTTTGGTTTTCGTTGCTTCTTTTTTTTTACGTTCGGCTCGCATTAATTAATTTTGACGTTTTTTTCGCAGGGTTTTTTAAAAATTTTCAGAATATGGAGAGAAAAAGAGGGAAAAATGGGCACTCGCGAGAGGAATTTTTCACGTAGGTTTCCAATTGGTTCGTTGCCTCGCTTGGGTCTTGTTGAGGATCGATGTTCCATGCGCAGTCGATAATTTGGGTAAGGATGTATCGATTTGATTGATTTTTTAAATAATGTAAAATTACACGAGTAAGATATATTTGGTTACAGATTGCGTTCCCCGAGTACATCTGATTATCTCTTTATTCTGTAGTAAAGAGGAGAGATGAGTGCTATTAATATGAACTGGTTAGCTTCAGCGGAAGGAGAATCCCTGGTCCATCATTTCTATGTAAATTCTTCCAAGAAGAGAAGATTCTATGGTACTAGTTATACTTGATAAACTTGATAAAAAATGCACACTTGATCTAAGAATTGCTCTGTTTATTTCAGGTATTTTGGAGAGACCATCGTTACCCACCTCCATCGAGGAGGTCACTTACAAGATCTTTATGATAGGTAGATCCGGCGTGGGAAAGACCTCGGTGGTAGGAAAACTTGCAGGCACTTTGGAATCCAACAATTATACAGAAACCAATGGCATAAGAAAGACAAACGTTTTTTGGCCCGTAAAGATCTGGGATAAAATTGTCCTGATTAAGCTACAATTTTGGGACACGTCAGAAAACAGTATTAAAAAATACAGTCATATTTTGTCGGTATGTAACAAAGCAATAATTTTTTTAAATTATTAAAATTATTATTAAAATAATTATTTATACATATCTAAAATTATTAAAATAATTATTTATACATATTTAAAATTATTAAAATAATTATTTATACATATTTAAAATTATTATTAAAATAATTATTTATGCATATTTAAAATTATTATTAAAATAATTATTTATGCATATTTAAAATTATTATTAAAATAATTATTTATACATATTTAAAATTATTATTAAAATAATTATTTATACATATTTAAAATTATTATTAAAGTAATTATTTATACATATTTAGAATTATTATTAAAATAATTATTTATACATATTTAAAATTATTATTAAAATAATTATTTATACTGATCAAAAAAAGTAATGTAAGATGTGGAAACATTTTTTTTCCCAGGCATGCAAAGACAAAGTTGATGCAATGTGCTCTGTGTTTTCCTTTGATGATGCATCGAGCTTCAATGACATTCCATATCTGATGAATACAATGACTGCGACAAAAGAGAAACCAGCAAATATAGTGATTGGCACAAAGTGATATGCAGCTATGGTTTTATATCGTTTGATTGGTATAAAAGTTTTCAATAATCTTATTCAAACATTTCTTTCAGGTTCAAACCTTGGTCAAGCTGTGTGATAGACGACGCACAAATCAAGGAGTTTGAAGACAAATGGAAAGTTAAAGTCATCAAAATTGATGCCAGTAAATCATCAATAAGATCCGAGATGTTTGATTGCTCTTATCAATTGAACGCTATCTGTAACATTTTATGGAACAGAGATAAAGAGTTTATATCCAAACTGATGGGACAGTCGTGATAACTGCAAATAGACTGGAGACATTTTCCTACGTTTTATGCGAAATAAAAATAATAAGAAGAAACATGTAGATTAGTTGTGCAGATTTCTGCTCAAACCTTAGGTTTTATTTGCCGTGTCCTCAATCACATACATCTGTAAGTTTAAACAGTCAGTTTTAATATCTTTTAGCGGCAATAAATTTTTATTGGTCATCTCTACTGCATCATCTTCAATAATCCATGGAAAATCCTCGCATTTTGGATTCTCGCTTAAAATAATATGTGCAGTTTCATTTGTCTGAATTTCAACAGAGAATGTTGAACCATCAGGGAGAGGTTTCAAGTATGTGTTGCACATTGATAGTTTTAAACAGATTGTCTTCAATGCTTCTTCTGTTTTTAAATAATATGGATCTTTCCTTAAAATGAAAAAGGGATTAATATATAGCTAAAAAAATGAGGTTTCTCGAGAAAACACTTCTCAATTGTTCAACATACTCTGTAAACTCTGCTTGCAGCTTAACGATATCAAAGACAAATTTCTCTATTGCTAGCTTGTTTCCATTGTAAAAAGTAAGATTGATGGTTTTAACACTATTTTCGTCCTCCTTTATTAATTCTTTGACTGAGTTTAATACATTTGACAGGTATTCATTCAATTCTGGATGTTCCGATACGTAAACTGTAATTCCATATATTTTTCTCTTAACGAAAATTTCCTCAGGATAGATCTTTCGGAAAAATAGTATGTGATTGAATGCTACTTCCAGAAATTCCAGGAGAATGTCAATGCCAACTGTAATTAAATTTTTTTTTATATCTTTACAAGATTGCACAAGACAAAACTTGTCCCCTACAAATATTGCAGGTGTATTATTCGAAGCAGAGATATTATGATGGATCACGAAAATGTACCTATCTTGTCCTGAGACATCTTACAATAATGTTGAAGATAACTGTCACATACGTTGCCTCTTCATGAAATTATATTTATGTACATAAAATTATATTTTATTTACATATATAATTATATTTTATTTACATATTTTATAAATTATATTTATGTGTATTTTTCATTCACGTGTGTGACATGAGCCGTGTTTACAAGCAGATCAGGTGTCTCGCGCATGCGCAGTGCGCGCATATACAGGGTGTTTTCGAGTTATAAGGTTTGAAATAATTTCTCAATTTTTACGTAAAAAAAAAATATCTAGTAAAATATTCATTTTTCGATTATCTCACCATAATACTTTTATGTACAAAATAATGAGAGAAATCAATTGATGTAAAGAAAACGCCATAATTGTTTCGAAAAAAAAAAATATAATTGTTAATTGCAAATTACATATTTTTTCTTCGAAACAATTATATGTTTTTTTTTACACCAATTGATTCCTCTCATTATTTTGTACATAAAAGTATTAAGGTAAGATAATCGAAAAATGAATATTTTACTAGATATTTTATGGTTTATGTAAAATTAAGAGATTATTTCTAGCCTCGAAAAGTACTCAGTGAAAAAAATATTTATAGTGTTATATTATAGTGTTTTGAAAAGCTCTCGAAGTAAGCTTTAAGAGCTTTTTTTGGGAAAAGATTGCCCTGACACCCAGTATATAAATAATGTATTTAATATAGGCAAAGAGATGAAACTTCTTATGAAAATTATTTAGAGAATTTTTCATAAAAATTTTTAGATTGTCTACAAAAATTCTAAAATTTTCTCAGCAAATTTTAAGATTTTTTATTGAACGAATTGATAATAAATTGACACGCTTTTCAAAAATCTTTAGAAAAGGAATGAAGAGATTTCATAATATTTTTATTGTAAATGAATTTTTTATATATAAATGTTAAATATTGATTTTTTATTCTACAAATTTTCTAAAATAATATTAAAAATCCTAAATAAATCTTACATTTCTTTAGAATTGTTCATAAATTTAAATTAAGACAAATTCTTAAAATTTTCTAGGAAATTGAGATTTTTTTTTACTAGAATATAGCTTGTACATAAAATTTTCTTTTAAAAAATCAACCAACTGCACATTTTTTAGGAGGGCAATATATCGCCGTAATTAATAATCATGTCATCTGTGTTTACAAGTATATATTATGAATTATTAAATTCTTTATTATTTATTAAAGTAAGAATTGTTCGTAATTTTATTAAAAAACATACACATATATACACACAAGTGTATATAAATAAATAAATAAATATATATATATATATATATATATTTATATATATATTTATATATACTTGTAAAAATATCTGGGCATTTTATATGTATTTTGTTATAATATCAATACTAACATATCAACCAAACTTGTAATTAGCATAGATGTCCCGAAACATATCGCGACATTTGATCCTGACTCCAAGTTTTGCGCATAACAAAAATATCCCTGATAATTTTCTGTGCAAACTATATATCTCCTCAGGAGGCGGACAAAGTCTGTGATGTATTATGGTTGGTACTAGAACCTGGATCCTGCATACATATGCAATTGTTATTTTATTTCCAGATATTAATTGAAATATGGAAATGTGAGACACACATACCGTTTTGTCACATCTTGTCCTCCAAAATCATAATACTCATGATTATTGTCAAATATTTGTCCAAGGATCATGACTGCGTCCACGTGAGCATTTTCCATAATCTGCGAATATAAATTGTGTCGTATATATTTTAGGATATTAGATTGTGTCTGATTTATAAGATACCTTGGACTCGTATCCAGTAAGAAATTTCATTTCTCGAGACAATTGTAGGACCTTATTGCGATTTCCCTCACTTGCAGCATTGATAACTTCTATATATTTGTCCATAAATGCCTTTTCGTATGCCCTACATGCCCCAAAATCCAATAAAATTAACTGCAAAAATAAATTCATTAGAACAAATGAATTTTTATTTATTTTTATTTATTTTCTTATTCAGGATTTTTAATATTATCTTAGAAAATTTGTAGAATAAAAAATCAGAATATTTAACATTTATATATAAAAAATTTATTTACAATAAAAATGTTATGAAATCTCTTCATTGTTGATAAAAATTACAAAATTACAATTATATAATTATTTTGTATACATTACCTGTTTTGTATTAATATTGTAGAAGAAATTGGACCAATTTGGGTCAGTCTGCATAAATCGAAATTCGAATAATTCTTTTAGAGTCAGACGCATAATCAGCTCGCTTATATGTTCTCTAATCTGAACATTCATATCTACACATTTATCAACAGGTATACCTTCTATCATCTCTGTCGTGAATACTTGCTTTGTAGAAAGATCATCTAGAAATTCAACAATGTATCCAAACCTGTAATATCTCGTTAATTATATTTTGTGTTATTTTTATTCAATACCTATTACTATAGGCACATAATATTCTGGGTAAGGCATCATTAATTCCTTGTATTTTTTTGCACATTCTGCTTCTCTTATATAATCTACTTCCCACGCAAGTTCCCGTTTCGCAACTTCCACTACATTGTCTATAAACATTCCTTCTGGAAACATATTCCAAACCTGAAATACATAAATATTTGATATTTATAAGATATATGTTATTTAAACAGTGTTCTCACATGATTTCAAATTATTTGAAATATTTGTACCTTCATTATGCCTACTAAATTCTCAATATCACTTTGAATACCCACAGCCACACCTGGATACTGAATCTTTATCGCTACATCTTGCTTATCCAATAATTTACCATGATGCACTTGTCCTAAAGTATATCATATGATTATTAAAGAAACTTTTAATCGAAATTACATGAAAGGAAAGAACGTTTATGTACCAATGGATGCTGCTGCAAATGGTTTCTCCTCAAAGAATGCAAGTTTACTCCTCCAATCGTGTCCAAGTTCGCTACCTAAAACTTTCTAGAAATAATTTTAATAATCAATATTATGTAGAATGATAAATTCTTTTTTGATATGTATCAATATTTATTATTATTTTTACCTCTACTTGCCACGTGGGCATAAAATCAGCACTTTGTCTGACTCTTTCAAAGACTTTCTGCAATTCGGGGCTTATAATAGTATTGTCTTGGATACTCAATATTTGGCCAATTTTTAAAGCTGCACCTGTAATTTTGGTAAAATGAAATAATAATATCCTAAATATCCCAAATAGTAATATCTTATACAGGGTGTCCCATTTTAAAAGTTCCACCCTCATAACTTTTTAAATTTTGATTGTAGAAAAAAATCTTTCAGACAAAAGTTGTATGGCTTGAAGGGGGACATAAGATGGTGTCATTAATTTGACATTGAAAAGTCACCTGAAGGTCTTGTGAAGATTACATCCAACTTTTTAAATGGGATACCCTATATGCTTTTGCATATTCTTATAGTTCATCTCGAGAGCTTTCCAAAACACTATAATTAAGATACTTTTCATTAAGTACTTTCCGAGTTATAAAGCTTGAAATCATTTCTTAATTTTACATAAATCGTAAAATATCTAGTAAAATATTCATTTTTCGATTATCCTACCTTAATACTTTTATGTACAAAATAATGAGGAATCAATTGGTGTAAAGAAAACACATAATTGTTTCGAACAAAAAATATATAATTTGCAATTAACAATTCCATATTTTTTCTTCGAAACAATTATGTATTTTCTTTACACCAATTGATTCTTCTCATTATTTTGTACATAAAAGATAGGATAATCGAAAAATGAATATTTTACTAGATATTTTACGGTTTATGTAAAATTAAGAAATGATTTCAAGCCTCATAACTCGGAAAGTACTTAATGAAAACTAACTTAATTATAGTGTTTTGGAAAGCTCTCGAGATGAACTATAAGAATATGTAAAAACATATAGGGTGTCCCGTTCAAAAAGTTGGATGTGACCTTCACGTGACCTTCAGGCGACTCTTCAACGTCAAACTAATGACACCATCTTATGTCCCCCTTCAAGCCGTATAACTTTTGTCTGAAACATTTTTTTCTACAATCAAAATTAAAAAAGTTATGTGGGTGGAACTTGTAAAATGGGATACCCTGTATAGATATGTGGCACTTTTGCAAATCTTACCTCTGACTTTACATAATGTCGAGACTATTCTTTCCGCATTAGCTTTAGTGAGGAACATGCTATCAATTGTATCCCCAACACTTTGCTCCTTCAAACCTAATGTTCTCCGTGAATATTCTGCGACAGTACCAATACCAAGACCAAGGCCCAGGGTACCAAAACTTACCATTCTTTGTAATCTTGTAGCAGGAACTTTTCTTTCTTTGGCAGTAGATGATAACTATAATGTAAATTAAGCAATAGGATATTCATAAGAATTGAATATGAATAAATATGTGATTTAATTAAAAATTTTGATATTTACAAGTTGTTTTGGCTTAACTGATAATTTAGCCTTTGGCCTTTCCTTAAGCTCCGTTTGAACGTTTACAGATTCTTCTTCAGATGTATTAATTGTAGAGGGTGAAGTGGAACTGACAACTTTATTTTTAATATTTTTTTCGTGTTCCAATTCCAATTTCCTTAAAATTTCCTTATCTTTATCAGAGAGTTCTATTTGAGGTATCTCTTTATCCAAAGTGGCAATGGTCTCAATCTTTTCCTTTACCGTCATATATTTCCATGTTGTATTTTGTACATCTTGCGAAGACTTCTCAATTGTGAATTTGTTATCGTTATATTTTGGCAAAGCGACATCTTTATCAAGGGGCAACTCTTTTGGATCTTTTGCAGTGTCATATACATGCAATTTCGCCGCCTTGATAGTATAATCATCATTTTTCATGTTCAAACCAGCTATTATCTTAACATATTGTCTAACACCTTCTTCAACCACACCCATACGCTCAGTTATTTCTTTAAAATCCTTTGCTCCTTGTTTCTATTCAAAACAAACATCACAAGAGATTTTAATAAAACATAAGAGATTGAGACGTTGCTTTTATTCAAGGGACTTACAGAGAGCTTACTTGGATCTATGTCGCTCAGTCTTTTTCTTACAGCTTGCATGTACTTTTCAGGTAAATTCTTTAAACTGGAATGTGTGATTTTGTGCTTGATCGCATCCTCCTGATGTTTTATCAGAGCATTCGTCACACTCTGTGCCCCCTTAAGTACACCAAGTAAATCGGAAACTCTCGACCGAGGCATTTCTGTAAGATAACGATAAACTTTTTCACTATAATACAACATATGACAACTTTTGACAATCGAAAAAATATGAAATGATGAAACGTCTGTGTAATCATTTTCAATTTTGGAATCAAAAGTTTGTTACTGCCTTTTAATTTCTGCGTACTTAAAAGTCCTAAATAGCCATCCTCTAATTTTTTCAATTTATTTTGTGGACCTAATTGTCAATTCAATATATCATACAATTCACAAGTAACTTGATTTGTACTTTTGACAACGTCACATAATAATATTATAATAATAATTGGAAAATTATTATATATATAATAATATATTATTATATATAATATATTATATATAATAATTAGAAAATTATTATTATAATTAGAAATTATTATAATAATTAGAAAAAAATACTATAAATATCTCACTTTCTCTTTTTGTTGTGAAACAGCAAAACAGCTGGACGAGGATTGAGAGAGGATTAACGTAATTCTGTAGAAATTGTCTATAAAAATAAATATTAAATAAATACTAAAAATTCAGTATTTTAAAATATATGATATATATTATACCAATATAAAAATAATTTCTATAAATAAAGCGATAATTTTTCGCATACACATGCATATACTTTCTGTTCTCTGTTACATCACGTGTCGCATGCGCATGCGCCTTCACCTTGTCAGCGCGGTAAATTTAAAATCCTCTCTTTTGTAACAACTTTCACCTTTTTTATTATTAATTGTTTATTATTAATTTTATTACTTTTTTATTATTAATTAATATTTAATTACGTAATAAACATCCGTCATAACTTGATCGTCGAAATAAAAATAAATCCTAAATAAACACTAAAAATAAATACTAAATAAATACTAAAAATAAATAAATACTAAATAAATAAATACTAAAAATTCAGTATTTTAAAATATATGATATATATATTATACCAATATAAAATAACAACACATGACTAAACGAGACAAATTTCAAAAATTCTTTTATTTGCTTACATACATTTTTATTTTCATCCGCACCTTTTATTTTGTATATATTATAAATCATTTATATGTATATATTCTCTTTTTATTCATATATATATAAATTATTTATATATACGTAAAACTATTTAGGAAAATTACAGAAATTTTACTAAATACCTTCGCCATGTGTAATGTATATATATGTATATATACATATACATATATATATATATTGTATGTCAAATAATAATTATACATATAACTATTATTTTTATATACAATAATTAAATATATAATTATTACTTTATGCATAATTATATATTAATTATATAATAATGTACTATAAATTATTTATTAAAATAACAATTTTATATATATGAATACAGTGCGACATGTTTTACAAGGATATCACGCTGAATATATTTGCGACCTCATTAAACATCACAGAAATGATATAAATTGCGTAAAATATAATATTATTGCTCTATATAAGAAAATTTTCCCGAAGCAAATTAAACATACTGTTATTACTCTTTCATCATTTTATACAAGCTCTACGCAAAAATTATGTTTCCTTAAATTTATATAGGCACGCATACTCATACATACACATGCGCACATACCACGCACAATTTATATCTCGTTGTTCTTTAAATTACTCTACAAACATAAAAAATGTTCTTTATACATTAAACTCTAAATAGCTTTGGGATGGCGATTCTAACAATCTTCTTCTCGAAGAAAAGTTAGCATTAGTATGTATAGATGTAACGTGACTGTGTTAGTTTTTCTCGTGAACCCTATCGTCGAATTCAATCGAGATACATATATATATATATATAATCTTTACACGCGGTATTTGGAAATTGAGTTTCGCGACAAGTGTCTCCCATCTTAAGCGTATGCTCATTATTAACATACATATGAACATTTACATATACTATTAGATTCAGATATAAAAATGGGTACTGTAAAACTCATCAGACTTTCATAGGAATACATGTATCAAATCTCACAATTTTGTAAGCATTTCTGATTTTATAGATTGTATGATACTACTTACACCACTTGATAAAGTTCATTACGCTCTCTGATCTTTATGCCACGTTTTTGTTCTGTTTGTGTGTATATATATATATATTTTTTTTTTGTAAATATAGAGGAAAAAAATTCGATTTTATAACAATATGAGTCCCAGACGAGATTAAATGACATTCGGCTGATCCGGGATAAGCGAGGCAAAAAATGAACTAAAGAAGGTCCAAGTAAAGGCGAGTGCGCCTGGCCGTTGCTCTTCGTTCTCCTCGTTGGCATTCGTCCGTGCCTCCGGTTGTGGAGTTGGCATTTGAGGATTTTGTTGCTGTGGAACAGCCTGCGGGCCCATCGCCTCGTTCTGCAACACTTGATTGTTGTTGTCTACACGAGCGTTGTTGTTCTCACCTAGTAATATTGGTTGTACCCTGAAGAAACCACCCTGATATCTGTAATGCACAGAAATGGTGCTTTATATTATATACACACATAAAGGTGTCTGAGACCTTACATCTCTTTTCTCTCAAAAACTAAGCATTTTTGAGAAAAACGTTTTAGACAAAAATTGTATAGTTTTGTGGGCAACATAAGATGATGTCATTGATTACATCCTCAATTGTCGTTTGAAAGTCAAGTAAAGGTCACATTGAATTTTTTAAATTGAAACCCCTATTTTTTATTGCATATTCTTGTAGCTTATCTCGAGAGCTTTCCAAAACACTTTAATAAAGTATTTTTCCGTTGAGTACTTTTCGAGTTATGAGGCTTACAATAATGTCTTAATTTTACATAAACCATAAAATATCTAGTAAAATATTCATTTTTTGATTATCTGACCTTACTACTTTTAAATACAAAATAATGAAAGGAATCAATTGGTGTAAAGAAAACATATAATTGTTCCTAAGAAAAAATATGTAATTAACAATTTTTTCTAAAAAAAAACAACTGTTCCCCTCAAAACCATACAATTTTTGTCTAAAACGTTTTTCTCACAAATGCTAAGTTTTTGAAAGAAAAGGAGTGTATAGATGATCTCAAACACCCTGTATAATATTCAGAAAAGTTTGAAAAAAAAATATTAGAGAATAGGATGATGTATAAGAGTATGATGAAATTATTGTAGAAATAGTAAAATATTAAATAATATATTATATATTAAATAATATATATGTTAATATTAAAAATGAAATAATAATATGTATAAATATTAAAAATATATAATATATATAATAATATTAAATATATAAAAATATAAAAAATAGAAATAATATTAAATATATAAAAAATATATAATAATATTAAAAATTAAATAATAGTATATAATATGTATATATTAAATAATATAATAATATGTAATAGATGTATATGAAATAATAAATATATAAAAATATGATGAAATTATTGTAGAAATAGTAGAATATTAAATAATATATTATATATTAAATAATATATTAAATAACATATTATACTCACAGATATATTGCAAATCCCAAGAATGTAACAATGAGAAACCGGAGAGGAGACGAGTAGAAGTACACTATACCGAATAAAAGAATGATTCTGGACAACGTATAGAAGAAATCCAACCAGTCGCGATTAAATGCTGCGTCCTCAGCCACGTCGTTATTTCCCGCATTAATCTCTGGCGCGTCTTGCGCTGCTGGTTGGGCAGCCTGCTCGTCAACGACATTGTTGTTATTGTTACTCGCGTATGTATGTTGAGGAGTATTGTCATTAGTGTTAATGTTCATCTGTTGCAGGTACGGAATACTGGCTTGTAACTGTACGCCTTGTGCTGCCATGCTGTAAGAAGAAAAAATGAATACCTTGCAGCTTATTTATGCAATTTCTACAACTCTTATACAACAAGTTTCTATAGAAGAAAAAGAAGATGCACTTACAGTTGCATATACTGCGTGAAATAATGCGTATATGCCTGTTGCATCCAGGCTAACTGTTGACTATTTCGAGGATCAAAGTACTGTTGAGGCAGATACATTTGAGACGGGGGTGCAGTCGCATTAGCATTTTCATGATTCTGATTTTGAACACTGGCGCTCCTGATATGACTGTTTCCCATCGAGGATGTTGTATCTGTGTTTTTCTCAATCGTCAGATTCTGATTCGATGTTGGTTTAGCGGTGTACATTTTCTGCGATGTACAAACTAGGTGAACCGTGTACGCCTGATCTTCTAAACCATCGCGCTGTCTCAGAATATCCTTCAATTGTGCAGAATCATTTAACAGTTGACCCGAATAAATTAACTTCTGATGCGAACTTTCCTATACAAACAACAACAATTCAAAATTAATTATTCAATAAAATCTAATGCATTAATATACGATATATGATATAAATTATGATATATTAATAATGATAATAAAATTGATAAGCTAGATAATAGAATTATTTTAGAAATTTGATTATTATAGAAATTTTGTTGGTTTAAAAGGATTAAAAAAATTATTTTCATCATTATAGAAATTTATAAAAATTATTTTGATCATCATAGAAATTTATAAAAATTATTTTGATCATTATAAAAATTATTTTGATCATTATAGAAATTTTGTTGGTTTAAAAAGATTTAAAAAATTATTTTGAACATTATAGAAATTTATAAAAATTATTTTGATCATTTAATAGATTAACTTCTGATGCGAACTTTCCTATACAAACAACAACGATTCAAAATTAATTATTCAATAAAATCTAATGCATTAATATACGATATATGATATAAATTGATATATTAATAATGATAATAAAATTGATAAGCTAGCTAGAAGAATTATTTTAGAAATTTGATTATTATAGAAATTTTGTTGGTTTAAAAGGATTTAAAAAAATTATTTTCATCATCATAAAAATTTATAAAAATTATTTTGATCATTATAGAAATTTTGTTGGTATAAAAGGATTAAAAAAATTATTTTGATAATTAATCATAATTAGTTCTGGTACCGTGACATGTCTAACATATTAATAAACGGGATTGTAGACGGTAAAAATATATGATATTTCGAAGAAGATAACATATCATTCCATGTCGTCGAGAAACGTGATAAATAAATTTTCACAACATTATTATACCTTGGAATGAAGGGAATCATGATGCAGATCTAAGACTTTATAAAATGTAACGCTAATGAAATTCTTGTTCTTTCTACTTTAAGGGAAATTGGGAGAAACGTCAGGCTGCTTTCACCGGGCGGAGACAGCTTCGCACGAACGACTTACTGGTTTGCTGGGATAGACCTCGGACAGGTACTCCTTCAGGCGGCCAATGGTCCAGCCGAGATCGCACCTGACCACTTGGTCCTTGATCTGTTGATTCGGCGCCTTTATGATGAGATTAACGGCGGCTTCTGCCATTCTTTCGGCGCGTCAGAGCCAGCCCGAGGTCAGCTGTTGGCGAAGCGGACAACAGTGATTGATGGTGATCCTTGCTCTCGTCGTCGTCGTTGCTCGAAGCTCGATTTATCCTCCTCCGTCGTTCGTTGGAGAGGCGGAGAGCCGTTCAATTTAATGGGAAGAAAGTTGCTTCGGACGTGCAATTCTTAATTTCTCTTTTTTCTTTTTTTTTTTCAGCAAATTATATCGTCCCCAACAACAGTAGTATGTACGACAAAAACGTCACCTGATATCGCTCAAACACAACTGTGTACACACACGTCCGCGGTGTGGGATTGTGTGGATCGCACATTTGGCGATCGCCCATTGGTCGGAGATTACGCGCGCTCATCTCGAAAATTATGCCGAGTTTCCATGAAATCGGGATCGAATTTTCGGGCGGTCCCGAAAAGCACGAAGCTCCCAAGATGGGTCCATATTATTATAATAATGTTTTATAATAATTTAATTTTAATTAATAATAATATTTTAATTTTATAATAATATTTTAATTTAATTTTAAATAATATTGCAGCAATATTATTAATATTGTTGTGCAATATTGCTGCAATTTTCTGTACTGTGGGAGAACTGTATTATTTAAAATTAAATTAAAATATTATTATAACTAAGATTAAATTATTATAAAATATTATTATAAAATTAAATTATAATTATAATATTATTATTATTAAATTATTATTCCCAGCAAACACGAAAAATAACATTTACATAACTATTCTAGAGAGTTTAAATCCGACCATTCTCGCAACATTATTAGATTTCCGATGTCATTTGACGCTGATTGACCGGATCTGAAAGTAGCAACCAATCATATTCGATTACCACTTAACGTTTGAGTCCGCTGAATATGGCCAGAGAGAAAATTGAGAAGTGTCATGGACTTTTAGGTGATCCTAGGTGATCGATTTATCCTCCTCCGTCGTTCGTTGGAGAGGCGGAGAGCCGTTCAATTTAATGGGAAGAAAGTTGCTTCGGACGTGCAATTCTTAATTTCTCTTTTTTCTTTTTTTTTTCAGCAAATTATATCGTCCCCAACAACAGTAGTATGTACGACAAAGGGTGCTTTCCAGCTATGGTAACACAGTGATACACTGTGTGACACAGTGTTACACAGTGTCGACTTGTAGCTGGAACGCTTTTTAGCTTTCTTATTTTGCCACTAGAGTGCAGGGCAGTCACTTTTAATAGTTGTCACTAGGTCTAAATTTTCAGAACGTTCCCACACAACATTATGTCGTCTTAAAGACGTCTAGATGTCTTTAAGTCGTCTTTTTAGCGAATATAAAAGTTTGGTTATCTTCTATCACGCAATACCATTCTTAAAAAATTAATGATACCAAATATGAAATGTTATGTTGGCACTCACTGGGGTGCTACAAAACGACGACACAGGCGAACACAGCATTTTTGCTGTGTACGATTGTGTTGACTTGTGTCGTAGTTGGAAAGCACTTGTATCGACACTGTAGCGACACAGTGTCGCCTGTGTTGCTTGCTGGAAAGCACCCAAAAACGTCACCTGATATCGCTCAAACACAACTGTGTACACACACGTCCGCGGTGTGGGATTGTGTGGATCGCACATTTGGCGATCGCCTATTGGTCGGAGATTACGCGCGCTCATCTCGAAAATTATGCCGAGTTTCCATGAAATCGGGATCGAATTTTCGGGCGGTCCCGAGAAGCACGAAGCTCCCAAGATGGACTCATATTATTATAATAATGTTTTATAATAATTTAATTTTAATTATAATAATATTTTAATTTAATTTTAAATAATATAGTTCTCATAGAGCACAGATTATTGCAGCAATATTATTATTAATATCGTTGTGCAATATTGCTGCAATTTTCTATGCTGTGGGAGAATTGTATTATTTAAAATTAAATTAAAATATTATTATAATGAAAATTAAATTATTATAAAACATTATTATAAAATTAAATTATAATATTATTATTATTGAATTATTATTCCCAGCAAACACAAAAAATAACATTTATATAACTATTCTAGAGAGTTTAAATCCGACCATTCGCAACATTACTAGATTTTCGATGTCATTTGACGCTGATTGGATCTGAAGCCGGTATTCATAGTCCGATGTTATATTTGAGATCGTTTTAAGTTCGAGCTTGAAATGCTACGCAGCTATTTGATTGGTTGAATGTGGTCTTAAGTCAACCTCGAAGCAGACTTAAGACAATCTTAAATATAAGATCGGACTATGAATACCGGCCTGAAAGTAGCAACCAATCATATTCGATTACCACTTAGCGTTTGAGTCCGCTGAATGTGGAGAGAAAACTGAGAAGAATTCATGGACCCTGAAAGCGATACTCCCTCTATGGACATTGAAAACGTAGACATAAACTACAAAGCTAATGTCCATGAATGTTCTCAGAGGGTGTATCTTACAGGGTGTATCTAATAGGTGTCTCATGGTGTGCCACCTGTGTAGAGTTGGTGCAAGTGTGTGCAGTGCGTACACACCAACTGGCCGATTACACCAACTGGCTCCAACAAATTTGTGAGAGCCACTTTGTGTACACCCAACATGCACCTGTGCGGTATACTGAGCCCAGACGAATACGCAGCTCCAGTGAGGCACCATTCGACCAGCCGAACATACAACACCCGAAATGTGCAGTCGGTGCAGACCAGCCGAAATCGCTATTAAAACGCTCCCACTAAGCAAATAGCGTTATTTCTGATTAAAAACCGAGTCGCAAAGTCCTGAACCATTTTTTTCTATAATGAAAAAAATTTGAAACCATTTTTTTGAAACCATTTTTTTAAACCACATTTTTTTAAAACCATTTTTTTCTTATATAATGCGAAAAACTTTATTTTGTACTAAAAATCATATTTTTTCCGTTAAAAGCGTTTCCTTAAAGAAAATTTTGTCAAGGAGGCTAAAGGTCGGTGCTTATTAGCGCAACTTTACTCAATAATTACTGTTTTATTAAGCATTATAGAAAAAAATGATTCAGGACTTTTCGACTTGGTTTTTAATCAGGAATAACGCTATTTGTTTAGTGGGAGCTTTTTAAGATACACCTTGTATAATGTGCACAATTTCTGATTTCGTTCCATGCTATGTGCACGAAATGCTGGTAGCACCAGAGTATAACAAGTTATACAGGGTGTCCCAAAAGTCCCGGACCGGTCGAATATTTCATAAACTATGCACTTTAGAAAGAAATGTTTCAGACAAAAGTTGTATGGCTTGAAGGGGGCCATCAGATAGTGGCAATGATTTGACTTTGGAAAGTCATTTGAAGGTGACGTAAAGGTCATCTTCAATTTCTTAAATGGGACCCCCTACTTTTTATTACATATTCGTGTAACTTATCTCGAGAGCTTTCCAAAACACTATAATAAAGTATTTCTTCATTGAGTACTTTTCGAGTTAGGAGACTTGAAATCATTTCTTAATTTTGCATAAACCATAAAATATCTAGTAAAATATTCATTTTTCGATTATCTTACCTTAATACTTTTATGTACAAAATAATGAGAGGAATCAATTGGTGTAAAGAAAACACATAGTTGTTTAAAAAAAAAATGTAATTGTTAATTGCAATTACATATTTTTTTCTTAAAAACAACTATGTTTTTTCTTTAGACCAATTGATTTCTCTCATTATTTTGTACATAAAAGTATTAAGGTAAGATAATCGAAAAATGAATATTTTACAAGATATTTTACGGTTTATGTAAAATTAAGAAATGATTTCAAGCCTCATAATTCGGAAAGTACTTAATGAAAACTAACTTAGTTATAGTGTTTTGGAAAGCTCTTGACGTGAACTACCAGAATATTTAAATAGGTTGTTCCATTTAAGAAATTGACGGTGATCTTCACGTGACTTTCAAATGACTCTCCCATATCAAATCATTGCCACTATCTGATGATAGTGATAGACATGGGAGAGTCCCCCTTCAAGCCATACAACTTTTGTCTGAAACATTTCTTTCTAAAGTGCATAGTTTATGAAATATTCGACCGGTCCGGGACTTTTGGGACACCCTGTATATCGTTCCATCCCCATCGTTCACCGTCACTGCAATCATTATTAAAAATAACTATCTATATATAAATATTAATTAATATTTGTATATAGATAGTAATATTTTATAAAATGCTTGTCATTTTGTTATGCATTTTATTGATGAATAAAATAAATAACTGTAGACTCGAGATAACACAACGTAAAGAACTAATGGAATTGTCAATAAGCAATCTTCCCATCATCCCATATAGCATCTTATGTCCAAAAAACATTAACAGGACATCCTGAAGATGTCTAATCGCCCAAAGATATCTTTTGGATACCTTCTGGACATCTTTTGGATATGCATGCTATGTGGGATAGCATATCTTAAAGTTTCTTATTGACGACAAACATGTTTTATAAAACATTTAATCATCTATTGACAATGCAGTAGTTAAAGGGTTAACTGTCCACTTAATGTTAATACTGTGTTGTTGCAATGCAACGAAGTTAAATCAAACATCAAATATTATAGTTCTAAGAAGAGACATTGAAGAGATTTATTGAATCTAGTAAATATTATATTTATATTATCTAACTGATATATATAACTTTTAGTTAATGAGGAATAAATTGTAGATGGATATGCATGTATTAATATTAGAATGTTTGTTTCTTACGATATTTATTAAACATTTAACATGTATATTTTTGTATATTATATTTTATATATTATATAAAATCTGCACTTTTTAATGTATTAACTATTTTATAAATTCATAAATATTAACACACAATTGTAATTTTCTTTCCAAGCTTTTTTTATATTATGTTTCGAAGCTATTTTCTATTTCAAATTATATATATAAGCTATTTCCTATTTCAAATTATATATATAAATTTTTGTACGTACATATATCATTGTTGGAGGGAATACATTTTTCTAAATTTGTAAAATATTTGAAAATATGTCTATTATTATACATAATTTTAAAAAGAGATCATTATATAAATACTTGTTTAAATCATTCTATGCAGAATGTTTCTTTAATAGTATAAAGATATTTTTGAAAATAAAAATGTTGTATATAATTTAATATATGAATGGATTGAATATATGAATGGATTGAATATATGTCACAAAAGGAGATCGAAGCATCACAGAATTATTTTTAATTATGTTTCACGTAATTAAGTGTTTATAACACTTTTTTGGAAATAAAGTAATTGATGATTTATATAGCGAGAGAAAGAGAGAATTTGATTGAATTGGATGCACTAATGCACACTGATACATATAAAGATTGCTATATAAAATTATAATAGTATAATTAAAATAATAAAGTAATTAGTATTATAAATTTTTATATTATATTATATTATATTAAGTATATTATGTTAAGTTAATATTAAATAAAATTATATCACATACGTTTTTATATTATTAAGATTATTCAATGCAAAGGACGATAATGATAACTCGTACAATTATTTTATTTATTTTAATTATTTATATGCTATTGTAAAATTTCTATTTATTTATACTAATGTAAAAACGCTACCGCGTCACGTATTCAAATTACATTATATGAATGTCACAGAAAACATATAAATCACTTTTTTTAAATCCATTATTACTTTTATTATAATCAGAATATCTTTTATGTAATAAACGCCTCCTATGCCAAAGAAAAGATACTCTGAAATAAATTAATATAAAAAGTTAAATAAAATTTATTAAACAGTTAAATATGCATATACCCTAATTATTTTTATTTATGTACGGAACGATTTTTATTTTATATATAACTTTTTGTCAAATAATTTTTAAAGATTTTAATTTTTTTTAAAATAACGCCGAGTATCGCATCGTAGAGAAAAATAAATTACAAACGGAATGCAGTTAATAAGACGTCATGGCAACACATGATCAGATTTGATCATTCGAAGTCAGTTATTATTGTGATCGCCAATCAAAAAGGCTCAATCGCTCACTTGTCGCTTGATTCAAACATCATATGAAACACAGAAAACGTGTAATATCACAGAAAACGTGTAATTGTGTACGAATAGTGGATTTTAAAAAGCATATATAGTAACACAATCGTACGAATGATGTGTATATATATATATATGAATTAATATCAATTCGATTAGCACATTAGAAATAATAGAGTGAAAAGAAAAAACGAAATATTCAACGGGAACTGATTGAGTACAAACATTAACAAAAAATGCAAATTATATTTGGAACAATTGTATGTATTTTATTGAAAGGTTTAATACTGACAAGAGCGATTATCACGTTTATGCCGAAAAATTATACCACTTCAAACAGCCTTCAGAAAAAAAATGTTTCCATGTATTCGGATTTAAATTTTACGCAGGTGAGAGATATTTTTCGTTTGATTAAGAAACAATTGAATGTTATTGCAGCTGGTAATTCATAAATGAATGATAATAATTTATATATACTCTCTCTATCTATATAATTAGATAAAATAAAATAAAACTATCCAACATAAAAGGAAAAGTGTGTTGTAAAAAAAGAATGTATAAAGTTTCGAAATTTTATTTATAAATGGATGTATTATATAATATAACATATTAAATTTAATTAAAACGGTATATTAAAACTCGATTGTATTACTGTCTCTCTCTCTCTCTCTCTCTCTCTCTCTCTCTCTCCCCCCTCTCTCCCCCTCTCTCTCTCCCCCCCTCTCTCTCCCTCTCTCTCTCTCTCTCTCTCTCTCTGTCTCTCTCTCTCTCTCTCTCTCTCTCTCTCTCTCTCTCTCTCTCTCTCTCTCTCTCTCTCTCTACGACTAGCGCGGTAGCCGTCGTGCCGCAGACTTTGCGCGCTTCGCCCCTGGCTTCCTCTTGTAGCTCCGTGCTGATTAACTGACTTACAATAATCAATGCGGCGAAATTATTCATGGGATCGAAAAATAGTATTAGACATTTTTTCTTAAATTCTCATTCTTTATCGGATGGCACTGAGCGTATGCGATACTTTTTTAGCACCCTGTATAATTTATCATTAAAAGCAACAGAAATAATCGCGTTTCTGCTTTAAGGGTACTCAATTGCTTTTGTATGTTATACTTTATGAAGGATATTTCAATATCCAAGAAAAGTGATCATCATGTACTAAATTTCAAATCTGACTGGAATTATTCTGATAATATAACTATAAGAAGTGAGCGAGAAGTCGGTGAGGTTCCACTTGCAAATATTTCTATCACCCCAGAACCTATCAGTAAGTTGAAAAAAAATGCATAAAATAAAATGCATTAATAATAAAATCTACGACAAAAAATTGTAAATATAATTTAAATTCAAATGAGAATGGAAATCAAATCTAAAAATATCTTCTAGTAGTGAGAAAAATATAAATTCTTTTCTGTTGAAAAAGAAATAGAAAATCATAATATTGTAAAAATAATATTGTGAAAATCATAATATAAACATAATATTGTAAAAATTTTTATGATTTAAGATAAAGTCAATATATATTTTATTAATTAGCTATTTTGTTTCAAAGCAATCGCCACACTGAAAAAATTGTATTCTCAACTTAAAAATATGCCACTTATCTTTAGAATATATACTAAAAATAAGTGGCATATTCTTAAGTTGAGAATATAATTTTTTCAGTGCAATATTGTACTTCTGATTTTTTTAAGCAATAAGAATTTTTCGAAGAGTATGACTTATCATTTTATTAAAAGTTATTAACTGAATTTTGCTAAGGATTAATAATTACTTTCTAAATCTTAAATGACGGAAAATTTTTTTATATTATTTTATTTTTTTAAAGATCAATACTATATTAATTTTATAATATACATTTATTTTTTTTCTTTTCTTTATTTTCACATTGAATTATTTTTTCTGATTTACTGAGATAATTCACTTAATTATTATATATTAATTTTATATATAATTATGTTAATATGTACGATCTTAAAATCTTTAGAAAGCAGTTTGAGCAAGCCAACATCTTTCAGAGCATTTGTACAATTCGACAATGCAATTCACAAAAAACGATATTTTTGTGACATTGAGGTAAAAAATCTAAATTCGCAGTTTGTATTCTTTCATTTTTCTTCTTTTTCCTTAAATTCAACGACATAGAAAGGTTCTTTCTGTTATAATTTTACTAAATATAAAAATACTGAATTGTTGTTCTTTTACAGATGGAATCAACCTAACATTACCGATGAAGCAATACAAGGATACACAGTGAAATGTTTTTTCATCGAGGACGTACAAGAGATTCAAATCTGTGACGATAAAAATATCACAACTACAAAATTGGAGCACATAGTGCACAATCCAAAACCTAACATGACATATTATTTCCGAGTACGTGCGCATACTAAAGTTGTTGCTGGTCCTTACACGGAAATCCGATCTGTGTCAACTATGCATGAAAATCCAATACCTAAATTATTAATCAAAACGGTTCATGGTATCGAAATATATGACCTGGATTCGAACAACATTATTAAGTTGGTATTGCTAAAATAGTACGTACTGATAAAAATATGTAATTATTAAATTATTTTTGACACTTATAAAGTTAAAGTTATTATTGCTATGCACAAGTTTATTATTATCAACATTATAGTAATAACTATAAAAATAGAAATCTCAACTAAAATTTGTATACAATTGTAGTTGGCTCTTCAGTGAATTCGCTTTCTCGATAGAAGAACAAAGAATTTATTGGCATGACTTAACCAATTATGGCTTAATGACATTGAAGATTAATGAAAATAATATCACAAAAATGACCAGCTATAATAAAATTCTACGTTGTCTCTGCATTGACTGGGTAGCAAGAAATCTATATTTTATAAATGATTATCAAGAATCAAGTTATATTGTAAAGTTTGACTTAACAATGTGGGAAAATGGCATAATAAAATTTGCTGAGATTATGAAAACAAACACTTATTCTAACAATATGAATATGTTACCGTCTATGGGGTATGTATACTACCATTCACCTGAAAAAAGAATCTTCTATTAAAGATTTATTGATATTAAGATTGCAAATTTGTAATTTTTCTATAATTTTACGTGGTTTTATAATTAAGATCATAAGTAAAAAAAAATAAGTTATTATATAATTATAAGAATTTCGAATTTTTACTACATATAAGTTTTTATTTTTGTTAAAATGTTTCATAATGAATAAAATAATTATATATTTTTTAGAATTGTATATGGTGTATCGTTGTATAATTTATCGACTAAAGGATACAATATGACAAGATATTATCTCGATGAAAAAAATGAGCAAATTGTTCAAATAAATTCGTCTATTATGTACTTTTGCCCACTTCAACTTACCACAGACTATTATTCTCACTATACGATAGTTGATGACATGAATAATGAGAAGTCATTAATTTACTGGTTAACTACCAATTACATAATTGTGACGGACTTTAACGTTTCTATTTGCAATATGATTTTACACAAGAAAAACATAAGTGATGACACAAAATTCAGATCTATAACGATTGACAAAACATACGTTTACATTTTAGCATCAGATTTTAATGGTTACCATCTCTACTCTATTTTGAAAAAAAAATATGCAAGTGTCAATAGCGTAAATGCTGACAAATATGTTGAAAAGATAACAGACCTAGAATATTATATGTATTTTACAATTAACGCTTTTGATAAATCTTCTCAACCATATCCTCCAATAAGATGTCTGACACCTGACGAAAAAGTTTATAATTTTGAGAATGTGACTGCAACGACAAACAGCATCATTGTAAATCTTCCGGAGCCGGTTGTAAAGAGTGGATGCAAAAAATATAATTTACCAACTACTGTATATACTATTTCCGTAAGTTTTGACAACTGTTTAGACAACAATCGTTTAGACAACAAGTCTGAAAAATTCAATGTGCTGACGAGCGAGCGATATTACGAGATTCAAAACTTAACTCCATTTACGGAGTACAAGTTGAAGTTTACTTTAAGTAATTTTTACTTTAATCATTTATCAATAAATCCATTCGATTCGAATGTGATAATAAAAACTAATTTGGGCAAGCTTAATGCACCAGAAAACGTAAGTGTTCTAGCTCTGACGCCTACTGTAGCAGTAGTTCATTGGATGGCACTCAAGAAAGTGAACTGCATGGCAGTGACCTACGAAGTGCGTTGGAATTCAGTTATATCAATGAACGACACGCAACAAAATAATAAACAATTGATCAATGTATCAAAAAGTACGGCAGACGGCAGATTTTTCACAAAGATTAACATGTCGCTATCAGTACAAGATTATTTGATATACGTACGTGTATATCCAATTAATTTCAGCAATTTCTACAACGAGAGTTTGAACAAGATCGTTCACATATACTCGGAGCCAAACATTATTATTCTGAACGAGGTTAACATAAATAGCATGAACATTTCATGGATCTCAAACATCAATCTGACGGTCTCTTTTGCATTAAAGTACAAAGACATTGCAACAGAAAAGTGGCAAACAACGAATGATACTAAAATTAATTATAACGAAAAAGTAATATACCATATTGAAAATTTGCAATTGGGAACTTCATATAAGTTTCGTTTGATATTGAGATACCTCGAATATGAGGAAACTTTTAGATGGCCGGTTGATAAAAGATTTATTTTTTCAACACTTGGTAAGCAAATGAAGGTATCTATACAGCGCAATGAGATTGCAGATATATTAAAGAATAATTTCATTGAAACATTACAATATTGCAAATCGATTGCGAAACTCTACTGAGTTATTGTACAAGATGACAACGTTAGGATGTTCACTTTTTGCAATATTGCAATGAAATATACATTATAACAACGTTGCAGTATAATATATTTGAAAGAATGCAATATTATTGCAACCATTTAATAATATTATGTATAAAATACACTAGTCAAAAAAAATAGGGAACACTTTTTGAACCCAAAAAATTGGGCTACACAATTGGAAGGTGCGAAAAAATTAAAAAGTGTTATAGTTTTAAAATGTTTCTAAAATATAAATATCATATTGCTTATATCTAATTAATATTTATATCTATCTAATATTTTGTTAATTTATATTTCTACAATGTTTCTGTAATGCATATAATTTATTACGTTTATAAACGTTTAAGGCTGCAGCTTTTGCATAAGCGCATAACCATAAGCATAAGAAAATTGATTGGTCCCCAAGTATATGCATAAGAAAATGAACCAATCAATTTTCTTATGCTTATGGTTATGCGCTTATGCAAAAGTATGTGCTGCGGCCTTTATTATTACGGTTACGTAATAATATAAACGTAATAATAAACCAAAGATGATCATATCTATGATAATATATTGCAAAATTATATTTAAAATTATTTAATAATCATATAACATAAAACATTATTATATAATTACTAATTCTTTTTTAATTAGAAATGGTTTTAATAAATAAAAATCCAACAATAATAATTAAAAACATTATAAAACATTATAAAAATTCGTTATAATTATATATATTTGCATGTACAAAATACATAAAAACACATAAAAAAATATAATAATAAATATAATAGTATCTATTCTTAATATAATAAAAAGATATATTATCCTTGAAGATTAATATCGTATTCGTACATGAAGTGAAAATATATCATAAAATATATTGCAACATTGATATAAAATGTTATTTATATTTTAATAAAAAAAATAGCAATGCTTATCTTTAGTTTAGAATCATACTTATTCGACTGATATTATTTCTGTGTTATTAATTTGTTTAACTTTCGCAAAGATAAAATTCATATATACAAGTATAAAAAAATAAAATATACAAATATAAAAAAATATATTATTACATTATTTTTTTAGATAAATTAAAGAGTATTAGTAGTAGTTTTCCAATGTTTTGAAAATATAAATATCATATTGCTAATATCTAATTCATACTTTGTTAATTTATATTTCTACAATATTTGCGTAATGTTGCATTGCAATTTGTAATATTGCAATATTGTTGTAAAGTAGTTGTAACATTCTGTGCTGCATAGTTATTATAATATTATGTGCTAATTTTTTATATATGAATAAGCCTAAAATTTTAAAAAATTAAATTTTTGTAATAAACTTATAAGTAAAAATAAATTTGTAAAAACATGCATACACGAGGATATTAAAATTATATTTTTGCTTAATACAGATATTTCACCTTCTCCTGGAATAGCAAAAAGATATTACTTATTATTGATGTTAGGATTTATCATTATAGTTAGTACTATAATCTGCCTCTGCTACTTTTATCGTTGTAAGTATTTGTATTTGATGTAGGTATTGACTTCAATTGTAGATTATACATATATATATCTGATATAATATCTAAAAATTTACTGAAAATAGTAATTTACTTATATAAAACTAACTTATATAAAACGAATATATTTACTAAAAAACGAAAAATTTTATAATACATATTATTACATAATTAAATTTTATAACAGTGTATCGTCAACGCAAAAGTAATATTGAAATATTGTAGTGCTTTGGAAAGCTCTCGAGATAAACTATAAGAATAGGTAATAAAAAATGGGGGATTCTATTTAACAAAATAGAGATGACCTTGAAATCTCTAAAGCGCTTCCACCTACAAAAAAATTATTAGTAGCATATTGCGGCCCTCTTGATACCGTACATCTTTTATACAGACAAAATTTTTGTATCTCTAAAAATAACGAAGATATTCGAGGTGGACAGAGTTATTGGCCCATCCTGTATATCTGATATAATATCTAGAGATTTACTGAAATTATTAATTTACTAATGATTTACTTATATAAAATTAAACTAATAAATTTATTAAAAAACGATAAATTTTATAATACATATTATTACATAATTAAATCGAAATTTTATAACAGTATATCATCGACGCAGAAATAATAATAAGCAATTTTTGCCTCCAACAATGGCCAACATGGAATTAGCGATTCTATATGAAGTATCTTGCCAAAACACTCAATTGAATATGCTTTACAGTCCTATGTTACATTATAACCCGGATGAATATGCGATAACTAAAATCGAACGTGAACAAATCACATTAACAAAACTTCTTGGTAGCGGCGCATTTGGAAAGGTAAAGATTAGTTTTTTCAAGCAATGTTTCAAATTAATTTCTAGATCAGGAAAACAGACCTTTCCTAATAAAGACATAAATTATATGAATTTTTATAGTAGATTATATGTAATATAAAATTTAGATGAGACAACATACATGTACTCTGTTATATAATACTCTGTAATATAATGTTGAATTATTTAATATAAAATAAAACATAACGATACTTGACATTAATCTATACATTTTTAAGTACATATTTAAATTTGTATCAAATATTTTGCAGGTATTTCGAGGAAATGTGAAGAATTTAGAAAGGTGCGGCGTAGACATATCCGTTGCAATAAAAACGCTTCGGAAAGATGCTTCTTCCAATGAGAAAAAGGAATTTTTAAAAGAAGCCAAACTTATGAGTCACTTTCGACATAAACATATATTAAGATTGTTGGCCATTTGTGAAGATGGGGGTCCTCCATTACTAGTGTTGGAATTGATGGAAACTGATCTGTTAAAATATTTAAGAGACTGTCGAAATTTGCAACCGTCAGATTCGCATGCTCTGCGTTTGCAGGATTTACTCGCCATGTGCGAAGATGTTGCGCGAGGCTGTTGCTACTTGGAAGAGTTGCGCTTCGTACATAGAGATCTTGCGTGTCGCAATTGTTTAATGTCCTCGAGAAATCGCGAGAATCGTGTCATTAAAATTGGAGATTTTAGACTGGCTAGAGATATCTACAACGATGATTATTATCGCGTGGTAAATGCAATTATTTAAAATTTAATTATTAAAACAATGAATTCTTTTGGACATGCTTTCAATTTTTTATCATAATATTATTATCCATTTTTTTGAATAATATTGAGTAATATAAATAAATTGTTTATATTAAATATAAATTGTTTATAGTAAATAAAAATAGTAATATATATTAATAGTAATATAAATTGTTTATAGTAAATATAAATAAATTGTTTATATTTATATAAAGTAAGAGATAAATAAGAGTTTTTTTTTATTTTGCACATATTTTATTCTAAATGAACAACTTGAACCAGAAAATTAAATTTTTGTTAAAATCATGTTTTAGAAAGGAGAAGATTTGCTTCCTGTTCGCTGGATGGCACCGGAATCTTTGATAATCGGCACATTTACTTCTCAAAGCGATGTTTGGTCATTTGGTGTTTTAATGTGGGAAATTACATCGTTGGGCCAACCTTATATTGGCAAGTCTAATGAAGAAGTGATAAGTTATGTACGTGCTGGAGGCAGGTTGCCGATGACTCTTAACTGTCCGTCAATATTGTACCAGTTGATGCTACGTTGCTGGAGTACAGCGGATGCTAGGCCAAATTTCAAATTTTGTTTGAAAAATATTATAGCATTAAGAAAGAACATAGAAGATGCCTTACTGAGTCCAGTCGATACTATTTAGCCGATATAATTAAATTAATGTTTATCTTCGTTTTCGAACGATAAATCTTAATATAGAAAAAATATTTCTAGAATATTTCTAAATTGATTCTGTTATTTTAAAGTTTAATCTTAATATTAGATTTATCAATGAAGGTAAAAGAAATTTTTTAATCTTATCTTCCATAAAATCTTGATTATTAAAAAATATCACATCCATTTTCATGATTATACGACAACGTAATATAATGATATATCTAATTTGTGTTTTTGAATAATCGAAACAAAACCTAATTGATTGCGATTGTATATATATATATATATATATATATATATATATATGTATAAACAATATTTTTTTCAATATGGAAGTATAATTAATTTTTGACATTATACAGGGTGTCCGTCAATTTTCGACCTTAATGAAATAAAGAAGTAGATTGGCTCGAATTAAGAAGGAATGACCTGTATTATTTTGGGATTGTCGCAATAATTAACGAAATATTAAATAAAAAAGATCGGCCAATCTGCGTGAGTAAAAGCGCGCGGCGACGAGAGTCGTCCCACTGTAATCCGATACTACGAGCGCGACGAAGCGGTGGGCGGGTCGCTCTCCGAGACATGATGGTGGTTTGCGATATATCGCAATACCGCGCCGAAAAATGACCCGTCCCCCCTTTTCGTGGCGAGAAAATGATGCGCTATCATTTCCACACCACCTTGCGATAGATAGCATGGTGCGCTTTTTTTATAGTGATTTCCCCCATAGGCCTATTCCACTCTCAATTTAAAAATTATTCAAAATGCCATTTACTGTACGCTGAATATATCGTAAATGTAAAAAATTAATAGACAGTACCTTTACAAAAATTGATTCGTGGTTGAAAATCCCTCGATAAAATGTATTGCACACGTTGATAATGTGATACAATGATAAAATTCTTCAAGAATCCTTTCTTCATCTCACGAAGACGCACTGCTGGACCGGTTATCCCGATATTATGCACGACACTCAGTTTCACATAATTATTGCACAACACGTAAAATTGTACGGCCACTTGGTTTTCGTGCACGCCCGGGAAATCGTTCCGCGTAAATTGCGGCCGCGCGATGAGTATTTTCTCCCGCTAGCCCGTATGCCACAATCATGTCCGTATATTCCTGCGGAGTATACTTCATTTTTACTGGTAATTAACTGCGCGAACATAAGATTTTTACTAAGCGTCTTAGCTCTCACACGTTGTTGCCAGACTGCGTACGCCAGCAGCACGCAACTACAGCTGAGCGGACATGTGAGTGTAATCATAGTGCGCAGGCGTCGAACTCACACGTATGCTTACACTCACATGTCCGCTTAGCTGTCAGCTGTAGTTGCGTGCTGCTGGCGTACGCAGTCTGGTAACAGCGTGCGAGAACTAAGACGTTTTAATAAAAATCTTGTGTTTGCGTAGTAAATTAACAGAGAAAATGAAGTTACTCTGCAATGAAGTACTCTGCAGGAATATACGGATATGATTGTGGCATACGGACTAGCGGGAGAAAATACTTATCGTGCGGCCGCAATTTACATGGAATCATTTCTCGGGCGTGCACGAAAACCAAGTGGCCGTACAATTTTACGTGTTGTGCAATAATTATGTGAAATTGAGTGTCGTGCACAATATCGGGATAACCGGTCCAGCAGTGCGTCTTCGTGTACGAGATGAAGAAAGGATTCTTGAAGGATTCATTTTATCATCGTATCATTATCAATGTGTGCAATACATTTTATCGAGGGATTTTCAATCACGGAGCAATTTTTGTAAAGGTACTGTCCATTAATTTTTTACATTTACGATATATTCAGCGTATAGTAAATGGCATTTTGAATAATTTTTAAATTGAGAGTGGAATAGGCCTATGGGGGAAATCACTATAAAAAAAGCGCACCATGCTATCTACCGCAAGGTGGTATGGAAATGATAGCGCATCATTTTCTCGCCACGAAAAGGGGGGACGGGTCATTTTTCGGCGCGATATTGCGATATATCGCAAACCACCATCATGTCTCGGAGAGCGACCCGCCCACCGCTTCGCCGCGCTCGTAGTATCGGATTACGGTGGGACGACTCTCGTCGCCGCGCGCTTTTACTCACGCAGATTGGCCGATCTTTTTTATTTAATATTTCGTTAATTATTGCGACAATTCCAAAATAATACAGGTCATTCCTTCTTAATTCGAGCCAATCTACTTCTTTATTTCATTAAGGTCGAAAATTGGCGGACACCCTGTATAACTTTTTTGTCAAACAATTTTTAAAGATTTTAATTCTTTTTAACGCCGAGTATCGCACAGTAGAGAAAAAAAATTACAAACGGAATGCAGTTAATAAGACATCATGGTAACACATGATCAAATTGATCATTCGAAGTCAGTTATCATTGCGCTCGCTACTAGTCAAAAACATTACCGCGTTTGTCGCTTGATTCAAACTTCATCATATGAATATCACCAAAAACATGTAATTGTATACGAATAGTGGATTTTAAAATGCATACATAATAACACAATCGTACGAATGATTTGTATATATATGAATTAATATGTATATATATATATATATATATATATATATATATATATATATCAATTAGCACATTATTCGATTAGCACATTAAAAATAATAGAGTGAAAAGAAAACACTAACTAAGAATTCAACGGGAACTGATTGAGTGCAAACGTTTACAAAAAATGCAAATTATATTTGGGACAATTTTATGTATTTTATTGAAAGATTTAAAACTAACAAAAGCAGCATTCCCGTTTATGCCGAAAAATTACTTCAAACAGCCTTCAGAAAAGAAATATTTCCATGTATCCGGATTTAAACTTCACGCAGGTGAGAAATATTTTTCGTTTGATTAAGAAACAATTGAATGTTATTGCAGCTAGTAATTCATAAATGAATGATAATAATTTATATATATTCTCTCTATCTATATTTTTTTATTTTTCTAGATATTTATAATAATATTTATTGATGTATAATATAAAGTTTATACTAATGTACATTTCATTTTATAAAATTAATTTAGAAAATCTGCTAAAATTTATATTAATTTTTATTGTACATACCCATATATTCAATAATATACAGGGTGACCTATTTTAACTTAGGCAGCCAAATAACTCGAAAAATAAGCACACTACGAAAAAAAGGTTAGAATCAAAATTTCGTCATTTCGAGGGGGACGTACAAAGACGTTAAGGGGGGAACCTCATGTAAATAGCCTGTTTTTCAGGAATTTTTTTTGAAAAATGTAATGCGTAGATTAATTTGCAATTTAAGGCACAATTTATTTACGTTATAATATTTAAAGAAAATATTTTTTTAAGACTAATCGTTAACAATAAAACGGTGCAATGACGGCTTGAAAACAGCGTCTTGAAAATGCGCCGTGCAGCATGCAGGTCACAAAAATGACCTGAAACAAAAAATACAAAATGGGTTCTTTAGTTTATGCAAAAACGCTCAGCATGACGGTCCCCTTTTATTAAAATTTGCAAATTTGCAAAAATGGAAGTTTTGAAAAAAAAAAGGATTTTCTTTTATAAACAATTGTTAATAACAATGTTTTAAATAAAAAAATTAAAAATCGGAGCTCGTCATGCTGAGGCCAAATATCTATAGAATTTCTATACCAAATTTCATAAAGATTGAATGATTAGTTTTTGAGCTACGTTGCACGGCGTGCGAAATTTTGCGTTTCGAGAAAAACGCGTTTAAAGTTTGAGTAATAGAAAAATCGTGAAAAAATTCGTAATTCGTTCTAACTTTCCGCAGTTTTTTGCTAATCTGCGATTCCAGGGCCATAGAGTAGACCTTCCTCTTCTTCAAACTGCTTTACATTAGTAGAAGCTCTAACACAGCCAGGTCAAACTTTATTACAAAGGAACCGAAAGGCCGATTGTCCGACGAGCGCTCGACTATTTGAGTGCTCCGCCCAATTCGACTGTTTACTTTCTTTTGAAAATAAAGTACAAGGAGCTCTCGGATCACTTTCTAACTTTTTTCTCGTATTTTTGAGGAAATTTCCTATCAATTTAAGCAAAAAAATAAAATGGCTAAAAAATTTCATTTTACATGAGGTTCCCCCCTTAAAATCAGCCCCCCACCCCTCCCCCTGGGCGGTGAGGGGAGGCAAGTTTGAAATCTTACATGGAACCCCCTATTTTTCATTGCATATTCTTGTAGCTTATCTCGAGAGCTTTCCAAAACACTATAATTAAGTACCTTTTTATTAAGTACTTTTTGAGTTATAAGGCTTGAAATAATTTCTTAATTTTACATAAACCATAAAATATCTAGTAAACCATTCATTTTTCGATTATTTTAACTTAATACTTTATGTACAAAATAATTAAGAGGAATCAATTGGTGTAAAGAAAACATACAGTTATTTCTAAGAAAAAATATGAAATTGTTAATTGCAAATTACATATTTTTTCTTAGAAACAACTATATGTTTTTTTTACACCAATTGATTCCTCTCATTATTTTGTACATAAAAGTATGAAGGTAAGATAATCAAAAAATGAATGGTTTACTAGATATTTTATGGTTTATGTAAAATTAAGAAATTATTTCAAGCCTTATAACTCAAAAAATACTTAATAAAAAGGTACTTAATTATAGTGTTTTGGAAAGCTCTCGAGATAAGCTACAAGAATATGCAATGAAAAATAGGGGGTTCCATTTAAGATTTCAAACTTGCCCCCCCTCACCGCCCAGGGGGAGAGGTGGGGGGGGCTGATTTTAACGTCATTGTACGTCCCCCTCGAAATGACGAAATTTTGATTCTAACCATTTTTTCGTAGTGTGCTTATTTTTCGAGTTATTTGGCTGCCTAAGTTAAAATGGGTCACCCTGTATAATTATATACACATATTTTTATCGAGGAATTATCGATTTATACTATCATCTTCAGAATTTGTGTTAAAAATATAACAATAATCGAAAAAAATTTTTTTTAAGATTATAGATAAAGGAATTTA